TCTCCCACTCTACGGGATGCCCCGCAAGAGGGGTCTTTCTTGTCTTTGTTTTTTCGTGCTGTACTCTTTCCACTCTCCTCGGCCAAGAAACAGCATCTGTATTCAGATGCCGCGAGGTCCACGCCGCTGGACGCGCCATGGAGACCGGGTACTGGACCAAACCACTCATTAAGTGTTTCGCCCTCTTCGTAGTACCCTCTCAATGACAGAGAATATTCTCCGGGTTTCTAACTACACCTCCGCTGAAAAGAATAAGACGACAATCAGCTGAAGCGGCACCTCGCAAGTCCTTGCCGATCACAACTGCAAGCAGCGCCCCAGGCCCTGGTACACAGCTACTGAAGAGAATACGGCTGGCGATAAACATCGATTCTTTGCCTCCCGTCTCCGCGCACAGAGGAAAAATTGCGTCTTTGCCGTGAAAGCCAAATTACTCCTCCCAGAGTGTAGTCAACAATCATCTTGCAAGCACGCGGGAGATAGCACTTGTCGCTGAGAACCTAGATTCCAGACAATGGTCTAGCTCCTGACGATTTGCATACGGGCTTTAAGTAGAGTTAGGGTTTCTAGTCTGTCGCCCAATACAAGGTCACATTGTTTCCGGTTGCGCTTGAGTGCGGGGATCATTGAGGTCAGCATTGGTGATATCGATCTTCTTCGAGACAGGGAGATCCTGCAGGTGGTAAGATCAGGCCAAGTCGCTCGCTGTAAGGCGGTTGGCATCGCGGGGAAGGAGGCATGGAAGCTTTTACCCCAGTTACAACTTGCAAATGTTTAGAATAGAGCTAGCCCTACGAAGGGCTAGATTTTATCTGATCATTCTTCGCATGATCTACAATGAATTTCTCCACTCAGTTGACTCTTATCTTAGAAATTGTGGCATCAATGGACTCTGAATGTTCTTGAGAAGATCAAGACAGCTAGAAATGTATGCAATCAGACCAGCGACTTTCGTAAGTGATGGGTTACAGATTTTGCACGCCGCGTAATACTTCTGACTATGTGTAGGGCTTGTTTTACTCTGTTCTATAATTTGATTCCGGAGTAATAGAAGGCAATGCTAATTCGTCACATATATCTCCATCGTGTATCGTAATATGGTGGTATTCAAAGCGAGCACGCTGTAGGCTTTATAGTAGGTATGTAGTATTCACATCAGCGTGCTTAGCCCATCTTTCATCTACAAAAACTAGTCCCGCGGTCATCAGGTAGAAATGATCAGGGCTACTGAGCCCGTGGCATCCGGATAAGCGATTGCGGTCCAGTCGCATTGACGGCTTGGGCCGACCATCCCGACTGCGCCACAATGAATGGAGCTTAAAGATATTCCGGATAGACCCACTCTGAGTACGTAGTCTATCGCTTCATCCTATCAATCTGCGGCATCTGAGTGGCAGGCCCCACCAAGCGGAGGCGCATTAGTGCTTATTGTCTCGGCCGGACATTCTAAGGTTCAGGCACCAGGGAAACTGACGCTTAGTACAGGGCATTATTGGCCTGGGATTATCGCTTTGAGCGGTGTCGATTCGTCCCTCGCATCATCCAGGAGACTTGATCTCTTTTTCTTTGTTGCCAGTTATCACCTCTTTCTGTACCAGTTTCTCATTCACTGAGCGCTGTACTTGCAACAAGATATGTGAATATTCGCCATCTCATCTATCTCAATTCAACAAAAATGGCATCGGTGATTGCAGAGCCCAATACTGGCTGGGTCCAGCACCGAATAAACCAGGCATTGCGCGCAGTGGTAGGCCACGCGTGTCGGCGTCCCCTTCACACCCTGCTCGTGACAGCCCTTGTCGCCGCAACGACTTATCTTCAGGTGCTGGAGGGAGCTTTTCAGGCGGCGAACATGTCGCAGACAGCTCCCTTCGACGTTCGATCGATTCTGTGGGGTAGCCGCAGTCTCCATCTCGGGGAGAAGAGCTCGTGGAGATGGCAGAACGACGTGTCAGCAGCACACGGTCATGGCCAGGTATGGCAGGCACCTTTGCTTCAATTGAACCTACGCGTACTTACCGATCGTTTCTTGATTCTCCTTGACAGGTTGACCAACACTTGGCGCTGGTAACACTCAACTTCCCCGGTTCTTCCGACGATAGCAACCCTCCCTTCGTCTTGCCCCTGTCCGTCGACGCCGAGCCGATCACTCCCACTTCGAATCTCTTCACCTCCTTCTTCGATGACTTTTCTCTGGCGTATCAGGTCCCCTACAATCAATTGAGCAGGCTTCTGGGAGACATCGAAGTAGTCGCATCGAGTGGCAATAACAGAACGTGGGCAATCCAGCGCCTCCGCGGAGAGGGCTCGCCCCTTTCGCTTGGCCGCTGGCTCGGCAACTCATGGCTATCGTTTCTGCACCGAGCCCAGCATGCCGAGACAGTGGACGTGGTCATCATTGGGCTCGGATACCTGGCTCTCAACATGACTGTGATCTCGCTATTCCGCGCCATGCGTCATCTGGGGTCGCGTGTCTGGCTGGCAAGCGCCGTCATACTCTCCGGGGCATTTGCCTTTGTGCTGGGGCTCGGGGTCACGACGGCCTGCGGTGTGCCGGTGGACATGCTGCTGCTCTCGGAAGGCATTCCCTTTCTGGTGCTGACGGTGGGATTCGAGAAGCCCATCCGCTTCACCCGTGCGGTGCTCTGTGCGTCTAAGGGACCTTCTCGTGGACCGCAGCAGGACAGTCACCCCAACTCAATCCCCACCACCATGCAGACCGCCATCAATGCACAAGGCTGGCTGATCGTCCGCTCATACCTCTTGGAAATCGGTGTTCTCGCACTGGGAGCAGCCCTGCGGCCACACGACCAATTCGGACAGTTCTGCTTCCTGGCCGCCTGGACCCTGCTCTTCGACGCCGTGCTGCTCTTCACTTTCTACGCGACCGTCCTCTGCGTGAAGCTGGAAATCACGCGCGTCCGGTGTCCAGATACACTCCATCAGGCGGACGAGCAGCGAGGCCCCCGCATGTTCGGGTACAAGGTCAATCCGGCCAACGTGGCGCGCTGGAAGTCGACGATGGTGGGCGGCTTCGTGCTGGTGAACGTGCTGCAACTCTCGTCGTTTGCGTTTCGCATCCTAGGCGGCTTCTTGACGAACCCCTCGCTTATGCCGACAGCTGTCAGCCCGTTTAAGGTGGCCGCCAACGGACTCAATGATATCTACCTGGCTGCCCGCGCGGCAGGGACGGAGACCCGCGTGACAGTGCTCCCTCCCATTCGATATACCCTCCATGCAGCCACAAAACCGGTTGACGGGGTTTTCGCAGGACTAGAGATTCCGGTGGCTCGACTGTGTCTGATCGGCGCATTGGCCGTCAGTCTCATTCTCAACAGCCACCTGATGCATGCCGCCCGCTGGCATGCTGCCGACGCAGCGAATGCGTCCGCTACACCTCTTGTCACTCATTCCTCAGCCCCCAGCTCCGGCCCTCAACCCCGGACCCCGGAAGAGACAGAGACTTTGCTTAAATCCGAGCAGGCAGAATCACTAACCGACGAGGAACTAGTCGACCTCTGCCTCCGGGGCAAGATCGCGGGATACAGCCTCGAAAAGACCCTGGCAAACATAGCCCCAAGCTCATCGCGACTCGAAGCCTTCACCCGCGCCGTGCGCATCCGCCGCGCCGCCATCTCACAAACCCCGTCCACCCAACCCCTCAGCCACGGCGTCCAGGACTCTCTCCTCCCCTACCGTGACTACAACTACGAGCTCGTGCACGGCGCCTGCTGCGAGAACGTGATCGGCTACCTACCGCTCCCGCTGGGCCTCGCAGGACCCATGCTCATCGACGGCCAGGCATACTTTATCCCGATGGCCACTACCGAAGGCGTACTCGTCGCCAGCGCCAGCCGCGGCTGCAAGGCAATCAACGCGGGCGGCGGCGCCGTCACGATGCTAAAGGGCGACGGCATGACGCGGGGACCCTGCCTGGGATTCCCCTCGGCCTCGCGCGCCGCCGAAGCGCAGCGCTGGGTCGAGTCTCCCGCGGGCCACGCAGTATTAACGGCGGCATTCAACGCCACCAGCCGCTTCGCGCGTCTGCAAACCCTAACCGTCGCGCAGGCCGGCACGTATCTGTATATCCGGTTCCGCACCACCACCGGCGACGCGATGGGCATGAACATGATCTCCAAGGGGGTCGAGGCGGCGCTGCACGCCATGACCGCCCACGGCTTCCCGGACATGCAGACCATCACCCTATCCGGGAACTTCTGCGCCGACAAGAAGTCCGCGGCCGTGAACTGGATCGGCGGGCGCGGGAAGTCGGTCATCGCGGAGGCTACCATCCCGGCAGATACCGTGCGGACGGTGCTGAAGACCGAGGTCGATGCGCTGGTCGAGCTCAACACGGCCAAGAACCTCGTGGGCAGTGCGATGGCGGGCAGTATTGGGGGGTTCAACGCCCATGCGTCGAACCTCGTGCAGGCGGTGTTTCTGGCCACCGGCCAGGATCCCGCCCAGAATGTGGAGAGTAGTAGCTGTATTACGACGATGAAGAAGTATGTCTGTCCTTTCTCTGGCGTCATCCCCCTATTGCCTTTCCGTCTTTGTTTATTTGTTCCTTGTTCGGATGATGGGTACTGGAAATGCTAACAACCCCAGTATAAACGGCAACCTGCACATCGCCGTCTCCATGCCCTCAATGGAAGTCGGGACGATCGGCGGGGGCACGATCCTCGAGGCGCAGGGCGCCATGCTGGATTTGCTGGGGGTGCGCGGCGCCCATCCCACCGACCCCGGCGCGAATGCCCGCCGCTTGGCCCGGATTGTGGCTGCCGCCGTCCTGGCCGGCGAGTTGAGTACGTGCTCGGCGCTGGCGGCGGGTCACTTGGTGAACGCGCATATGCAGCATAATCGGAGTGCTGCGGCGTCGGGAAAGAAATAGGCTCGGGATGAAAGGAGATATGGTTTTTGGGGTGTGGATGCATTGCTTTCATTGTTGCATGTCTGACGTGACGATCTTAGACTGTATGTTATACTGGAATGTCAAGCAGAGGATATGGAGTGGGAGGAGACTGGCATGCACCTGTCCCCTGGCTCGATGCGTGATCACCGTGTTTTTAGGCACCTGGCACTCACACCGCTCCATATCACCGACAAGACTATCCTTACATCGCTAATGCTAGGTATGCCCTCTTCTGAACCCGCTTATTAGATTCTGTCCTGGCGACTGATACAAATGGGCGAGCAATTCAGTGTCGGGGATATCTCTCTTTTCTATAAATAATCTTACATTGGCAATGCTTGATCCTCCAGCGGTTGATTTACAACAAGCCCGCCTTGCTATCACCATTGTATTTTATTGGTAAATGGAGAAAGTGAAGTGATTTAGATTCAACATCATGTCCTCAGAAACAGGCTTAGTCTGCCTAGTACAATGATATGGCTGTATGTTCGATGCACTATTTAGCTCCTTGCTTGCACTTACGCCCTTTAAACTCCGCAGTAGATACCACTTTTTGAATAAATAGCAATCCCCGCCTGAAACACTCAGTTGAATCCTACAAATCAGTGGCCCGGCACCTTCCATAGAGATTCTTATTCTATTCCTTTGCTTTGGAGTGCCCCTCATGCCTTCCAACAGCCAGAGTTCACGGGTTAAGGATAAATCTTTCCCCAGTGCACTTAAAGATCTGGAACTATCGGCAGCAGCTGTGCTTCAACACCTGAAAACGATTGGTAAATTCGATAACATGCAAACGCAGATCGACGACCTCACACGTCAGCTATCAGAGGCCAATCAAGCATTGGAAAAGATGCAAAAAGACCTGAGACAGCAGGAGGCAATAAAAGAGTCAATCACGATATCATTTGAGAAACGGGCCATACAATGGAAAGAAAGAGAAACCGACTTGGAAGCCCAGATTAACGACTTGAAACATAAAGCTGAATCAACCGCCCGACACCAATCACAGGAATTAGAGAAAAAGGCAGAAGGGTACGAACAAATTAATCGCAACTTAGAAGTCCAACTTCGGCGGCAAAAGACCCAGACCACCCAATTAGAGCTTCGCTTGCAGGAAAGTCAAGCAGAACTCCAAGAGCTCCAAGAGGATATCCGGATTATCCATAACAAATCTGATTGGTAAGCAGGTACAATCTATGTTGAGACCGGCAGGCTCATAGTTACGCAGCTCCAAGTCCTTCGAAGTGCTCGAAAAGGCTCTATACCACCTTGCTCAGAAATTCTTTACAGAACCTCTGCAATATGTTGACCAAGTATGTCCGGAATGTTGATCTTTATAACTCTGATGTGAAGGTCCATAGTTTGTTTAACACAACTCCAGGATTCAGCTCGATTTCATCATTCCCTCCAATTGATATCTATCCCCTACAATGACTACCGTCTCGTGCCGCGTGCTCGAATGGCACAATCTCAAATCGTGCATCGGCTGATTACCGATATCTTTAAACCCATTTGCCTAGGATCACCGAAGGGTAGCATGAGTATGAGCGACGCACTCCGAAGATGCGACAAAATGAGAAGTCGCCAAAAAGCGATCCTCCGATCACTTTTGATGATTGCCTTTGAGCCAGAAGAAGTACGACTTCAGAACGAGATGATCCAATCCGTTTCTTCAGACCTGCTTCTGGATTTAAAAAGGTTTTTGCGGCCGGAGGACGAAAGCTCTTTTCGTCAGGAGCTATTGGACTTTGTTTCATCTGCCGCCCAGGTATGGAATAACTTCAAAAAGGGCTCGGAATGGATCATGGCGACGTGCGAAGTGCATAGCTATCCTCATGGCTGGAGAATCGTCAAAGAGAACTTAGATCATGGAACTCCGGCAAATGCATCGAGCGGCCCTTCCCTGGTGGTTTTCCCCCAGATCATCCGCGACGGGACCGATCCTGTGCTGTACCACGGCTCTGTATGGTGTTCGTCTTCTGATACAGACGCCCAGCAACGAGAACACCCTAGTCGGCGAGTGTCGGAGTCTCGAACACACAGGAATTCAGTCACGCCGAGGTCCTTAGTGGGTGCTGGTGAATCCACATGTCAGAATTCGGAATCGGAGAGATCGCCTAAGCCACTCATAAAGCGGCCCCTATCAGAGACTAAAGGGAAGGGAAAGGGTAGGTCGACTCAATAATTGGAAATACTATGAGCATGATTCAGGCCATACGCGGAGATCTAATGGGAGCATTGGTGTGATTCTTCTCGATTCACAGGCTGCTAAGAGACATTTTCTTGGAATTTACTTAAAGTAAGGAATTGATAAAGTGCATCCGGATGATATTTGGGTAAAATCAAGCTTTCCGTTTTCTAGTGGTTAGTATAGGCACATTGCCTATGGGTGTTTATGTTCTTGGAAGCGCACCCATGTAGACCATGTAGGCTAGGTCTATCGAGTTTATCTAAAGCATCACCAAGTCCTAGCGCAACGTCGTATTGAAAGTTCCTGTGCTTCTAGCTGTGCTTATCTCAATAGTAGGTTTGGTACAAACCTATATTATACTGGACCACCTTCAGCTGCGACAAGGATTATGACGTTCAAACAGCATCCCACGGTTGTGGTGAGTGCAAAATCCAAACCGTTTTGCCGTTGCCGTCCATACTTCAGACAATTCAATATTTGAGGGGTTTGAGCTTATGGTGAGACTTTTTGTAATATGGGCTAGTATTCATAGCAACTTGAGAAGGCAAAGTATTCAACAAACAGTGAATCTACAGAGATAATGCATTCATTCAGGCGTAGGTGTTAGCAAAAAAATCGACATCGGCTTGAGAATCGTCAAAAATGATCAATATTCTTTGGCAAGGTGACGACAACTATAAAAATAAGCTTGAAGGATAGACTGACTCGCCCGCAGGGATACCGCTTTTGCAAAGACACCGGTGCTCATCTGAGACAGCAACGACGCAACCAGCACCGGGTTCCTGCATATCAAAGATAGATCAATCCGATGGCATCGACACTCCTGACAGACACGGAGATGACAGCGGCGACATTCCAGGATGAATTTCCAATAACGAGCTTCGCACATCTCACACGTAAAGCCTCGTCGGCCACCGCCCTCGATGCGCTCAAAACGTCTTGAATGCTCGTATTCGTGGTTCTGTCTCAAATCTTCCTGCATGTCCCGCACACGTTGCTGTTGTTCCTGGCGAGGCATTGGCCCCAAGGCGTCGCGCTCGACTACCTCTTCTGCTCTCTTGAGTAGTCTGTGCTCATCCCACCTTTCACATTTGCACGTTTTCCATCTGGATCCACACAAATAGCAAAATTGTGCTTGACAAGTGCATCTGGAGTAGAGTCAGTAGCTTTCTTCGGCTTTCTGGATATGTTTGAAATATTACGTTATATGGTGGCAACCCACACCGAGTTGTACAACGGCCCTGCAGGAGAAGCAACGTTGCCATCCTTCGCTCCTGGCTAAATCTAATGTAGCTGCTAAAGCCATATCTTCCGGACAATCTTCACCCTGATGGAATACACTCTTACACGTAGAACAGGTCATTTTATCGCAGGCAAGGCAGTGCGCCAGGTTAAAGGTTATCTGGGCCGGTGGAATAAATCTTCCGCAGTCGAGGTTGCTGCAGTATATGCGATCGGTGGTTGTGAACTCAACTTCCGCCTCACAAAACTCCTGGATTTCTTCTTACAGGAGTAGACGTTCTACACTTTGAAGGGCGATTGGTTGTCGTCAGCATCGCGGAGGGAAGAGCAAAGGATCTTTGGTGGCTCGAAGAAACAGGCTCCGAAGGCACTCATCACAGTAGAGATGCGTGCAGTCCAGACGAACCAGCTTTCTCAAAGAGAATGTTTCGTAGCAGGCCGTACACCTCGCGACGCATTCCAATTCATCTCGGCGCTGGGTCGAGAAGGGTGCCGTCGAGAGATAAAAAGCATCATTTTGGTGCTGCCGTTGAGGCTCAACTTGATTTGATGAAACTCTCGTACAGATTTCGAGGTCTTTTTGGACATTTACCGAAGAAGCTGAGGGGCAAGGTCGCGACGTGGGGACAAACTCACCTCGACTAGCTTGGTGGGCGAGAATGCGATTACTGCTAGCCTGTGCTTCTTCAGCCTGCAATAATGTAATCAATGGGCTGTCTTGATTTATAGCAGAGGCTGTACTGTATGCTATTTTTAAGCCTGTCAACCTTGTCCTTATGGCTTTTATCTCCTGCTCAAAAACCATCCATGCGACATCCTTGTCTAGTGAATTAGCGGCGTGTTGCTTGCTTTTTCTTATCTCGCGGTAGTGTTTAATCTCAGCAAGCTGTTTAACAACCGCTGCGATGTCGGCTTCTATAGCAAGAGGGTTTGTGTCGAGACGACAAGATGCCATACTGTTGGTGTCAAATGCCAAAATCTGTACTGGGTTACTATGGACCCTGATGTGAGAGAAGAGGAGATTGAAAATGAAGAAAGGCGGGTAATGCAGTGGCACTCAGTAGATGGGTGTTGCATCGCTTGCAAAAGACCGAAACGAGAAAATGCAGTCCATATAGCAATGTCGGACCATGTTGCTTCCTCGAATATCACTACTGATAACTTTAATAAAAAAATACATATTTTTTAAGTTTCATGATATCACTACCTTATTTCAGACTATAAAAATTCGATCTGATGCCTAAATTTATACGCTGTGTGCTGTGCGGCAATGTCACCATAGCATAATCAAGATAGTAGCATATTTCGGATGGTACTTGACTTTGCAGAGGCAGCGCAGAGATTTCGACGACGCCAGCCCTAGGGGCGGCCGGGGAAAATCCCAAACACCGACCAGTGCAGGCCTCGATGAAAGCCCGAAATCCTTGAAAGTATAAACAACAACATTCGGATGCACATATCGAGTAGAGTTGAAAATCCGAGAGTATTGCCCAAGGTGAGGGGCTAGCGATTCAAACATCGTCATCATTATCACCACTGCACGGTTAGCCGAAAGGGGCAAATGAAATGACCTTAACATATTCGGGCAAAGAAGAAGCCTTCGAAAAAGTTGTCTAAACTGAAAGGTTTAGTCAAGAGCATCCCTTGGCACTTTTCTACATCATTTCCGCGACGCAAACCATCTGAATTGTCTCGACGAGTTTTTAAGAGTGAATATCTTTCAGATCAGAAATGATATCGTCAGGGCCACTTATCTTATACTATCGAAACTATAGGTCTGTATCGTTTTCTAGGCAAACTCTCGCAATTGGTGCGTAGCCTGTGGAAGGTTATATGAGCACAGGTGAATCTTATGCTTGAAAGGAGCAGATACATAACAACGCGCTGCTACATTTGATTCAATTGCAACGACTTCACTTTTGCCATATATCCCCACTGTTTCGTTTTGCATGCAAAGATTCTGAAGACAGGAGGAACATGGGTAGAGCTTCAAACATATTCTGCTGCTTAGTGATGCAAAATTAGCTCCCTGATGCTTTGAGTTTGATTTGGAAGTATGAGAGATTTGACCACGGCAGCGCTTTCCAGGTAATTCAGAACAAAATAAGCCAAGTTGAAGGGAGGGAATACCATCATCATGTGAAGCTCTTAAGAAGCCCATGATCCATGCTGTGTCTCTTCTACGCTAGGTGCATCGTACCAAAAAGTCGGTTTCCTGTATCGGTTGTTCCTCTGCCGGTGTATTTGTTCTCTGAAAGGCGAAGGGCAACAAGCCCAACATTCGACTTGCGCGCAAGCATGCATAGTGGACTGCGAGCGGCCACAGCCTGTTTCTGAACCACACCAGCCACTACCACAATACGGAGAGTTGCATTGATCTGCCGAATATGCCGAATCATCTCCGAAACAGAACGTCCTGTGTTAATAACTGAGTCTACAAGAATTGCGGTAACTCTGCCATTGAGATGCTCATGCGCAATATCTGCCACACAGCTAGCATGATGAAACATTGCTCTAGGAAACGCCTCGCTCACTCCCAGAGCCATGGGTTCACCTCCTCGCATCAGCGCTATTATTATTGTTTTTGCTTCGTGGCGGAGTTGAAAGCCATCTATGGCATATCCTTGCACATGAGGTATTTGGGTGGTCTCAAGGCCAAGGAGAGTAGACACGTGAGTCATTGAAAGGTAGTATCCCGCACGCTTGTGCGCTCCCCTAAGTAAGGGGCCGCAAACACTAGCGTCGCGCATCGGTGTCGCTAACAATTTGGCAGCATTTGTGTTGGAGCTGTGGAGAATCTCAAAATTGATTGACCTGCTTAGATTCTCCAAGGTGATTGTGGGGAGCCTTTCTGTGTCTAGACGTGATGGCACCCCACTGGGTAAGAGTAGTTGATGTGCGTGCAACTTATGACGCTCGATAACAGTGGCTAATTTGGTCTCCATCGACCGGCTCCTGGTATGGAGATCACCCACAACAACAATGGCTTCGTCAGCTCGGCGTAGCATGTCGAGATCGAGTGGGCTGTCCCCAAAGGCCCAAACGTAACTGCAGTAAGTTTCCTTAAGATGGTCCACTATTGCAGCTTTGACAATGGGAGTAACAACGCAATCATCCGGATGACGACCACCTCCGATGACGACAAATTTTCGAGTGAGACCGCTATTCTCAAGCACGCTAGTCCATACCTGCTGCAGTCCACAGGTGACAATCACTGCGCCGATATGCGCTTTAGATTCGATATTATGGAGCAACGATAGCATTTCGGGATAAAGCCGAACCGAGGACGCCACCTGTGAGCAAATTCTCTCGAACTCATCATTTGTAAATTTCTCCTCGTAGAGCAAAGACACCTGGCGGAATGCAGCGTATGAGTAGCCCAGCTTGCTGGTGAAAATAGCTTCTAACGGGGTTAGGTTATCGGTCACTGAAGGTAAATGTGTTCGCCACAGCATGTCTCCGGTATCGTCAGCGGCGAGCGTTTTGTCTCCATCAAGCACAAGAAAGGTTTCAGGCAGATGGTCACGACAGTATCCAAGGGCAGCATCCAATTTTCTTGTTGCAAGGTTCAAGTTATAGACTTCATCGTGCTTATAGAAGTCAATAAGCAGAGTTGTTATTGCATCCAGCTTGCAAGGAGACACGAGAGCGAACAGAATACAGTTGTTGTAGCAGAGTTGACGCAACAGCGACTTTTCAGCTTTGAGCCATTGAGAGATGTCTTCCACGGACAAATCTGGTCTCTTCTTTGAGTATCCTGTTGACGCCGAGACCAAACCACGTCTGCAGGCTCGTCCAGATACAAGATGTGTGAGAAAACCTCCAGGTCACTATCGGTATGAACAATTTCGTGGGTCCCTTTTTCTGAACACAAGATCAGGTGACCGGTAACAATAGCGGTTTTTCCAGACTCGATCGAGGATTCTCTGATGCTCTCAATAGCTCGTTTGCGCCAGAAGTTCTTCTCTTCTTTTTCTAGTGACTGAAAAGCTTCAAGTCCACCGGGTACAACCCCAGAAATCACGGCAGAGCCTTCATGATATGTGAATAACTCGTCACCCAGTTCCCTCCTAAGTCGATTAAGCAGCAATGTTTTGCCCACGCCGGACACACCATATAGACCAATGACCGTAGCCGAGTTCTGGGCTCCAGATCTGCCATTGGCAATTGGTGGCAGAAAGAAACTGTCGGTCATTTTCGACTCCCTTTTCTAACAAACGTTAACCACGGGCTTCTTGTTCAAGGATAACTTGGTCGGCGAAGACTGTGTATCCTCCAAAGTATTAACAAGCGATAGATTGGTTAATGGCTCCGGAGAGTAGCAGCAGAAAATAATCAGAGAAATCAAGTCCGCGGTGGAATGATCCCTCTTAAAAGAAGACCATCAACATAGCCTAAGATTTATATCACAACCCTCCACTACATGATTACTAAATCAAACGTATTTGATTAGCTTCAGATTTACGACCAAGTCTCATTAGCTGTAATTGCAGCCTGCGTATGTGGCAGGCTAGAGCGAGCACGACTATGTTCGGTGAACATTCTTTCATGCTACTCTTGGCAAACTCAAAGTAGCTATCTATTCAATCTCTTGTTAGAAGCTGAGGGAGGGATAGAACCTTTAGCTCACTCTCCGGCAATTGCGTGAGGCCCACATCAATAGTTTCTAGCCGACGCACTGAACCAGAGTTGGCACGAAGGAATGTTTTCAAGGTATGGAACGATACGGTCAGGTTTTGTAAACCAAGTTTTTCCAAACCAATATTGCGGCGGCAAAGAAGTTCGAGCGGAAAACCACCGCCGGTTACCTCCAAAAAAGGTACACCCTCTAGAAGACGCAAAAGACACTCGGTCAATCCTCCTCGCTCGCCGTCGGTGGAGAAAGCGGGGTAGGTCACATTAGACAAGCAAACGGACTCGAGGTCGAGACCCCGCCACCTGGCGCGGGTGATCCCAGCGAACAAGGTACACAGTCGTGTCACATTGTATTTCCTTTCTTGACATAGCGTGTTTAGATCCTGGATATTCTCCAACGAGACTCTTGTTTCGTCTAGTTGATGAAGAGCGATTTTGATTCTTCTTAAGCGAAGAAAGGATCGCAATGACTGCACGGTTTGCCACATATCTATGTCCTCGCACTCCAGTCGTTTTTTTCCGTGGCTGGATTGGTCGAAGCAGTCAAGCTGCTTTTCCGCTGTGATTTTATGCTCGGACCCGGTATGATAGTCCGGTTCAAGATCATCAAGGGTGGGGATAGCATTCACTAGGTAGACTGGTTAGTTGATGTCATCTCCCATCAATCTCTTTAGCGAATTGTGTTACCTTCCGTGGTTCTGCTCACTTGGAATTCTAGAGAGGTGACAAATGAACAAAGGTTGGATCCGGCTAGATTGTTCAAGCAGGCAATGCTCTCCTGGGAAAAGTCGACTGCAATGTGGCGGAATAGAATAGGTAGAACTCGATCCCTAAGACGCTTATTCACGCGCGACATCTCCTTCAATGTTCGGAGCTCGAGATATTCAAATATCGCGTAGAGGATTTCTCCTGGCAAAGCTTCCAGCCACGGCTTTGGGGGCATTGTAGGCTTCAATAAAATCGGATGAACTCTTTATCGGATGTCTTCAAATCTTGAATCAGGCCAGACTCGTTTTTATCCTACTTGGATAGTGAGAAATAGTCCCTTGTAGCTTTTTCAAATCATATTATAGGCGACAATACTTCTTCTGGCTTACAGACACATCATAACGGCTAGTCAAGATTTTTCCATGTCCCGCAGAGCAGGGGTATGTGTTGATTGCTTTATTCCATGTGAATATAGGAGTCAACTTTTTATCAAATGGTGGAGTAAACCGCGCTTTGATTAATGCAATGTATTCGGATTAACTACTCGGACAGCCAAAGAGCCAGAGAGACTACGCTGACTGCATTACTGGCATTCTTCTTAGAAAACGTTTGATGCGAAGTGGGTGAAGGTTGTTACAAAGCTTTTCTTCTAGCTGTATCTTACACTTCCTATTCGCGAATCGCCCAGAATCCCGTCATCATCCGGTGTCAGCTCTCCGCCGACCAATCGTAAGGGGGTTGTCTGGCGCCGCTGGCGATTTGAAAGCTCGATTGCAGAAAGAATTAATACTAAAACTTGTCATAGAGCTTAGTCTGACGCCATGACCTCGGTCGGGAAAGGTCTCTGTGGTAGAGACTGGACGCGCACCCTCAACATTGGGTTGTAGACAAGGAGAGAGACGCTCAACCTCTTTCAAGAAACGCGGCGAGCTTGCCCTTTGGTCTGCCCACACAAAATGCCCACGCGTAGTGACCCATAAAGTTCTTGATCCGTAAATCCATTTCTTCGAGCTTGAGCACGCGTTTCTGCTCAAGAATACAACAATTTTCAGGGCTCAATGTAAGCGTACATTGCAATTCCACCTCTCCAACCATGTGATTATCAAAGTCCATGGTATCCTAAACTATCGTATATTCATCATCGGCGATCCAGCTTTGTCTCAAAGTCGTAAAGTCAGCCAACTTTCGTAAGCCAAAGTTGTTGTATTGCGTTTGCTTGATGCCCGTCAAAATCTCCAGTTGACTGGAGATTTCTTTTGGATCATGCAGTTCCACAAATCTCGAATTCTGAAAATCCCCTCCATGTTTTATTTTTGCTTCCCAGTGCCCATTTCTTCTTCGTATCCAAATACCCTTCGATGACAATAGCCCGTCCAGATCGTAGTAAATATTGTGGAAAGAGTGTGAACCGAGGTACTGCAAGCTTCGAAATGATGGAGTTCCTCCGGCACGTGTAAAGGGTTGCACGGCAAGTTGCGTGAATTTTCGCTCTACCTCTAAGGTGAGTGATTTGATGGTACTCATGGGTGTATCCTGAGTGGCGTGATTTTCTCTTGTGAGGCACAGAGATTGTTTATGGTAATATAGTCTGAATGTAGGCAATGGAATAGTAAACGCGTAAGTCTGTGGCCTCTCTTTTCAGCGGTCGCTCTGTTGACGGAGTTACAGGGTGCGACAAAGACAGCCACTTTTTTAGACCATGGTTGGTGCGAAAACCGGAAGAAAGGTGCCGCAGTAACGCAAAGCATCAGCGAATTCTAGCCATGCAAGCAATGGTTGTCAAATAAACAAGGGGGGAAATGGAGGCACAAAAATCCGAGGAATGCTGTAATTTTCGTATGATATAACTTTGAGCTCCACGGAACGGTAAAACAAACCTGGGTTCATCGGAGCGGTCCGTCGGGCCATCGCGTAGTATGATACCTCCACAATACGACTAGAAACCTTTCAGAAAACATACACATTCCATCCCAAAGGCATGGTGTAAACTGTTCCCAAATTGGTGTTAATATTACATTAGCATGATAACATACAGCTATGACTTCGTTGATACAGTGCACAATGTAGCCTGGTACTTTTCCTGAAATCAGATGCTTGATTTTCGGGAGGAGACACTACTCCTCCCTTGTAGCCAGCGTAAACACAAGCGTGGGGGATTACACTAGTGTATGTTTGCCCTGCCTATTGCCGAAAGAGGAAATTAAGTAGGCAGGTCTTTTTAATCACTCGATTAGGAATGGTGTGGGGGCATGTCCATCTTCCCAAGCCTATGCACCTTCAATGCGTTGGTTCTTTTTAGGCACCACCAATGCTGGATTATTCGCAAGTTACCAGAGACCCTCAAAAGTCAGACCTAGCATTTAGAGCTAAGGGCCGAGGCTCTCGCAACCGAGCTGCTTTGCTGGGTTCAAGTCAGTTTTAGCCAGACACAGCATGTCAAAATGCATTCATTTACAAGTTGGGTATAATTAAACGACGGGTATATGCACATCAATATACACCTACCATAGCGCCGCCGCACGATATCCATGGACAGAGTCTAGAGCAGGCTACCGAAGATACAAAGCGGCAATAGTTTATTCTTGAGGTTACACGGTGTTCCGGCGTTTGCTACTCATCATGGTACTCGGCGTTATCGCTAATCGTCGCAAAAATCCTCCCTTCCAAAAAAAGACTTGTCTAGAATACAATAAACAGATCCATTTCTGCCAGCCATAAATAGGCTTCCGCCTTCTACTCGGCCTCTGCAAATATAAGAGCTTGAATCTTGTCATGTAGGTCTTTGAATAAATATCACAGTTGAGCCTTTCCGGAGAAGAGTCGAAAGAATCCTCCATCCCAATTCCTAGCAACATGGCCAGCCCTGGCAGCGAACTTGTTATTTCTATCCAGAGTCGGTTAGGCGTTACATTTGACAAGCCATCACTAATTCACGAAGCATTTATGGCTGCCGGCGCCGTCAACAGAGATGGTAACAAGGACCTAGCTCTTATTGGAGATTCAGCCCTTCAACTTTTCCTACAAACGCAAGGCCGTACTAGGAACGCAAGCCGTGGTATGCAAGCGGTTTTCCTCGAGTAAACTTTGAGTCAATTTCACTAAACCTGCGTATGGTGCAGAACGAATCAATCAAGTTGTCTCACGAATCGCTGGTAATACGAACCTTGCCCAGCGGGGTTTTGAGCTGGGCCTTGATCAGTACATTGTCAAAAATCCCTCGCAGGGTAATTATGTCGCCGACAAGCTGATGGCGACAACTGTCGAAGCTATTGTCGGTGCTGTGTTCCTGGAAACAAATTGGGACCAAGAGGCATTGCAAAGAGCCATAACTGCCTTGGGCTTAGCGTGGCCGGATGTCTGAGTAAGGGCGTTCCCATGCATAGCTAGAAAGATTTAGGAAGTTCGTATTAATGTCATACATATAGTCTGTGCTTATCAAGGAGTATGCTACCTCAAGTCGCGTGCTGGTCCATTCGTTTTGAGATGATTGTATGATAAGGAAACGCGTATTTTATCGATTTCTCAAAAGGAAATCAAGGGAGGATTGAGCTCAATTCCCTCACGGAACGCCAATTTCAACGTAGCAAGCGCGGGAACGCGGATAATCATGTCCGAGAGGGTTCGTTTCCTCAACAAGTTCAACCTATCTACAAGCTCATACCTTTGTCAATTTGCATCATGAGTAACCACGTCTCCTACCAAGTCCTTGCGAGTATTATCCTGTATATGGACTTCAAAAAGATTGCTTCTCCGAGCTCCGCTGCAGGGTAAATTTTCACCTTCGTATCGAGCAAAATCTCCTTCTTCGAAGTCCTTACATGTAGCTAAGGTTTATATCGTGTTAACGCAACATGGGCTTTTGTAAAGATTCGAGAGTCCAGGAGCACAAACTTGCAACACAGTTTTGGAGTTGTTTGTCACTTTGACTTAGCAACCATTACTACAATTTTCATTGGGTAGACTTTCGTCTGGGCTCGGGCGATTCACTCTACAAGAAGTGCTATCGACTTTTTGAGATGGAGAAATCACCGCAACCAGTGTAGATCTTGCGTGTTGACGAACAGTGCCCTCTCCTTCTACTACAATTAAATGAAATCTCTCAGAAAGTGAGATACAAATTGAATTAAACCCGTAACCAATTCAATTGCCCAGGATACATACATTGCTGCAATGATTTTTCTTTTTCTTACAAGCAAAAGTATAATCTATGACCTGCATCTCCAATCATACCGAAACCAGGGTAAACAACCGAAAGAGCGACCACGATTCCGCTATTCGTGGACTGGGCTGAGAGACTGTGTCAATTGCTGCCATTGCCTCAAAAGCCGCAGAAGATCGTCAGAGCCTTTGGGGTACTTTGATAGATCATCTGGCTTCACTGAACTGATCCATGCTTCCAGATAATGCTGAGCATTACCAGCAATAAGACTTTGAACTAAAGGAGTAACAGTACCACAAATTTCGTCAATCAAGGGTCCTTGTTGAGATTTTAGCAGTGAGATGATTTCAATGAACAGCCGATCATTTATTTTCATGTTTCTATGATATTCTCAGTCAGACTCTTTAGTCATCACTCAAGTCAACTCACAATAGATGAGAAAGCGACGGGATTGGACTATCATGAGAATGCATTAGTCCAAAGATGCCCAAACCAAATGATTCGTGAAGCGATTTGAGTCGTTCCCCCCTTCTTCGCAGAACCGTCACTCTTTGACGGATCAATGAGTAACTTCTTGAGCTTGGTTCCAGGTCTGGATACGCTATCTGCAATATTCTTCTCGTTATGTCAGCTCTTCTTAGATTGATTGGATTGCCAGGTCCTTGGGGACCGGCGTCGGGTCGGTAGGATACACCCAAATCAGTGCCCTCCTGGTCTGTGCACAATTCGAATAATTGCCAGGTGTTGTAATAAATCAGGAGATCAACATGGCACTTCAGATTCTCCAAGGCTTCTATATTGCAGTATCTTTGTTTAGCAGACGCTTGAGCTAGAAAGATCGCTGGCGATGGGTTCTCTATACCCAGGCTCCCATGAATGTTGTCATGCAATCCAGCAATGGATTGTGGACCAGCAAAGGTGAGGAACAACATGGGTAGATTAAGCCATTTAGGGACTGATTTCTGCAGTTCGAGTATCTGCCGTAAAGCCCTCGGATTAAGATAGGTCTCCTGAGGAGGACTGATCCCGTGACGAAAACACGCTTTAGCTTCTTCTTCCATGAAGCCATTGAAGACTGCATTTTTTGGTTGAGAATATTCTTCAGCTATATTCTTAGGCGGCTTGTTAGCTGACATGAGAGCATTCGAAGGTGCTAGTTCTTCACGCTCGTCCATTCGAATATTTTGCTCTAAAACACCTGGAGACAGTGGCCTAACATGGGGCTTGAACCATCTCATCTGTTCGAGTGCTCTTGTGGTAATCTGATTGCTGTCTGATTCAAGGTAAATAGCGCCTATGAGAGCATTGATTGCCAAATCCAATGATTTAGAGGATCGACTTCCTGATGTAGGACAAAAGTTGATAATCTGATCGAGCTTTGCAGACTGGGCGAGCTTTGCGCAGCGTCCAATGCTAACTATTTGATCCTTCATTATTGAACAGATTTCTTCCTACATTAGCAGGATCCTTTGAAAATGACTGATCAAAGCTTACGAGGGCTTGTCCCAGATAGGTATCCCAGTCTCACAGAACATAGGGATACAAAATGCTTCCCAACTTGTGCGAGCGTGCGATTGCCCTCATGGTTGTCTCTATCCGCACCCGCCGCTGTTAGAGCTTTTCGCAGGAGTTCCCCATCTTGAAATCGATATCCTGTGAGCGTTTCCACTTGCTTTATGAGGATAATATCCGAATTGGGAGTCACGGAGGACATTGTCAACAATTGATATAAATCTGAATATGGTAGCACTTAAGAGGTTTTTGAGATACTTGGCAATCTTCATCTCAAGGACGTGATTAGACCTGCTTTTGAGGTTAAGCATAGATCGCTCAGAAAGAGACACTTGCTAAACGATCAACTCCAGATGCGGGGTTTCCGATACCAGTGCCGCGTAACCCTTGGCCTGCAGGTCAAGCACTGGGTAGAGTGGTCATTCTGCTTGGTCATACTATCTTGCTGAGGGACAGGTGGAGATAGTCCAGTAAGGTTAAGGCAAGGTTGTTAGAACAGACAAATTGGGTGATTGTAAAGATGCGCTTAGCCTAAGTTAGGATGTACTTGACGTTGTTCTTGACGCTCAATGAGCAGGTGACAGGATGATTTAATTGTAAGTGCTATTGCCTAGCACGCACGCATGAAGTCCTTATCTGATTATTGGTGCATAATGAAGAGTTGTAGACAAGCAGCGCTGCACTGCCACATGCACAAATGTACAGCTGGCTAGCTTAAACTTTCCTTCATCTTGGCGGTCATCAAAAGTCAGGTAGTATCTGTAGATAGTCAGTTTCAATATACTGCTTCCTTTAACTTGAGCGATTTATATTCCTTTATCCTATTTTACACAAGCAATACATCGTGTACTCGGTAAAACATGTTTCATGACCGGACGCTGGCTTATTTTTCTTCTCGCCTAACCCAATCTGACAGGAGGAATTAATCAGATCCATGTATGCAAGTAAAAAAATATATGACCGTCGATGATTTCATTGATCTGACATGAAGAGATGGCGCTGTATGAAACTGTCTATAAATATGACGAAATTCCCGTTTTCATCCGTCGCGAAAATTTGAAGCCCTGGCCCGTGGGTTATTATCATCGTTCCCAACTCGCGTGCCAAACTTTACCATCCTAGGTCAACTTTCTGCTCTTTTTATATACCACGTCTTTAAACTTGAGAGCTTATCTTCAAAGCCGTTGTGCAGCATGACTAGTCCATATATTGACTTGACCCAGGAGATTGGAAATATTCTGGGTTATCAATTTCGTGATTCAGCTCGCCTAGAGGATGCCTTCAGGGCAGCTGGTGTCAATGATCGTGATGGCAACAAAAGATTAGCTCTTGTCGGCATTACAGCCCTTCAACTATTCTTGCAAACTGAGGGACAAGCCAGGCGCGCAAGCCGTGGTAAGTTTTGATATGTAACTATTACTCAGATGTCCGACCGACTAATGTATCCCTTCAGAACAGATCAATAAGGTCGTCTCCCATCTTGCTAGCAACATAAATCTGGCTGAGCGTGGATTTGAGCTAGGCCTCGATGAATTCATTGAAAACAACCCTTGTCAAGGAGATACTATCTCTAACAAGGTTATGGCAGCTACCATGGAGGCTATTATAGGCGCAGTCTTCTTAGAATCACATTGGGATCGCGACACGTTAGGATTGATTGTGAATTCAATGGGTCTCTCTTGGCCTGACGAATAGTCTTATCAGCTCAAATTTTTACATCCCAGGTGCCATGTTATAAACAATTATATCTCTCGGGTTTCACGTATATACCGGCCTGGATCTGACCGCATCTTTCAGCTTTTCGTATGATAGATGATGAGTTTGTCCATGACATAAAAGACAAGCCCCAGCTCACTTGTTTATAGAAGGTGCAAATAGAAAGTAGGAGCAATTGAGAATGAATAGTCTGACGGTAATGAATCGGATTTAGTTTCTTTCTGCTTCTGTCTAGAGTTTTGTCTCCTTCCTATGCTTGGAGGAGTGGGTCAAGTGATACAGAGGGGTCTGAACAGAAGAACAAAATATTAGTTAATAACTAATGCTTCGGCCCTATGGCGGAAAAGCAGCAGCGTTGTCGTGTGACCGCGCAGTAACTGCATTTGAGGTGTTCCTTTGTTCCTTACATGATCACCCACGCCCAGATGGCCAAATTGCTGGCAGCGATGGCACGGCTTCTTTTCCACCCGGAATTGCTCCTATACCCCCGATGAAACTCTGCCCTACCAGCAGTCCGTTGTTGATGATTCATTCGGCCGCCTCGGGTAAATCCAGAAAGATTCCCATGGATGCCGATTTGCCTAGTGGTCTATCTCTATTCTTCAGCCATGCGAAAGCCTCCATCTGAATCTTCTTCTCATCGAGATAATTCTCGGTCGCTATCTGTCTTGATATTTGTTTCTTTTCACACTATCGGATTAATCAAAAGACTGGCTGGTCTCAATCGGGGTTCGACAGGGGCTTCTGACGTGGTCAACGGGAGGTTGGAAATACGTGACGTCGGTGTGGGATACCTAAAGCGTCAATAATCCCGGCCAAATTCTGAAGGGCAGGAGAGATTTGCTTTCCTGACCAAGCTGTTGCATTCTTCAGTGGGAGGTCAGCTAAGTCTTAGATTTGATTTTGGTGTGGGCCATGCTGCATGTCATTGACATGTGGATCGAAGTTGTACTAGATGACCTTCAGAAAGACGGTGGTGAGGTGCTAATCAATCGCACATTACGGCGAAAAATGACAGTAGACAAGGTTCAGCAAGCCTCTAGGCCTACTAGCCTATGTTCATACACCTATGAACCAATGCTGAGTCAACATACTCAGCCTGAATTGAAAATATCGGTAAATGAACGCGTTTATTGTATTTTATTGGACCATACATGTTCAGGAGATGACTCTGAAGAAGAGAGAAAACCCATTTTTAGCCCAGGTTCCGGCTCAGAGCCGCACATCAGAAGACTAAGAACACAGGAATAATGTGAAGCTGCCAATCAAAGTAGTTGGACTTTTGAACCTAGAGTCTCCGTCTTGAAGCTGTGCCTACTCCAACTGGAGAAGTGGCCCAGGTATTTCGATCGAAGGTAACCTGCGTACCAGTGACGAATGCTCGGTTGTGCAGACCTCAGATAGATAAACTAAAAGAATCAGCCACTGTATTAGAGGGTTCGGCACGAGACTTACCTAGCCAGGACCGAGGCTAAATCTTCATTCGAGTTGGGACAATGGCCAACTCTACACCCTTCACACAGCTCACTATCATGCGGACCTCTGCTCTGGCCAGAATAATTTGGTCGCTGTACCTTCAGTCCATTCCATCTTTTGAGCCAATATGTCACTCTTTCCGCATAGCACTCGGAATCTAGGATCAGTCGACCCACGGCTTGACAATTTCTGCATCGTTGATGATACACTCGCGCATTATATCGCTCTTGGGAGTACATGCGAATTGTAATCGCAATCTTTTTGCTCGACCAGCCGCTAGAATAACATCTGCGATTTTGACATATGAATCGACCCATAACGTTCGTGTCACGTTCCTCAATGTTGGTATCTTCATCATCGACGTCAAAGAAGTCTAGCTGAAGCCCTTCCTCGTCTAACAAGCGTGCGACGTCATCATGAAGCTTTGGATGGAGCGACCACAGTTTCGCGGCTTTGCCTCCCTTTTGTGGCATATTGAGTTTGAATGCTGGTAGTGGAAGTTCGTATGTGAAAAGATCGCGTTGAGATCATGATTTTGGTTGGGCTTATGAACTTTTTATCTGAGAAAGCCTACCCCGCTTCAATGCAGCAGCAGTACTTCTTGAGAATGACACGCCACTGCCATAGCACAAATTCTTTGATAGACGTTTCTCATGCGGTGTCGGGCATCGTCATAGACATTCTCAGCGCCAATGCCCCGCCCGTCTAGCGCCGCAATGCACAGAATCAAAACTGAGTAGACTGCAACATTTCTCTTTCAGGATCCTCGACAGACTGCTGCTAGCAGAAACATCTCATCATTCAACATGGACAGTCTGGCGAAAAAGCTGCGAGGTATTGTTCTGAATGAAACAACACATTACCAGAACAGCTGCTGTTCGATGCATCTGCAGACCGTGCAATACTCGCCAAGTGATCCACGTTACCTTTTCCGCGTGCTTTCTCCTTTTTCGGATCGCAGAGTGGATGGAATAAGAGTGGTATCCATAGCAGCTTGAAACAAAGGTAACAGAAGATCAGATCAGCCATGGTTAGGCTCCTTGAGTCAAGTAAGTAATGGCCCGGCAGCCCTTGAATGGTGCTAACGGTTAGTTAAGTACATCGCGTGACGTCATTGAGGGTTCTTCGCCAAGGATTAGAAGTAGCTTGACTTGGGATAAACGTACAAACAAGCCTGATAATTTCCCTACGCCGCTTAAAGTGAGTGCAAGGCAATAGCTTGAGCCGTTTTTGATGTCTTTTAGCAATAAGCAAAGCCTCTTGTTATATGAAGTTTACGGGCTGAGCTGCTTTATTTTTGGATTGGCACTAGATAAACTGCGCCACGCTACTCCCATTCGGGAGGTTAACTAGGCACAGTTTTTATACTTCCTTTTCGAGGCAATGAGATCGGAATGTACTACTGCGTGATTATAACCAGGTTCTTGAATAATGTCTCCACGAGACTTATCCCTGTCTTTTGTCTTCAGCCACAATTCAGAATTGATAAAAATTAATACGATTCTTACCAACAGGTTATTGGTAAGGCCTAATACCCACTACTAAGTCCTGATAATTGAAATTTGAAGACCATGAGTCTAAGTAATTGTGAGCAATGATGTCCGCTCCGAGAAATATGATATACTATTGCAATAATTCCTATTCTGCCGGTCGGTATATGGACAAACTACCCAGCCCCCCCCTCCCCCCCCCTCCCCCTCCGACTAGGACATATCTAATTTGCGCAATCTCAAAAACTCGGTGTCTAAGGAATTTCTCTTTTCAAGCATGTGTGGGTCATTCATCATACATTTGTAGTGTCGATAAGAGAAAATCTTCACCTTCGTCTATGTTAGCTTTGAGCGACAAGCAGGCGGGCAATAATCTATTACATAGTGTCCAGTTGTATCAGAATGATCACCATCACACTTCAGCCATATCCCCTTTTTCATAAGTCCATTTTATTCCAATTGCTGCAGATCCCATCATCACAACCCCAATATTTAAAGCTGCTGTAAATGTTCCCGCAGCAACACCGCCCATCGCAGCACTTTGTAGGGTGGCAAACAGACTCCCAGTCTGAACCACCCCAAGTAAAGATTGCCATACTGCAGCAAAAGACGTTGCAATAGGCCCCGAGGCGCTGAAACCAACAGCGACCAGTACTGCAGGCCCGGTGATAGGCACTGTAGCAAGGGCAAGCCCTGTACTACCAACAGCTAGAGCAGTTGCATATTCTTGCACAATATTCTGGCCGAAAGAAATAGTAGAGTTTATTGCATCACATAGGTATTCCATATTTATAGAAGAGAGGTCGAATTATTCTCAAGGTTTGTACTATAAAGGATAGATAAATAAAGTTTCAGCCGCTTAGAAGTGTCTCAATCAAAAGATTGGATGTGAACAAAAGTTTAGTCCTGCACAATACTTTACAGCAAGAAGACTGCCGTAGGGCTTGGTTAGTCTTCGAGTTAGAATGAGGGGTAGTGGAATGGTAGTTATAGCACTGGCCCAAGAAAAGGGAGTGCCAGTAAACTTTCAATTCTATAGGCTCTCCACATGCAATATTTTCCCAAAGTAGTATAGTCGCGATCACTGCAAACCATTATTTCGGCTAGTAATAGTTGGTAGCAGGGTTCAATCAGTTAAGTATATATATGGCTTTATGCACATGTTGCTACAAGACACATTTCATGATTTGTCTTTCGTAGTTTCCTTACTACCTTTCCAGCTAGAGTATGTAGATCCAGACCACATTTTGAAGCAGGCGAAGTGCTCGGACTCTCTTCCGCAATTTATCCCCTAGACGCTCGATTATAGGGAAGAATACTTCATGATCATTCATAAATGGTACACTCCGAGCATGATTAACCTCTGCAAAGCTTAGATCGGTTTAGGATCTAATTTTTGATGATGCCAAATATTCGACAGACGCCATTGCAGATAGCTTGGCCGTAAGTCTGACTTCAAATTCTCCTGAGAAGCATGCGAACCAAGCCGCCTTCTGAATGAGCAAACTTTCTCGGTTTATGACTTGTGACAAGAGAAGACGCTTATCTAAGCTTCACTGGTTGGCCCATCTCAGATTACGGATTACGGATTGATTAGAAGAGAAACTAGATGGAAGGAAAAAAAATCCCCCAAGCTGGAATCACCGCGGGTTTAACTACGGTACTGTACCCCAGATTCTTGAATGGACCAATTCCATTGAGAAGAACCCCTCGATTAGCTTGCACAGTATCAGGAGCCGGCAACAATCCTCAGCGATAGTACGTCCGCACTACAGGAAATCAACAACTCATACAATAAATCAGGTTAGTGTATTATCTAGGCTTTTTACTACTCGGCAGGCGAGCTGAAAATCTAAAAAATTTTACTACAACTATAATAGATGCTAGGCTACTGTAAAAATGCTAAAAATAAGGCAGCCAACCAGCTGGCTACAGAAGCAGTAAATATAAAAAAAAGTATCTTTTTAAATATTTTTTTTATAAAAAGAAAATATATACACAGAAAAATCTATTAAAAGTAGTAATAATAATAAAAGATCTTAAAAAATAAAAGGTATCTGTATAATATTAACTAAGGCCCGCTATTTAGCAGATTTTACTAACTGTATAGTTTACTTCTACAGAATTAAGTATATCTGCTTATACAATTTTATATAGACTATTTATAGCTGTTAATATATACTAAATAATATAGATTTAGAAGAATAAGTAATTAACTTTAACGCTATAAAAATAGTAGTATATATACTAATTAACTGCCCGTAGCTTAGTGCTATATATTAAACACTGCGGTAAAAAATCAGAGGCGTGTTTAATAGTCTATTAAATATACTAAACGGGGTAGGCCAAGGTAGAAAAGGTAGATTAACAATATTCTGCTATACAGCAGTGTTCTTAGGGCGGTTCTGGACTTTGCAGAGGCATTACAGAAATTTTGAAGTCACACACCACGAGGGCGGCAAAACACAACCCTAGGCACTGGCCCACACAGGCCTTACATTCAAAATGTACATAGGGTAGAGACAGTGGATTCCTGTATATTGCCTAAAGCAAGGGGCCAGCATATGAAACATCATCATCATCATCATCAGGTGCTTGGAAGTGTACGCAACGTGGTTCTAACAGCGTCGCGGCTGTCCACGTTAGCCCCATGGAACGGCTTTCTGTACGTCCATGACTGTCAAAATTAAAATGGAGCCAATACTGAAGTCTCATCAACTTGAATGACATATCACAGGATCCAAAGTAAATCATTGATTACCTTCCAAGATGGCTCATGCGGCGGCCCTTATTTACGCGGTCACCCCAATAAATGGAATACGCTAAGGCCTAAGCCGTGGGGCTGGATATTACTTAACATACGGTTCTGGTCAAGCGGATTTTCGAGATCGCTTGTATATCACTGTTAGAGGCTTTCGTATGAATTCACCTGTAAATTTTCGTCACGAAGTCCATGCGGAAGCCGACGTAAGACCCTGCAACGCGGCCAAGTGGAATAAGGTAGCAAAGTTGCGAAGCGTGAGTTGTACTCTATGTGGAAAGCAGGCATGGTGCATGCAGCATCCAGGAAACTGATGGTACTCCAAAGTGGAGAATGGAGTAGCTGCGAAACAGTCATATATGAGACAAGCTACATACATATACATAACCCCAAGCCAGGCTGCAGTGGAACACAAGTTAACTCAACTGCCGGTCTGGATTAGTTTGTTCGCCTCAAGATGAAGGAAAGAGGTGTACAGCACGTCTGCAGTCTGTCTAGAGGCATGGTCTGAAATAAGAAGCAGCGATGGTGCTTGACATTGCCGTTCTGGTCGGCCTTTTTGCCTTTGTCGACGGGCTAGGGAGTCTCGCTGGGAGCGAGACCTAGGATCTAGCCTTGGCCGGAATGCGGTGAGCATCGTAGGATTATATACATCTTTGTTGTCTGACGGTGATTGTGAAATAGTTTCAAACTTTTGCACTACCACTGTATAATCCCACCTTCTCTTTGCCCATACCCTAGAAATAGGTTGAATCCGCCCAACTCGAGACAACAGCTTAGACCATGATCTGTTTTCGGGCGGTCCGGCCTGACCCGAGAGCTCGGATTGGAGCGGAGGTACACCTTGTCCTTGCAAGCTGGCTGAAATAATGTCTAGCCAGAGTGCTTTCGGGGGGGTTTCATTAACATTTCATCACCACCATCTCCCTCTAGCCTTTGTAGAAAGCACAATTGGGTGGTACTCTATTCCTCCAGAAAAGGTTCATTAAATCTGATCAAAGTAGTAGACCGAGAATGGACAGTAGCTGTAATAGCATTCCCTCAACCACCTTGACCTCAAACAAATTGGGTAGGTGGTGACGAAGAGAAGCTGCACTCATTTGGCAATTTCATTGGCGATTACTGCAACACACAGAATCCTTCAATGGGAATACCTATCTCCAGATTTAGCTCGCTTATGATACGTCACAATATCATGACAAAAATTATGACAACATGCAATGTAAGGCGGCTTGCAACTGCTCAAATCGTGTTCAAATGTGACTTGCTTGGCTTGCAACAGATCTGCAACTCGCAAAGCAAGAGATGGCTGGAACTCCTCCCGGGCTGAGATTGGTTTGCAATGACTTAATACGAGCAGAAACAGATTATTTTACGATAATGATTCGCTGTGGATTACGTACAACTACTCTATAATATTCCACTCATGACATAAGCCTTGTCGGCCAGTGCTGGAAGGCTGCCAAGAGATCAATGGTTCTGGGTGCTTAATTAGTTCTCGAAGTGGATTTGAAGATAATGGGGCTTCTTCCGCGGTTACATCTCTCCTCCAATACTCAGGCAAACCCATCGTCTTATACCTTATATTCTTGGGCTACTAGATCAGGAAGATGCCAGATACCTCTGAACAGCTCGTGGAAATCTCTCGAATCGATCTTGATTGTACTGGACCCGCCAAAGCAATCATTACGGATGTGAAGCATCTGGCTTCATATAATTGGATCGAAGCAACAACGCCCACTATCGCTGTCCCAGGCAGTCCAGCTCGGTGGTCTGCTCCACAGGGAACCCGACGGGTGAAGAAGGATAGCGGCCTTGTTTATATTGCTCAAAATGCTGCTCGTCATCCTGATAGTCCCCTAGAACCGTTATTTCGCTCCCTATTCATCGAGCATCCATTGTTCAACATAAACTCAATCGACGTCATTACCGACCGAAACAACATTCGTAAGCTTCTTTCTTTTATCAAGCCCACTTTGAACAAGAATGGTCTCGATGCATTCACCATCCAAGTGGAAATGGCCGCTGAAACTGCGATATTTTGTCGTGCTGAGACCGCTACTTTTGAAGTGATTGGGCCAGGCGAATTCAGGGGCTTTGGTCATGAGTTTGAGAAAGCATACACTATCAATCAAGTTCGAGACAGCACTGGGCACCACCGCATAGTTTCATACCAACTGGGTGGTCTGAGATTTCTCGTGCGCCATGAGACTGACGGATTTGTTGAAGATTGGAAGTCCGTTGTGGAGAAAGATGAGTCGACAGGAGACAACCTTGCAAACATTTTGCAGTCCTTGTCTCTATCACCAGAAAGCAACACCACGGACGAGACCTCCGTTCAATCTAAATTGACCATCAAGAGAGAAGGTCGGGCAGTGCCCCGGGAATCAACCTTGGAGATTAAAACACAAGTTGTTCACAAACCTCTAGAGCTGTCAGAGGTTGCTCCTCAGCTCTGGATTTCTCAGACGCCCAAGCTTGCCCGCGCTTATCATCAACGTGGGATATTCTCAACACCAAAAATAGAAGATATAACTGCTGAACTGAAAGACTGGGAGCAAGCCCACCAAGATGTTATCAGGGAACTTGTCGCTCTCATAAATTGCATCCTTCGAGTAACAAGAAGTTGGGGTGGCAGTTCAACTATTCGGTACGATTTTCTGAAAGATAAACTTGTGATCAAGGAAGTCGAGAGAAAGAAGATGCTCCCCGACGACCTCTATTCCCAATGGACCAAAGCCATTCCCGTCGATGTCGAACAGGAAACCTCCGAAAACCGCTCAGCTCCTACTCAAAAAGGGACCGGCACTCTGCAGCGCACTGCAAAATTTGGCTGAGTTGATACCCCTCCAAGTGGTATCAAGGCAGGGCCAGCCAAGCTTCAAGGTTATGAGATTGTTGCCGCTCCCGGGAAAAAATCAGATGAGTCCTTTCGGGCTTGACAAAGCAGCAGGACAGGTGGCTACCGGGAGACAGGGGATTCTGTATATCCCCCGAGATTAGTCATGTATTTGAGCCCATACAAATTGTGAAGAAGGGGCATAGTCAGCTATTCAGACCCGTTATGATTTCTATTAATGCACCATATGATCCACTTTTCGGAGTTTTCCGACTTTGCTTATTGGTTTCTTTAATGTCTGACCGAAATTATACTTAGTCTTGGTACTACTGGAAGGTTTTGAGAATGGGATATAATATATATTTGAGCACAGTTGAAACGTGGCTGCCGAGGCCACAAACAGACGTAATCGTTTCCGGGGGCAATTTTTACGTAGTTTGCTTGTGCACAAAGGAGCCAATGGTTTGAACATGGTTTGCTCTGGGCTGAGGCTTGGTGGAGGAGCTTATCCGCTTTTGTCAGCGGTGGAGCTAACTGACTACCCGTCCCGTTGCACGTGAATTAAATGGGAGGAGGGTGGTCTCCAGCCACGGGTAGATAACTAATTTAATCATTTCCGATTGTGTCGGCACAATAACTAAATAAACATTGAAATCTTGCTCCTCCAGCCACATCTAGGTTCCGTCGTAGCTGGTTCTGGCCGCCTCATTCAAGTTTGAGCTCAAAGAGGCCCATAAAGACATCATAACGCCCAGCATACAGCCTCTCATACTTCGCCACTTCATCATCAATTGGTGACGCGCGTTGCGCACGCCGATGCCCTGAAACAATGAAGAAAGCGAGAAATAAAACAACAAGAGGCTGCGCACACGCCGGAACTTAATCTACCTCCCAGTTATCCCTATATTCGGGGTTTGACTGGGGTAAGAATGTCCTCTGCGCCTCCCCGTGGGCACCGTTCTGGGTGTCCTCTTCGTCCTGCACTGCTGGGTGTGAAATCCGCTGGTAATCAGGCCTCCTGCTGGCAGATTGCCTACTCACCCAACTTATTCGACGGCCGGAAAGCCGAATGAGAGCGATCTATGTAGAGTTGCCACATATTAGCCACTACTTCATAAACGTCGGTGTGATGGTAAACCTACCTTGGCCGCGAAAACAAAAACAGCCGCTGCGAAAACCAGCCAAGAAGTACTCTGCTGGTGCTCTCTCCAAGGAGCGAAGCAACTCCTCTGATATCCTAGCTGCAGTTCACATGCATTGTCCCCATGGTTCCGGTCCTTGAAGGGCCATGCCCTATCGTGAAGACTTCGAAGACCACAGCATCGGAACTCATCTTGGATTGATCGGATAGCGTGCGAATTCTTCGACTGAAAGAATGCCTGCCACTGTTGGTCTAGGTTACATGAGAGAATACTGTCAGGGAAGATGTACGCTAGCGCTACTGTGGCAACGATGGTCGATATGATGGTCTGAATCTGATTGAGTATACCGGATACTGTGCTCCACCAACAATTGCGAGGAGTCTCATAGTTTGACTGCTGGAAAAACACTCGCGTGGCTATCAGTGTGAGTACTATGATCGGGGATATGAGTGTCGCGGTGGCTGGAACCCATGTCGGTAAAGGAAGAAGCAGAGCGGCAGTGCGAGCCCAAGATAGCCTATTCCGCGAGAAGTCTGTTACTCATCATTCTCTTTTACTACACGCTGGCTAGAGATGTGATGAAGAATGCGATAACTCACGCTCCAAGGATCAAGGAGATGGCCCCGCCCTAGTGGCGAAGTTTATCAACGGAGGTCATAACCAGGTTGGATTTTCACTATCTTACCACAACCAACATGATATAGAGGAGGGTAGTTGTATCGATCTTGAAGGGCATCATTTTAGCATATGGTCTGCTCTTTTTGGGCGACGCTGAATTGAATGAGGAGGATGAAGAAATGTGCGGGCTGCTCGCTGAGGTGGAGGACATGGCCGGGGAAATAAGAACGGAATTGGACGTGGCCATATTTGGTTAAGCGTATCCCTTGCTCTTGAAGTGCCACTAGACCGAAGTTGGTAGCACCTCACTCAACTTCTCTCCATTTGAGTGGCTGTTACTTCACTTCTAAGTACATACCATAACTGTCTCCATAAGTATGATTGTAGTAATATATTGCAAGTTCAGACAAAGAGCGCTCGCCAAAGCATGGAGATGCTGGGATGCTATTCCGCTTCACCAAAGCATAGTACAACTTGATTATTGTGACGATATCCGATTCATAAGCCATTGATATCATCATATAAGCCAAAATGAAGGAGGAAAAACCGAAACAGGAGGGGTAGCGATAGTACTGTAACCAGATCATGCATCACATGTGGTATGTGCAGCGATATTGGTGTCCAGAATTTATCGACGTTATCCAAAGATCCGACTCTCCATCAGCAATGAAATACTCGAGGTGCTGGGTAGTCCTCAAAATGGCTAGGTAATACCCATCCCAGTGACATGAAATGCCCTGTAGGATGAAACGACCACCAGGTACCTGCACATTCGAGCACCATTGACTCCGATCCTCAGGTTGATTGCTGTCTGAAAACAATCAAAGCAAAGGTGATTTAATCTTTTATATCACGGCTCTCTTGAAGACAAGAAATAATTTGTTCAGGTGCTGGATTAAAGGGATTTTGTATACTAATAGGAAAGCCGCTGTCGACTACTTTGACGCCAAGATCCTTGGCCAACACATCAGAGATGAGTAGGAACAACATTTTTGCAAGATCTGACCTTTCTGGTGGCAATCCCAGTTTTTCCATGTAATCATATCGATTTGAGCTACGAAAATGTTGATTGAAGCGAAATTCTTGGCAGCGGAGAGGTACAAAAATTAACAAATCTGTTCAGGCCAATACACGGAAAGATAACAATAATGTTACTTTGTGTATAAAAAATTACAACTCTTGCTCAACATGACAGCCGCCCCATAGCCCACGTCTGTAAATATTACGGATTGTTACCTTGCACAGCCTGGACCGATGATCAGGTGACTATCATGGCCGTTGATTGAAAGCCATTGTGCGTAGCAGGACCAGTCCTGGGGGATATTGCGTTTATTATCTTGGCTGTTGACTGTAGACACTCAGCTGCAATCCTTAGCTGCGAATCCAAAGATCAAAACACGTCCGGGCTGGCAGCCAAGGACCAAGGCTAACCCTGACTGTCCTACAGCCGAACACAACGGGCGACCGCACAAACAAGCCTGGTAACTTCACTGCGCCGCTTTTGAGTGCAAGGCAATAGCTTGAGCCGTTTTTGATGTCTTTTAACAATAAGCAAAACCTCTTCTTACTGAGGAAGTTTGCGGGCTGAGCTGCTTTATTCTTAGATAGGCACCAGATAAACTGCGCCACGCTATTCTTATTCGGGATGTTAAAGAGCCACGGTTTCTTAACTTCCTTTTTGAGGCAATAAGCTCGGAATATTTTAAAACCATATTTCTAAATAATGGCTTCACGAGGCTTGCACTTGGTAGAAATAGTTTAAATTATTATCAACCTTTGTATCGGTTACAAATCAGAAATAATAAAATCAATGCAATTGTTTTTAATGGGTTAATAATACCCACTAATAGATCCTAACAGTTTGAGTTTGAGGACAATCATGACTTTAAATAATGGTAATCAATAATGTCTGCTTCGGGGAAATTGGTATAATATCACATATGATTATTGCTATTCGCCCAGTTGCCAATCACATTTGTCAAAACCATTTAGACATTGAGTTTTGTTTATCCGGCTCTTTTCTGCTTCCCAACAGATTACCCCACACCTACAGTAGTCTCCGTCACCTAGTAAAGGAGGTTAACATACTTGGTATTTTGTACCACATGGATAGGTGATCGTAGTGGAACTTTATCGATCAACTCTTGAATTCCGCTCTGACTAAGCACATGATCTGGATTGATGCTGCTTATATTTCTGAATTCCTAGTTTCAAAAAAAGTCTGCGAAATCCGCTTTTTGTGGAAACAAACCAGGAAAGAAAGATCTTCACAGGTCATCCCACCCGTCCGTAGCCAGTTCTCGAGTAGCGCAGTGCTTTATATTCCTACTAATGAAGCTAGAGTCATGGGCCAAACGTACTGTATAGAGCTGAGACAGGTCCCTAGGGGCTAGTCGGTAAGTTTTTACTGTGCTGTGTGCCACATAAGTAACGATCTTGAGCTTTTGATCACGAGGCCGAGAATAACAAAACTGTTACTTATTGCCATTGGATGCCAAGGCGGTGGCCATAATAGGAAGTTAGGTGCTTCTATTATTCTAATCACCAGAATAAAAATGGCGTTGATGTACGACGAACACACATTGGCCTTTCCGTCCTGATTGGACACGAACGAGTTGACCGATTTTAATCGCTATCAGTCAATTGTGACTAGATCACTTCGAATGCAAATGTGGCCAAGAAATTAAGTCAGGGATTAGTTCACTCATAAAAACCCTTGCTATCCAAGACTTTGTGAAAGCGGGTTAAGAAGCCCGAGGAACCTTTGTCGGCAGGATAATTTTGTTGGCAGTGTGGATTGCGTGTAATTCAATCTGAAGGAGGCAAGGGAGTTGAGTCGGAAGAACGGCCGAGTCTCTTGGACGACGCTTCTTGAGGCTTCTTTCACGCGGAAAGGATTATTCCCACGGCATTTCAGATTAGTACAATCGGCTGCCCCGCTCCCCACCGGTACTGTAATCGTCGAATACGTAAGTTACCGTGCAGAGTACAACAACTAATGAGCTGGCATGTTGGCTTAGGGGTGCCTATCTCTCACACATGCTGACCGTGACTGTAGGCGAGTTTCGTTCCACGATTATCTTCTTTGAGAATATCGGATTGAGTGGCACTGCAAAGAGTCCTAGATGCCGTGGTACTTCATACTACCCATTGTACTCGAATTAGTATATGGATGTAGTCTTCCCTGACTAGATTCTCATTTGATCATAAATGTCGCAAACACGTCGGCCGGCTGTCTAGTACTTTTTAGTCTTTCGGTGGTTGACGTATAAGGGAAAAAATCCACATTGGTCGCTTATAGGTCGTTGTGAAGTGCCAGAAAGAAAGTTTTGCTTACCTCTTACTGACTTATTGTAATGTACTTTTCGAGCCTGCAGATCCTGGCCTTTTTTTGTCGTTATGCATACACAGCGATCTTTTGTTACTGAGGGTTGAATTCCAGACACTAGGCCTTCAGCCACATTATGCTCGTCGCTGCAAACTCAGTGAAGGTGCATATCTCCATATACTTCCCATCGTATCTCTCTTGTAGAGCTGGGTAGTCGACATCCTTTCTATAAATGTGGTAAGCCTGAGTCTTCTGCGATAGCAGTATGGCTCTGAATATTCCAGTCTTCAGATGCTCAATCGCTGGATATATTGATCTGTGGTTATAAGCTCAGAGATCTTCTACACCTACTTCTTCCTAAATTTAGGAAAGACGGCTCAATTTCTACACCCACGGTGAATCAACATGGCTACATCTCGGGATATGAAAATGCATAAGCTCGAAAAGATCATAGGTCATACCTTTGTGCTTAAAAGATTGGTCTACCTTGCTTGCACTTCTGCTGGTGCAGACCCCAGCAACTATGACGGGAACAGAAGACTATCTCAACTTGGAGCATCTTTGGTGGACTCCGTCCTTGCCATAATAGTATTTTTGGTCGACGGAAGCAGAGGTAAGCCGATTTCAAACCTGGCCACCTAGAGTAGACTCACTTACAACAGTCTAGAATGTACTGCAAACCTGAGAAAGGGTTTTCTTGACAAGAAAAATTATCATTTTGTGGCGAAGCGGGCCGGTATCGATGAGTGCATAGAATATAACGAGCGCACTGACCCCAATTCGCCAGAGGTTTTCCGTAAAGCCATAAATGCTATCATAGCAGCTGTATTCCTTGATACCTGGAGCATCAAGACCACGATAATCGTCATCTTACGGCAAGTATTCTATCATAGTACCGTCCTACGTATATTGACTTTATCAACTCAGGATCTTCTCTCGGCCCAGTGACGACAGAATTTTTGGAGAACTGCCTGCTATTCCAATTGATACTATAGAAGCACTCTCTAGTGTGCCCAGAATTATACTTGCTCAGGAAAGTGGTGTGATCGATCCTAGTATACTTTTGAGCAATGAGTCTTTCGAAAGATCTTCGATTTCGCCAATGTTGCACAGATTACTAGAACACCAAGTCGAAACAACGGCTCCTATCGTTACAGAGGCGACAGATAATATGACTGATAAATTCAACATCTCAGACTTTCTGAGAGACGACTTATTGTTAATGGAAGATGAAAATCACGCGAATGGATTTGAAAATGATGCAGAGATTGAGTTAACACCTGCAATCGATGGCCATAGTACAACTTCATTGATGCAAGGCGGCACACCGGTGACACATCGTCGGAGAGGTTTGTCCAGTGACGACGAAAGCATCACAGTGGCGCATCTACCGAAACGAGGGCGTAAGGCCAAGAGCACGAAATTTTCAGTTCTGCAGTCCCAAGAGGCTGAGGAAATTCTGTCAAAAGAGAGAGAAAATTGTGCTCTACACAATGTACAGCCTCCTGAAAAGGTTTACTTCTCTCCCAGCATAGTGAATAGAGCCTGCAAGCTTGAAAAGGAAACTCTAGGGGGACTTGTGATGATCTTGATAACAATTGCTGGCCCCCGATCAGTGATAGCCTTGAGAGAGACAATTATCTGCGAAAGAGTGGAGAAAACAATTGATTCATTCCACCTGGCTCAGAATATCACCAAGCGGCAGCGATACGACCTGATAAAAAGACTGGGCCAAAAGAAAATACTTTTCCAATTGCTCCGCTGGTATCATGTTCTCGATTTATTTGAGCAGTGTGGAGGAACCCGGACTCAGTCTAGCACGGGATTTGTTAACAAGACATCGGCGGATTTTGTACGTCCAGAACGGCGCCCAGGGAATCCTGGCAAAAGAGCTGATTCACAAGTGGTACAAGCAATGAAGGAGTCGCTGATGGAACTAAACCATAGCAGTCGCGTCAGCGATAACGAACGCACTATTTTTATGCGGTATTGGAAGTTGGGACAGCGACTCTACATGCTCACGAACAAGTTCGGTCGATGGATACTTGGTCTGATGGTCGCCCCGGCTATGAATATTGAGGTAACAGATAATATGTCAGTGTGGAACAAGGCGGTCTAGAATGACTCCAACACTGACATGATTCCAGGCTAATAAATCCCAAAGACGAAATTTTCCGTGACTTCGTCAATTTGCTCGAAGAATCTCAGGGTCAGTGGTTAAGAACATGTGGTGATGCAGCCTCTCATTTACTTTGCCCGTTGCTTGAATCTCGTCTAGATGAAACAAGGATTTTTCAGCTGGAATCTATGGAACCCCGAGATATTATGTCGCAGCCCAAGTGCTCGGAGGCGCTTTTTCGCACTATCGCCTAGACAATAGAATCAGCCACCCTGGGGTGTCTACACTCAATGACCAAGTTTCCATGCTCGTACAGTATACAATAGACACAAGTAAGAGCCTGCTGGATCTCACGAACTAAATTAGCTGCGGTGCGTTGAGCATCGGCATCTCGCTCAATATCATGTGCAGGAAGGCAGAGATGGAGCTGCCTGAAGTTTTCTAGTGGTTCATCAGTTTCGACTCTGTATCACGAAATTTGTGATTAACACAGGTTCCCAAGGAGAATAATGTGGTGTGCGAGCCAACGCAAATCGATTTTGTTACTCGTCCAACTGTTTGGCGAGGCATTGATACTATAAGAATGAGGCACGTTGCCTTCATGCCAGGTGACTATATACACATTTTCTATGATAATGATATACACAGGCAAGGGTCCAGGTCGAGGCATTGAGACACTAGATTGACGTCACCTACTTGCGATACCAAGACTATAGAAGAAACAGCTCATAGTAGATGCATCAAGAAAGGAAAATCAGTAAGTCAAGGCAGCGGTAGCCTTTAACTGTAATGAGCGCATTATCAGATTGTGACAAATCAGTATCGTATCAATAAAGTATTGGTCAGTCTACGCAGCTGAGTTAATGGCAATCTACTGTGCTATCGGACCCGTTTTCCAGCTAGTACGGAATAACGAAAAGAACACAGTCACAAATCAAGAACCAGCAACAATCCTCGGTGATACTGTAGTATGGCTGGACTACAGTTGATCTACAACTTATGGAATTAATCTCAGGCCAGTGTATTATCCAGGCTTTTACTGCCGAGCTGAACGTACGAGGAAATCCACTGCGACTGGAATGGGTGCCGGGCCGCTGCTAGAAAGAAAACTGAAAACGATGCAGCCGACCGGCTGGCTCAGAATACAGTGGGTATAAGAAGAAACACTCTTTTTAAACATTGCCTCTTAAAAAGATACATAAGCAGCAAGATCTACTAAGAATGGGAATAAGAATTAAGGACCTCAAAAAAGGGAGGGCACCTACGCCAGATCGACTGAGGCCTGCCATCCAGCAGGTCTCGCCGTCTGTACAGTTTGCTTCTGCAGAATCTAGTATATATACTTATACAACCCTGCACGGGCTATTTATAGCTTGCAACGCATGCTAAACAACGGGGCTTCCGGTAAGACGAGAAATGCCAATGCGGGGCTACAGAAATAATAATACACATATAAAGTGACTTCCCCAGCTCAGCGCTATACGTTAGAAACTGCGGCGGGAGATTGGAGGTGTGCTTAAAAAACTATCAGATATGCTAAGAGGGGTAAGCCAAGATAGGAAAATAGGCTACAAGATGTTTCGTTAGACAGGAGCGTTCTCGGGGCATTTCTGAACTTCGCGGAGCCACTACAGAGATCTTGAAGTTGCGTGCTACGAGAACGGTCAAACAAAACCCCAGGCACTGGTCTATAGGCCTCAGCGAGGCTCTAAATTGGTCAGGAAAACTAATAATTTACGGTGAAAAGATGTATATAGAGTTAAAGTGGATACCTGCATATTATCTAAAGCGAGGGCGCAGCGTATGAAACACCACCACCACCACCACCAATACCATCATCATCATTATCATACTGTTCCTCGAAACCCAAATGTAACGATCGCATAAGTGAGGCAGACAGCTCTAGGCCGTTGACTACGAGTCCAGCGTCCATCAACCAAAATAAGTCGGCTGAGATGCAATACTTGAATGTAACCTAAGCACTATGCGATGCCTACAAGTCGGCTTACTTTGCATGGCCGGTAAGTTGTAATGTGACGTACCAAGGTTTCAATCATGAAGTCATGAGTTGATGCAGAAGGACAATCTGTCTTATATTAAGATTACGTAATGAAGAATTCAGTAAGTTACTGAAGTTGTAACTATAAGAAGTGGATTGGACATCTGTCTCGCTTCAGAGAAATATCGAGTACAGCGAAATAACCGCTTAACAAAGCCACATCATGGTGATCCACGCTTCCGATCACGACCATGGGCTAGCAGACCCGGTATTGCTTGAGAAAATTGACAGGCCATTTTGCCTGTAACGTGGGGGATTACATTGATCTCCCTCAACTGGTTGTTGTTGGGGACCAGTCAAGCGGTAAAAGCTCTGTGCTAGAGGGCCTTACTAGATTGGCATTCGCTCGAGACAGCGGCCTATGTACGAGTATTGCAAATCAAATCACATTTCGCCGAACTCAATGCGAATCGAGAACTATCACAGCTTCGATTATTCCCGATTCTAGTACAGAAGATACAAATGCGTCGAATCTGAAGAGATGGAAATGGAAAGATATACAAACTCTGGACAAAGACTCTTTTTCTGTTTTAATGGCGGAAGTCAGTGAACAGACTATAAGTTTTCAAAGGCAGTACTGATTTCTATCGCTAGGTGCACGCCCTCATGGGAGTCTCCCGCTCCAAAGATGACGTATTCCCCATGTTCTCTAAGCACATTTTGCGAGTTGAGATTTCTGGTCCGAACGAAGATCATCTGAGTGTGATTGATGTTCCGGGTACAGTTCTTCCGAAAAGCGGTGTCACCGCCTGCACTCTTTGATTGATTTAGCACCCCGTGATAAAATAACACTATACCAATCCTAACACGGAGCTGGAAACCCTTGAACTGTGTATTGTATAGAAGATAGTATTTTTATAGATATTATATCCCACCTTTAAATGTTCAGTGGTATAAAGCATTCCTATTCCAAAGATAATGCTAAAAGCTCTGTCACTATCCGCTAGAGAATCTACCTTATCTGAGATGGAGTTCTTCTGCTAGAAGATTCCAAGTTACATATACCAAAGTCTATCTTAAGTAACCCTCTTTATACGCAAGAAGAATTTCATATAGTTGCCCGGCTACAGGAAAAGAATTACATAAACCCCCAATTGGCAGAATAAGTGTATTTTCCCCTTAGATTGACCACATCTCTACATTTCACCTAGTTTATCTTAATGAATCAAGGTGCGATAAATATATAGATTTCCGAAAGACTGAATAGTCTTGGAGTAGGCACACCAGTCAGAATTAATAAATCCACCAGGATCAATACAACCAGATTCCTGCTTAGTCCATCAATTTGGTACACCTTTCACCAACGCCGACTCGACCTCCGATGACGGTAGACTGGAGACCGTCTCAAAACGACCCAGCATTTACCCCTTTCGAATGCGCACACGTTGCGATGATGAGATCCAAAACGCTGATGCTGTGTGCGGCTAGGAAAGCCACAGCCACAAAGAGGATTCCCGACATAGCAATGGTCCAGGTCATTTGCGCATAGAAACGAACACGAATCGCATTTGACATATTGTCTGTTCCTGTTTCCATTGCCATTATCTTCACATGGCCAACAGCCCAACCGTCCGCCACAATCGCATGTCGCACCGTCCTTAAACAACTGATCTCCGCTCAATGCTAACCGCAAATAGCGCAATTTGCGACGGTCCTTCTCCATAGGTGAATCGAACGGGCGTTCAGCTACACGCTTCATCACGTTCCGAAGCTTCGATCTCAGCTCATGTCGACTCTCGGCCATGGTCACTTTCGAAGGGCCACAGTCCGCGGTAATCACCACCGCTGAAGGCCAAAGTTTCTTGAACACTAGAAGCTATGACGATCCAAAGTCACAACAGGAGGCAGGGTTTCTTAAATACGAAGGAGAGTGTTTGGAAAATATAACTGAAAGATGGAACTAATCTGATACAGCTTGCTATTTATAACAAGAGTAGACACGGAGCTCTAGTAGAATTCGCCCGTCCCTTGGCAAATTCTTTCTCATTCCATCTCATTTCCCGCATAAGTGCAGCTTCTAAAAACAAGGCGGAATGGTTAGATAATTGGTGAGGCGACTTCCGGAAATGAGGCGAGGTGAAGCCTCTCTCATGCATTAATGCCTGATGATGTGTGGTATATACCTTTGCAAGTGGCTGCTCTGCATGCAGTTGGCATCACGAGCATTGATTAATTTTGTGCAGTTATTTATCAGCCATTCAAATCCGGTTCTCATCCCTCTTCTACGGTGCCTCGGCTTCCAGTTTTGTGCTCCAGTTTTGTGCTCCATACACAGCGGGTTGTCGTGCTCTTCTGGGTACATATAATAATTCAATGTTCTTTCAGCTCCTATAGATATCAAATCTACTTTACACAATTTTACGTGTGGGTGCAGGCCTGAATTGATGGTTTGAATCCAAAGATCCTATTAACATGTGGCATGCGTTGATAGGTGGGAAATCAAGCCGCGCACATAAGTACTAAAATTAGCAGGCCGCACATTACAATTTATTCTGGCCCTGTGACAGAGAGTTTTGTCCCGTTTCTTTTTGACTTAGACATAGGAAGTGAGGTTATGTTTTAATCAAGAAGCTCTTGCCTTCATGCTTTGGCAAGGCTGTGGGCGACGACCACTTGGTATCTCTGGAAAGCACAGAACGAAACATTTAGCCGGGCTACCTCAAGTGATATACTAACACTTGGAATCGGGACAACCGAACCTGCCTTCTTTATTTGGCCACCCAATCCCTGCGTGCCACAAGACAATTCTTTGTGCTTTTTCCAAATGACCACTGTTACCTTGAAGTCCACGCTCGAGCCCACCTGCTACCACAGCTGATTAGAAGCTTACGTTATCCTTGCCCGAGTTAGCCAGTTACAGTTTACTCTCCAATGTCTTTGGAAGAGGCGGGGTTCCCTAGCTTTCAGAATACCCGGGCTATCCTTGTCCAGAATTACTGCCACCTGATATAGTATTAGTATCAGAGTATAGGAGTTCTTTCATCTGTGCCGGGCCTCAACTTTGTTTACTTGAGAATTGATGAGCCTAGATCTATTATCTTAATATATATACTGGTTATTAATACCAAGACATGTTCATCTCCTCCACAATTTGATGGATAGCTAACCGAACAATGTAGGTGTCTGAGAGAACACGGAAATACAAGGCATCCCATTTGGCTGATGGTACAAGTTATTAAGTATCCGGAAATCCGTGCTCGGACCCCATAAATCTGTGCTTGGACGTAGAGCTGCATATTCAATGTATCCAGCTGACAACCCCCCCCCACGGTGGTGTCGGGTAATGCCAATGTGTGCACAATCTAGAAGGCTGAATGACTTTTTACCTTTCTTTATCAGGCAGACATAACCTCCTTTATGTACCGCCTTCTGTTTCAGCCGGCTTCCACTTTCTGTATCCAAAGGGTGTGAGAGAACAGGCTGTGAGATGGCGGGTGGTCCGGTGCAGAAACTTACAGCTTCGGTTTCCGAGGGCGAGAGTATCATCTTGAAGATCTTTGAGGAGTTGAAGGTGAGTGACAGCTGATTGCCTCAACTTTGTATTCTATATGCTGACTTTCAAGACTCAATCCGGTGAGATTGCGAACCTGGACCAGGAATATCGCGACGTCTCAAATGACCTTAGCAGGGAACGGTCTTCTGCCAGACGTATGCAGGAGGAGTTGGAAGCTCTGGAGAATTTTAATAGGAGCTTACTGAAAGCAATTGTTCGTTTGCCACCTGTACACAACACGTCGTTCTTTGCGCATTGTGGGATAAACATAACAAAGATTCAAGGATGACAGTTCCTTTGTGTTGGTTTTGATTGACGCCGATGCCGATGGGTATATTGTATGTGAGTTGCATGTCAATAGCAAATCAAGAAGCTGACGCATTCTAGTTCAAGGACAAATACTACACGGACTCGAATGGAGGTCGGCAGGCAGCTCTGGATCTTGAAGAGGTTGTTCGAGAGTATCTGAAAAAATGCTATCCAAACTTTGAGAAGTTACCCATTATGATCAAGGCGTTCGCCAATTTAGATGGACTTTCCCAGTTTTTGAGCAAGGCTAAGCTTATCAAGTCACCGATGGCGTTGACTACTTTTGCGAAGGGCTTCTCGCAAGCCTCTCACATTTCAGATTTTGTTCTTGTCGGGAGTGGGAAAGATCGTGCCGATGAGAAGATCAGAGGTTCGTGACATTTTCTTATAAGCATGTAGAATATCACTGATTTGAAATAGGTATCTTTCAAGAGTTTATTGGAAATCCCACCTGCCGTCATGTTATGTTCGGGGCTTGTCACGATAACGGTTACGTGCGCCTTTTGGAGAAGTATCAAAATAACAATAAAGCAGACTCGCGCAAGGTGACCCTTATTTATCCCTTTGAGCCAGGGAAAGAGTTTGGTGGTTTATCTGGATACCCCAGTTTGCAGTTTGAAACGATCTTCCAAACTGAGTCTGTGATGACTCGGAACTTATCGCCTCCACCACCTCCACTACCTCAAACTCATCGAGCATTAGGTGCAGAGGGTGGTTCGCCTCCCCCTAGCCTGGCAGTGAAGAACCCATGGATGACTGTTTCCGCCAAGTTGCCTCAGTATGCAATCTCAAGGAAGTCCGAGAATCTGCCTGAAGGCTCAATATACGTGAACGCAGCGGGGCAGCGCGTGGACAGTGAGCTTCCTCACCCATCTCAGGAAGCACAAGGTACTTGGCACCGCAAGATGAGTGCAAAAATGAAATTCTGTCGCAGGTACCACCTACACCCGTATGGCTGTAAAGGTGACTGTGGTTATTCGCATGGGCCTCTGATGGAGGATGAGAAATTGATCTACCGACGTAAGCTGAGGTTAGAGAATTGCCACACTGGTCCGCAGTGTCGCGATGCAGGTTGTCTCTTTGGGCATCATTGCTCATGTGAGGAGAAGGCCTGTAAGTTTTTGCCTGAAATGCATCATATCGATACATCATCAGTTCGTGTTATGCCGTGCATTTAGTACAGAAGTTGTCGGGGAGAATTTGAACTGCACACGTGCTGTCCATTAGTCATAAACATTCAACATGTTACCCCTCTCTCTGTACTGTAAGGGTACTAACTATATGGTGGAGGGCTCTTCAACAGCGCTCTCAGGCATTTGTCTTCTTTTTCTTTACACTCTTATCCGCAGTCACATTGGTTATTGAGAGCAAATGCAGTATGGTCTTTCATGATAACAACTTCGCTTCAATACAGGCTAGTATATTAATGCTCAAGTAAGTATAAAGCCTCTGTGTGAGCATAATATTGTTGAAGAGATAGAGATAGGTACCAAATGCGTTACTTCAAGCATGGATTATAGCCTTCGTCTGGCTCCTAGTCTTTGCGCTACGATGGCAGTAGTCCTGCAAAATATCTTCATGTGTTTCCAAAATATTAACTTGCATTGTTGCGTAATTCTAACTAGATAATGAGATTATTTTATTCAGTTTAGTCTATGCTTCTTGGTTTGAGCATACAAAGCTAGATCTGATCTGTACGCATGAATTTCTTGATTCTTATCATAAATGGTAAAATCATAGAAGTGGTAGTCAATAGATAACAATTTTCTTAGGGACAGTAAATCTCAGTTGACCGATACAGCTTGCTATAGCTGCTGGGAATCATTATCTGAATTTTTATGTACAATAGAGAAACTTTTACTATCTTACAGCCTATGAAAACAATTTGACATAACCATCCCAACCGTTAGAGGTGAAAGGATTGGTAATATACTTCAAGAGATATAGACCTGGCTGAGTATAATCCAGTCTTTCCCAAATTAGTCTAGCGTGGTCTCATTCTGAGGTTGCTGAGAGAAACAAGGAGTGTAGACTGGTGACACCAGTTTCCGGAAGTACAGTATATTTCGCAACGCAACACCCGGCATAACCACGAAGGAAGACAAGAAGTTGGTGCGCGATATGGTCCAGGCTTATATGAGAAACCCTCGCTCCATAATGCTGATAGTAGTACCGGCGAATATCGATATAGCCACTCAAGAGATTGTTGAGATGGCACGTGAACTGGACCCTCATGGTGAGAGAACACTCGGAGTTTTGACCAAGCCAGACCTGGTAGACAAGGGGGCCGAGTCAAAAGTCGTTGATCTTATCAAGGGAAGAGACATCCAAATGAAACTCGGCTGGGTGATCGTTCGAAATCTGGGACAGGGTAAACTGCAGGGAGCAGATGTCGATCGAGATGCAGCTGAAGAGCAAGAGTACGCGAAATATCCTTGGAACACCGTGGGCTGTGATACTTTTGGCATAAATGCACTGAAGATACGCCTCCAGGAAATCGTGACGACCAATGCGCGCCGAGCTTTTCCCGCGGCAAATCCCCTTTTCCTTCTGGCATCAGCTCGATTGATTTTAATCTTTTGCAGGTCAGATCAGAAATAAGCAAGGAGCTCAAAGCCCGCCAAGTTGCCCTTCGATCGCTTGGGCCAGAGCGGAAGACAACAGAACAACAAATGCAATACTTGCTAGATATCGTCGCCTCGTTTCAGAATCTCACAGCCCATGCTCTGAACGCAAATTACAGCTCAGCTGATGCTTTTGAGAGTCACCCCAATTTGAGATTGGCTACGAGGATTGTCAATAGAGATGCAAAATTCTCCGACGACTTATCCCGCTGGGGCCATATGTTCAACTTCAAGAAAACTTCGCCTCTACAAACTGGCTAGAGTGACAATAATGGCGAAGAACAAAAGTTGGGTATGCCTCAGCTGCAGTCAAGGAAATTCAAGGATGTTCTTGGTATTCAAGAAATCTTGCCGAGGCATCAAAGGTCCCAAGTCCTCTGAGTCATGACATCGGTTCATGGATAGAGGATGAGTATCGCGAGTCAAGAGGATTTGAGATCGGAACATTCAATCATGTGCTTCTATCAATCTTAATAAAGAAGCAGTCATTGAAATGGACATCTCTGACGAATGGATACATCAGTGATATCATAAGCATTGTGCATGAATTCATCGTCAAAGGACTGAGTCAGATTTGTACAGACAGGGAAGTATATGAGACCTTGATTTCATTTCTGATGGACAAGTTGCTTGAGAAATATCAGAATGCAGTCAAGCACGCTGGTTTCCTTCTCTCTGTGGAGAGATTGATGATTCCAATGACGCAAAATCACCATCTTAATAATACCTTGGAGAAATGGTATTTCTCCTGCAGCGTGCAAGTGTAGACCCAAGCTAACATATCTCAGTCGGCAGGAGCGTACGAAATCAATTCTTCTAAAAAAGGCATACAACAGTCCAGATGGGAAGGTAATCCGTGTCGACGATTTGAAACATCAGCAAAACATGAGTAATGCTGAACATACAGTACAAGAACTCCGAGACATTCTTGAATCATATTACAAAGTGGCCAGGAAAAGATTTGTCGATAATATTTCTACGCAAGCAGCTGCCTATTTTCTAGTCCACGGTCCAAAAACTCCGGTGACACTACTCTCGCCTTCTCTTGTTAGCAGTTTGAGCAGAGAACAGCTTGACGAAATTGCTGGAGAGGAACTGACCATGAGAAAAAAACGGGAGAAGCTTATCAAAGAAATCGATGATCTTACCATGGCAAGGAAGATGCTGCTATAAAGTTTTGTGTTTAGCTCAAGCGGTGTACCCAGAACTGTATCCACAGCCGAGAGCTCAGATCTATGTTTAAATGCTGACTTCATCAATCAAACGTAATATTCGGTGTATTTTGGGTTTACTGTATTGATGGCGTCATTACAGACGGCTGTGGTCTCGATGCCAACTGGATGATTCGAACAATAAGTTAGTCTACGCAGTGTCAGAAGCTGGAGTCCCAAAACATATAGTTCAATACTCGCATGGATTTAGGAGTATGATCTTACAATAAGAATGCCATGAACTATGGAAGAAATCCAAAGTGGCATGTTACCCCAAATAATCCAAATTACCAGAAATTCGAATGACGGATCCAAAACATCATTGTTGCATAGTAATGTTGTATTCAAACTAAGCCCAAGGCAGATTATTTGTCCAAGACACAATCTGGCTAATGAACTCTCAAGTCGATATCCAATAAGACGCAAGCACAAATCTCTTCTAAGTCCTTTCTGAACATTAGAAGTAAAGTCTCAACGCGCGAGAGAACACAGTCGGATCGATCATACAGTATTGAGTTGACTATGCGAGTGCTTTCCGAGGTTTCCACCATGGATACTTCATCACTGTGCGAGAATAGATACAACCGAGGGCTTTAATTCAAAATTAAATGTTTCGGGTTCGTTCAGCGGCATAGCCATCTTTTCGCGATCCTCATCTTACTCAAAACCGACCCAATGGAACAGTTCAAAAGCTCAGAACCCAGATCTTTATATTGAATGCATGAGAATTAATTAAAACTATTATTTTCTCAGATTTAGACTGACATCACAGATCCTAGAGTATTCAATATCGCGAAGATACGCTTCCATACGAAACCCCGTTGAATTCTAAGTCAAAGAGCAATGAGGCTGATGCTGGAGTCACCTTTAGAGTATAAGTTATTTCATAATATTCATTGCCGCTCGAATTTTTTTTCCTTCGGAAAAGCTGTCGAGGGATTTTGCTCAGATCAGAGTTCAGTGTGCACAATGGGATAACTCCTGATTTTTTCAGCATCCAGGTGAGATAGCCGACTTCTAACTCCTGAGAACTTACTACCACATTTTATATCTGGTGGACTTTTGTCATTGCAAAAGAACAATTCATCTGTGAAGCGTAGTTCATCCGCTTGATCCACGAATACTGTGCGATAGAAATCAAATTTGATAGGTTGGTGTTCAGATACCCTAGCAGACTATTCAATGTTAACTCCATCCTATTTGAATCATATCCAAGCCCGGCTTACCTTCTTAATATACCAAGTCATATTGTCCCTGGCAAACCATTCTTGCTCGGTATGCGACCAGTACTTAGCATGTTTCGCGTGACGGGATTGATCGAATTTCTTGTTGGCTGAGACACCATACGATCGACGAGAAACTCGCGCTTCGACTCGATTTCCTTCCAAACCGCGGGAAACGGCTCCACTGCCCGACATCAGGTTGCTGGAACAGGATAATAGACCTGTTACTTACCTCACAACTGCTGCCCAACTTTCCCATTCGAAGTGATGTGTTTCAGTCATTAGCTAGCATGGCACAAGGAGGCAGGAACTTACGCGTTTGGGGGCTGCATTACTGGGATAGACGGATTTTTGGTCTTCAACCGTTGAAACAGATATCTGGAGGAACCAAACCCTCCAACAAGAACAATAGCCTGAGTTTGTCAATAGAATGATAAACAAAAAGGAAAGATATTACCTTTACTTTGAGACCAAGATCTGCAACTCTCTCAAGCTGCATCCTGACCAATTCCTCAACTTTCAAGACTATTGGCTCAAATATCTCTTCGATCTCATTACTGTTCCTGAATCAGAATGACCAAAATGATGGAGTTTTCGAGGCTAGTAATGACTTACCTATCGAGTTGGACAAAACCAGCCTCAATGTGCTTGTCTGGCTGACTTTCCGCGCCTGGGAGCGGGATGAAATGGTCTACATCTAAATAATCGCATTCAGATTCCTCACCAAAATTAGGCTTGACCATATCTCTCCAATATGAGAGAGCAGACTCCTTCGACTGTGTACGAAGACATTGCCAATTTTCTAGGCCAACTTTCCTCATAAGAAGGCGTTCAAACCTTTCATCGAGTAAAAGGGATCCGCAAACAGCTCCTATGATGACAGAAATGATTATCATGGATACGAGGACTCCCGACGTTAACCATTACCTGTGCCTTCTGTGACTTCCTCAATATCCAATGGTGCTATGTCTCTTACTTTATAAGAGATCAGATCCTTTTTCCATATGTCAACTGATTGATGCCTGTTTTGGATCATGAGCTCGACGGTGCTTACCACTGTTCCACCACCCGCATCGCACACGATAAGTACATCTTCTTTCTTATAAACCCCTATCTTAGCGCAGCCCGGCTTTCGAAGCTTATACGGAGTCTCTTACTGAGATTGAATTCGGTTGGATCGTACGCAGCGAATGTAATGCGGCGGCTTCGGGCTCTGACACAAGAGATACTTGACTAGAGTCCACACCAGCCAAGAAAGCGGCTCTAAGCGTTGCATCTTTCGCTTTGTCGGACCAGACGGCAGGAACTGTAAGCACGTAAATAAGTTCCATAGACTTGGCGGATTCTCCAAAGCGTCGCTCTAGCGTATCTTTCACGTGCACGACGAGATTTTTCAAGTAATCTCCCGAGACTTGAACTGCATCTTTGCCGTACTTTACAAGTAAGGGCTTTGATTCAAGAGAAGGGGCATATTCTTGGTCCTGGTGTTCGTCTAGCAGAAGCTTAGAACCACGAATGACTTCGGACAAAGGGCCTACTTGGTAGCCCCATTTGGAAACCTTATTCTCGTATGAGATAACAGAAGGCACCTTCAGTGTTGTCCCTAGTCCCGGTTACCAAATTTCATCATGAAATGCAGTCATCACTTACGATTTCCTCCTCCTGGCCAGCTGGATATAATCTCAATGTCTTCCGGGTTTCCTTCTAGCGCCCAAGCGACTCTGGGACACGTTAGCTTTCGTTAAGTATAGAGCCTTGTACAGTTGAAGAATAAGTAGTGACTTACCCGCTGTAAGTTGTTCCGAAATCAATGCCTACAACAGCATATATTGCTTTGCCCATCTTTGTTTATCCAAGAAAGTGGTAAATGGCTCGAAAATGTGTTAGCAATGAAACGCGTACTATGTCCCTTGCGAGTGGGCTTATATGGCCGTCATATCTTCCTTGCCATGTGCCGACGAGGTCAAACATTCTGGGTAATGACATCAATCACTCTTGTGTAATGACATGTACCACTTCTAGTCATGACATAGACCACTTCTAGTCGTGACATAGACCACTTTTTCTCTTGATCCATTGACTGTGATAGATGAAACCGTGTCATTTTCGCCACCATCCTCGAGTATTTATCACCAATTCATAGAGACACTTGTTGCAGCATAATCATTGGACTCATCAGAGATTATACAGCCAAGATGCGCCGCTGGAGCTCATTATTTACCATAGGCTCTCCTAGCTTAGCCCAACCTAATATTCCCTCTCATGGTATATATCTCCTGAAACGGCAACGAGATTTGGATATTGATACTTAATTGCATTTCAGGTGTATCAGATAGACGCGAAGCATACAACAAAACCACAGAAGAACTTGAACATGCTTATCATTTACTGGAAAGGGAGCACAAGGTATATGTGCGCACAAATTTGGAAAATCTTAGCTTACGATGCCAGCAGAAAAACCAGAATCTCAGCTCTCATTTGTCTTCTTGTCAGCATGACCTCATTCGTGTTCGAGAGCAAAGCCGTCGAAAGGAGGAGCTTTGCAACCAGTTAAAGGCAGAGGCGATAGCATCAGAGGCCCAGCATCATCAACAGCTAAGCAGCCTCTATGCTAAGATAAACGCACTTGAAACTGACCTGCATGTTGTCAGCGAGGAAGACTGCGTCAAGGAATGGCAAAAGCTTAGACGGAATCTCGATTTTTGGGTAAAAGGAAATTTCAGGGACACAGCCCAATTACGCAAAATTAACTACAGTACTGTATTTCAATCAGATGCAACCACGGATGCACATACATGGCTTCCCACAGGTAGCTCCCATCAAAAATGGGCTATCATTCAAGCCTTTATTGCGAGAATGGTACACAACAATATTCTATCACAATACGAGCCTGGGCTACCAGAGTACGAAAATGTACTATTCTTCGAACTAGATCGACGGATCTTCGAGCAATGTGTGTTTTTTGCTTCCTTTCCGGGGTTTCTACTCACCAACTCACCAACTTTAGGCAGCATGAATACTTGGACGCATTGCAAGTCTGGAATAAATAAGGCCTTGGGCGCTATCACAATGGGAACTCAAAAGGCCTTGATGGAAAGTCTTGTTAAGCAGATCGAAAGTACTTTCGGTAGCTATGCGTCAACGACAGCAAACACGCGGCAGCAGCAGTTGCAGAGGATCTTCAGTCAATGTGCTGACTTTAAACGACTGTGTAATCAGCAGCCGTATAATTTTACATTTGCGTCGTCACCATACAAAGAAGCTATCGACATGAGTTGTATGACGGCTATTGGGGATACCGACTGTTCTGAAAAGAAAGTCATGCTTTCTCTCTGGCCAGGCCTTTGGAAAGAGATGCAACCCAACCATTTAGGTTGTCTAGAGCCGGAATTAGTCTGGGCCGCTTCACTCTGAAAATTGGGTGTTATGGGACGATCTGCGGCGTCTCCTGTTGTACGTTGTCAAAAGTTCTTATTTCAGGTACTGGGGGTAAATCTTAATACAGTAGAAGATGTCTTCTCTTAATCAGTATCAAAAGTTTTAGATATATAAAATCCTTATTCTGCCTCAGTCTCTTCAAACACACCCAGATAAACGCCGCTGGGTTCCGGTATCATTATAAAAATAACTAATATCAGAAAAAGATATCTCATTCTTAGTCAGTTTAACTTATTGATCTTCTATATTAGCAATTCTTCTTTTTTTAGGGGACATACACTTGGCTTTTAAGAAGCTGTAATAGAAGTAATCATATCTTAATCTAGAGCGAGACTTCTCTTTCTAGGATTAGGATCAAACTCATCTTCTTTCTGCGCAATGTTTAATTAAGTGGCTCGCTTGACGGCCTGTTGTACAGTTGACGATAATGATGATGATGATGATGATGATAATAATTTATACGCTGACCGCTCGCCTTAGGTGATATGCAGGGATTCACTGTCTCTACCCTATGTACATTCTGAACGCAAGGCCTGTGTGGGCCAGTGCCTGGGGTTGTGTTTTGCCGCCCTTATGGCGCGCGACTTTGAAATCTCTGCGATGCCTGTAAACAGCGGAATATGGGCCGACCTGGTTTCTCTCGATCCCAGCTTTCCCACGGGCAATTGCACATGGCCCAACTACCGGTCCGTTGAGATATGCAATCAATGCACAAATGTCGATACCTCAAGGGTGGTGCTCGCTGGGTGGGACTTTTCTTCATTCAACTACAGTCCCCACGAGAACCAATCGATACCGCTCAGTATATCGATGGTGGATGGCCAGTGGTTCAACTCTTCGATCGAGATATTTTGGCGCAAAGCTGAGTTCTTTCGTGTGTATATCCCCAGCGACCTTTACTTTCACGATGGACCAAACATAACCCATGGTTCCGAAATCAAATTCGTGGCGGGGGTTCCGAATCCCTTGGCCGTGGTTACACATGCCGTGCTGAATCTTCCAGCCACCTGGAGTTCGAACGCATCTGTGTTGCGGACAGCGATCCAAGTGACCAAGGTCACCCAGTGCGCATTCACAGTCTGTGCAAGGACATACAACGCCTTTGTCAGCAACGGAGTCGCCTCGGTTGAAACCCTAGACGAAGACATGGGGGTATTCTACCCTCCCGAGTATAATGCGAACTTTGCTAGCTCCCAATGCTGGAAACCCAGCTCAAGTCTGATGAAAAATTGGACCACAGCGGGACAGTGGGAATGAGATTACGCCAGAACCGACCCGGTCAACTATTAGTTCTGCGGATTGGACTCGGCGCGCTACCGTGAGTCTCTCCCACTGTCCGGCACCCTGAGCCAGGTATACGAACTGAAGACATTGCCGAATGGATCCATGATCTGGCAGCCTCTGACAACAAACCTTTTTCCCTCCTCGGCGTCGGTGCAAAGGGTGTACGAGATGGGCCTGGTGACCACGATGGGCAAGATTGCTGCCGCCCTCTCCAAGCTGGCCTGCACCTATAGCAATAATTCGATCTATGGCGTCGTCACCACCCAGGACTCCTATGTTGTTGTGCAATGGCCGTGGTTGGCCCTGCCATTCGTGCTTCTTGTGGCCGGGGCGGCTCTTCTCATCGCCACGGCGCTCATGACCGCACACGACGGGGTTAGCGTGTGGAAATCCTCCGTCCTCCCTCTTCTGTTTCATGGGCTGGAGCCCAACCTGGTCACTCGCGACATGGTAAGGGACCGTGGTCCATGTGAAGTGGCGAGCGAGATGGAACAGGTGGCTGGTGAATTGAATGTGAGGTTGGGACCATCAGAGGAAGGAGGGAGAACAATGCTTCGAGGAGAGACACGCAGCGTCGAGCCTGCTGTGGGCCAATTGCTTCGCCGCCGTCGAACCTTCTAGTGGCGTTATTGATGGCGATACAATCCTAGTCATCTATACGGAGTATGCCTTACATCGGCTGGTATATACATCTGCTTGCGTCTGCACACGCAGATGGCGCAATATCCCGCACAAAGCACGGGCCACCCATTCAGGGGCTGTGATCCCTCCACAATTGGAGACAGCTTATCAAGCCACCATTGACCAAAACCCCCCTTAACAACTTGAAGTCAGACCCAATCACACCCCACAATGTTTAACTTGATATCTCGGGTCCGCACCTTTCTTGGCGACCAGCCCGCCTCCCCACACCCCTGGCCCAAAGTGGCCATCCTCGGCCTTCCCGACGCCGGCAAACGAGCCCTCCTCCAGCATCTGAGCGACACCCCCGTCGACCCGATCACCGTCGCCGGATGTCATGCGGGCTGGACGAGCAGCAGTCACGCCCTGGGACTCAACTTCATCGCCGCGGACGTGGGGCTAGATGCGCGGTTACGCTGGCGAGCCGCCGTCGCCGCGCGGTACACGGACGCGGACGCCGTGATAATCGTGGTCAACCCCGCCCACGCGATCGCGTTGGAGGAGCTGCGGTACCAGCTTGGCTGTCTTGTCAACGGGATGGAAGAGACCGGCGAGGTGCAGACGTATTGCATCGTGCGGAAGGGGATTCCGTGGCTGGTGCTGGTGAACTGTGAGGGGAGTGCCGTGGTTCGTGATCTTCCTGCGTATGTTGCCTCGCTTGAGCGCTAATCATCTGTTGGGCGGGGTGTAGGATGAGGGAAATGCAAGGGAGCAGGTTGATGGTCTGGGACTGGGTGGGTTGGGTGTTGATTGGGTGGGATATTTTCTTTTTTCCTTGATATGTGTTGGGAGTAACTGAAGACTGACGGCTAGTAGATGTTTCGGTCCATCTCAACAATGACGGGAGAGGGTGTGGAGGGGTCAATGCTCTGGTTAAAGAAGAAGATTCGCGTCAACGCTGAGCGCAGACTGCCAGCGGAGAATTAGGGTTCTGCGGTCAGGTGATGATGCTGGGTGTGGGCTTTGGTTTGGTTTGGGGTTCGTATTCTGATTTTATGCCAGGTCAGTGAATTGTCTGCGGCTTGATGGAGCTATACCTTCAATGACTGCAACTGACATGATTCTGTTGTATCTTTCTCTTCTTTTCTTCTTCAGCATACGCATGATTAATGTGTCTCTTTCTTTGTATCTTAACCCATAGTATGCTGCGCCTGTGGGATGCTCAGTTATATATATACCTTTCGTCGCCAGAACAACCAAGATTGATGCAGCAAGGTCTATGAGACTTGGCAGCTGGACAGGTCGCACACAATGCATCTGGCTCAACGGGGGGTCATTATTGTTTCCAGATTTTCTGACTATCTGAAGATGAAGGTGAACACAGGTGATCAATTCACAAGTTGTGCCAAGGATACAGTTTGTCCTTTCTTTCCCTTGAGGCCATGGCGTGGATAAGTCATTAATTGCACATACCTGTACGTACTTGCATACTTATTTACACCTAATTTCTAAGGCTAATCTTCCACAACGAAAGAGAGACTTGGCTCAAGCCCCAGTGCAGTCTTCAAATTGCCCTCTTTTGTGCAAATCCCAACTTCAAACCGCCCCAAATGGTTTGTGACCTGTAAGTGCCTTCTTTTCTGGTGAAACAGCGTAGCTCAACCGATGATAGATATCTCGTGGCAAACCAAACCATGCGCCCATCGCGTCGACGCGATCTGATGTCTCTGTGAGGTGGAGGGGTCCGTACATGAAGAGTTCCTTGGAGACCGATATGTTTGAAATCAAACCAAAACACTTCAGCATGACACGCTTTGTAACACTCACTGGTTTGATGGAGTTGGGATCTTACCAGCGTGTTCTTCAAGCGGAGCCCGGGATCACCCTCGGGAGTCCGGCCAATCTTCTCGAACCGGCACATCATGACGGATGTTTGCTGCGCGCTCCTGGAAGACCCCGGAGTCCATCTGATCGTCCCCGATATGGCTCCCCTGATCGACTCAGAGTCGTCACTCTTAAAGATAGCACCGCTCGTGTTGAGGTCCGTAGGCATGATCGTCACATCCATCGGGGTATGGATCGCTCGCCTCATCAAACGGGTCAGTACTGCCAACACAAGTTTACCTTTACTACGCCGTTGCATCACATTTTTGACCAGAGGCAGCTGTCGTACGCCAGGGAGGGACAGTACACGCTTCCATATATGTAGATGGACACCTTGCATGCGGCTGCTGATTGAGTTTCCGATCTCCAGGGATAGAAAGTCAATTCCGGTGGTCTGATCTGGCATCCTTGATATCCGGATCTCTTGGCGTTGTCCGCGGGCTCCGCGGGATCCGAGCTCGGGCCAATCGTGCATCGGGTATTATAAGACGAGATATCCATCCATGTTAGCGATCTCTATATACTAATTTGTTGAGTAGAATAAGTTGACAGCCCGTTGACTTAGTTCGGCAAGCTTACGCAAGATGACCAACCAAACCGCATCAATCATTCACAACTACTATCCTTCATCGATACACCTACCACACTATGCGGCCAACACCACCCCAGTTTTCTCACTAATAGCCCAATTCGGTATCCTCTGGGTCGCTGTGCTTGGAGTCGCTCTGATTAGTATCCGCCGCGCACGACCTACCGCAAGTCGATCAGACCAATCGGCATTCGTATGGATGTGTCTGAGTATGTACCCTAATCTGCCTCGACGAACCATTCTGTCAGACACCCCATGCTAAGCCCACAAACCCCGTGCAGCGGGATTCATTCACCTCTTCTTCGAAGCCTACTTTGTGATCAACCATCAATCCCTCGCCAGCTCGCAGGACCTCTTCGGCCAGCTATGGAAGGAGTACTCCCTCTCTGATTCGAGGTACCTGACGTCGGACGCATTCCTTGTGTCCATGGAGGCCGTCACCGCCGTGCGTCATGCAATCCCATCCAAAAAGCCCAGATGCTGACAACAGCTGTAGTTCTGCTGGGGCCCTCTCGCATTCTTTATCGCCTACTGCATCGCCGCCCAGCACCCCGCTCGACACGCCCTGCAGCTCATCATGTCGCTTGGACAGGTCTACGGCGATGTGCTGTACTATGCGACGAGCCTGTTCGACCTCCACTACCATGAGATGGAGTTCTGCCGGCCCGAGGGTTATTACTTCTGGTTCTATTACTTTTTCATGAACTTTATCTGGATTGCTGTGGGGTCTTGTGAGTATTCTCTTGATGTTCTGCAGTGTGTATGGGGGCTTTACTGATATCTTGCAGATTATGCGTATCAAAGTGCGGTGGAGATCACGCGGGCTTTCAGGAAGCTGAGTGAGTTCGATCGGAAACGCAAGTCGAACTGATTGGTGTGAGAGGAGCTGGTTACGCATGTTCGTGGCGGAATCTGCCTCAGGCTCTAAGCCGGATGTATAATTTCAGTGGGAAGGAGAATAGTGTGTAGTATGTTCTGTCATACTGACTTCCGAACGAAGATATTTCTCTCGCGAGACTATTAAAATATCCTGATTCGACTGGTGAAGTCATCTCCCCTGAACCTGCTCGGCAATGACAGCTGTCGAGCTCGGGTAACCCGACTCCAGTCGACCGGCTTGGCGGTGGGACGTTATAGCTTAGCTCTCTTGGCTCTAGTTCAGCCCTACTACTCTACCACGGTAGCTCAATTGGGTATAGATGTTTCGGTGCTCATTTATGCAGTGAAAATGATTGGTGTACTATCTCTAACCGTTTCATTTATATACAATTCATTTCGGGTTGCGCAGGGCATTCCGCTCCTGCAGTGGTCGGCTGCCGGTTCTCACACTAGTTTCAGTCCTCGAAATAAAAGCCCATCCCTCGCTTTCACTCAACCGGGTTGAATCTTGCCGGAATTCTACTCGCCTTAGAGGTGTCGCTCAGGATGTCTCCCTCCAACTCACTTTTTGCCACGCTTGCCTCGGTCGCAGCATGTTCTGCTGCAACCCTAGCATCTAACTCAACCCTTGAAACTCGATACCCCAATGCAGCTGTCGAGACAGTGGATGTGGTGATCGTCGGGGGTGGAGCCTCCGGAGCCAATGCGGCTGTCCACTTCCATGATGCCGCTCTCTCGCTCAGGGTCGTCGAGAAGCAGGGTCAACTGGTCTGAAAGCCCTCTCTTTCAATCATGGACATGTTCTAATTACTGTGGTTCTCACTCTACAGGGCGGAATGGTCAACAGCTGGACGAATCCCGCCACGAATACCACTTACGACTGTAGGTACAACCCTAAGCCACCCCGAATTACACAATGCTAACAGCACCTGCATCAGACGGCGTAGCAGCATACACCAACTACACCGGCACGACCGCGTTCTTTGACCGGCTCGGCATCGACTACGTGGAGCCCGACCTAGGAAGCACCACCCTCACCACTACCTACGCAGACTTCACCACCGGCAAGCTCGTGGACTACCTGGCTCCCAACATCACCGACGAGCTTGCCGCCCTGGAGACATTCTACAATGTCTCCAGCCAATACCAGGACCTGTTCCTCCCATCCTACGCCAACTGGCCCGCACCCGAAGATATCCCGGAAGACCTGCTGATGCCCTTCCGCGACTTCGCCGTCAAGTACGACTTAAACGCCACCATCTTCGTAAGCCCACCCCCAGCCTTCCCACTCACAACCCCCTAACCATCATCCCAAATAGCTCATCTGGTCCGGCATCGGCGCCGGTCTAGCCGACATGCTCGACGCGCCCACCCTCTACCAAATGCAGACCTTCGGGCCCCAAACCGCCGCCGCGTTTCTGGGTCAGGACCCGGAATACGTCCCCGCGTCCCACCGCAACCAGGACATCTACGACGCGGTCGCAGACATCCTGGGCGAGTCCGTCCTGCTGAACAGCACGGTGATCGAGTCCGTCCGGCACCCGGACAACCGCGGCGTCGAGCTGGTCGTGCAGAACCACGGAACCCAATCCCATACAATCCTCCGCGCCAAGCGACTGGTGATGGCCATCGAGCCGACAACCACAAACACCGCCACCTTCGACCTGGACACCACCGAGCAGAGCATCTTCGACCAGGGCAAATGGAGCGTCGTGCACACGGGGATCATCTCCCACCCCGCCCTGCCGGTCAACGGCGTCATCTACAACCTCCCCGCCACGGCGGTCGACGGCAACGACTTCGCGCTCCCGGAGCCGCCGTTCGTCGATTACTTCGAGGTGAGCTGCCCCCGTTACCCCCACCTTCCCTCCCTCAAGAACCCCTGAGCTGACGGTGAATAACGAAAGTACCTCGGCGAAAACCTCTGGCAAGTGATCGTCGTCGGCTGGCTCGGCTTCTCGGAAGCCGCGGCGCAGGCCCTCGCCAACGAGGGGATCCGCCAACTGACCGCCGCGGGCACGCTGTCCACCAATGCCACCGCCGCCACCAACGGGACTACTCTCATACAGGTGCATGCGTGGTCGAACCACGGGGCGATGGATATGCGCACCACGGGCGAGAATCTGCGGGGCGGGTTCGTTCAGCGGCAGTATGCGCTGCAGGGCCATCGGTCGACGTACTGGACGGGCGCGGCGTTTGGGAATCAGCTGTCGAATTATCTGTGGGCGTATAATCTGGAGTATCTGGTGCCGTTGGTGAGGGGGAGTTTGGCGTGAGGTTGGGGTGTTCGGGGTGTTGTTGGGGGATAGGGCTACAGTGGAGGGAGGTGGGTCGTGGTGCTGGGTGGGGGTGGGTTGGCAGTAAGTTATGGGGTTAGAGTTACGGGAGTGTGTTTCGGTGATAAGATAGAAGCTTAGGTTAGGGTTCATCAGGATTCAGGCAGAAGATATAAGGTTTGTGTGGGACGCACTGCTCAGGTCAATGCACTGCACACCCGTCCCATGTCTTAGACTGGGGCATGGGGCTTGAGCACGAAATAACTTTGGTGGCTTCGTCCAAGCTTCAGACCTAGCTGACACATGGCTGATGTCTCGGAAACCGTAGATCTGTATTTTGTAAGTATGAAACAAGTCTCAATGGTCTTAGATGGCGATGATTTATTTGAAAATTGTCGGTCCTGTCTCTCTTCGGCCCGTGCTCGGTGTATGAGCCTGTTCAAATAGATTGCATCACTTTCGGGGCAAAAGAATGTGTCTGTATCAGCAGCAGAAATATCTCGAGAGTTATCCCCTGAGGGGACATACCCGCGCTAGTACGAGGAGCAATCGACACATCAACTGCACCCATGCCACCCATACATGCATATCCCGCAGGCACCGCGCGTACAAGTACCTTTGACCGCGGTTGCATGCCGAAGCCTACTTACCCGATCAGGAAGTATCTCCGCCGCCCTTGATAAGCTCGTGTTCATCAATCTTGATAGATCCGTACACAAACAAGCAAACAATCACCCCACCCCGTCCATCGACCTGAAGACCCTATCTCTAGAACCAACACAAACACAGACTGGTTGCTCGAACTTCCAAGCCAAGCACGCGCATCACATTTTTCTCTATCATCCAACTTTTATTTCCAGAAATGCGAACTTCAACAAGTAAAGCAAACACCCGTTAGAACCCCCAAACCCTAACCCCCTCCCAAATTCCAACCTACCGCCCCCGCCCACCCCCCATCTCAAACTCCACGACAATCTGATCCGTGCGATGGATCTCCCACTTCCTGCCCCGCCCCTGCCGCCCCGTCTCCACCTCCTCATCCCCGGACCAGATCTCCTCCTGGCTGTCCGTTCGTGTAGCACTCTCAGTCGTCAACGGATGACGCCCCTTTCGCGCAGAGCCCGGCCCATACGACGGCACGGGGGTTGGGTACGAGCGCGGGAGGCTGTAGGACCGGCAGGCGGAGGAGCGTTTCCCGAGGACAAATTCCAGGAGGGGCTGGAGGGTGGGGATGCAGGAGGCGATGATGACGAGGTTGGCTTCGGCGCTTTTGCTGGGGTTAGTTTGCAGGTTTATCGATCAGATGGAGGGGAAGGGAGTAAGGTGGACTGGGTATACGAGGGCTCGGGAGAGACGTACTTGGTCCAGAGGACGAGGGGGCAGCTTTCGTCTGTGTTTTGGGTTAGCGGAGTTGAAGGTGGGAATGGGGGTGGAGGGAGGTAAGGTAAGCGGAAACGGGCAGGGCAGGGCAGGGCAGGGCAGGGCAGGGCAGGGCAGGGCAAGCATACATGTTGTGTCGGCAACGTCGCCGAGGGCGTCGAGGTGGGTGGTTTTGATGATGGCGGCGCAGGCGGAACTATCCGGATCAGTTAAGGCTGGCTATGTTGTCAGGGGGTGAAAGGAAAGGTAAACGCACATAGCGCCCAGCCCTAACGCCGCGCACAGGGCGAGTTTCTTGTGCAGCGACATCTGCAATCGCCAGAGGATTAGGCTGGGGTAGATCGCGAGGCTGAGGTCGGTGAAGGCTGATAATGCTATCCAATCTGTCAGTACCCTCATATCCATCCCGAATCCTGGGAGTTAAGAGACAGGCAGACTCACCCCCATTTAACGTCGCCACCCCGATCAGAACCCTCGAGCTGCGACAGCTTGCCCCCTCGACCGTCGCCCACAGCGCGCGCGGCGGGTCACACTGGGTAAATAGCACCAAGATATTCACCACCGCGACGACCATCACCAGCCCCGTCAGCCCCCAGAGCGCACACCGCATGGGAACTCCAGGCACCAAGATGCGATGCAGCAGGGCGGCCACGCCTAATTTCGGCAGCGCGAACGCGAGGATCCCGAAGATCCAGCCGAGATCGATGGTCAGGTTCGCTCGTTCGGCGGCGGAGGGACCGATCGCGGAAGCGTGTCGGCCGAGACCTTGGGTGACGGCGACGGTCGCGAGGCTGACGTTGCATAGCCCTAAGATCTGGGAGTGGGAGTGGGATTGGGTCAACGGGTGAATTCTCGAGGTGCGTGACGTGACACGATGGGCGACGTACCATTGAAGAAGCAATCAGCCAGTCGTCCAACCCAAACGCACGAATAATCTTCGTCCGGATGACGAGGCGCGCGCAGACCAACACGGTCGCAAGGCTCGTCAGAGTCCACATCACCGCCAGCAAGGCCGGGCCTTTGTTCGCTTGTTGGTCGTACGCTGTGGTGCCCGCCATGGCATGGAGGCGCTGCCACTGTGGTCGTGGACCATCCGGAAAGATCAAGAAAAGCGAAGATACAGCAGTTGGCGGGCTTTGGGGGAACCGCTGCAACCCAGGTCCGGCGATAGTGACATCTCTTATAGGAAGCAAATCCCCGGGTCGACTGATAGGGACTTTAGGAGGAAAAGCGTTTGGTGGGGGGAATGGACAGGTGCCTTCGATTGCTGCAGCCAAGTGTCAGTGCCTTTTGTTGATGCATCGACTTTTGATGCAGGAGTTAATATGTGCAGGATTGCTATTTGTGGGCGGCAAGGGGACTACGCCGGAGTGGGGAGGGGAATCACGCAACCAGGCCGCGCTAATTATGCAGGCAGGGAAAAAAATGTTTGGGCTTGATTGTGTCGGGCTTTTCGCGGGTTGCCTGCAGATATCGTCCGCTGTGCCCCTGACAGCAGCAGCCGAATATGTTCCCTTCCCATGATCTGTGCTCGTGTGGTTGAATCGAGGATCAACGGATGACCTGTGCGGCATATGCCTTACAGCTGGGCATGGGGAATGGGGGGCACACGGCGGCACGCATTTTTCTGCGGCAGCGCAATGACCCCCTCGGCCCGGATACTAGATAATGGCTCCGCATCTCCGCAATTAGTTGTGGATCCTGTCATTTCTGCCTGGGCCAATTGACTTGACTTTGGTGGGACTCGGGCATCGACTTACAGATGTACTCACTCATACGAGTATTGAACTCCCGCATCACCGATTCGCAAGCATGAATGGTCCGCGGGTGGATCTTGTCGTGGGTTTGACATCAGGCAGTCACATTCTTCGGTCCAATCGACATCCTTGGTCGGGCCTGTCATAATCTTGTTCCTGGTTAAAATTTTATGATTGCTGCATCAAACTATACTTCTCGCACAGACCCTGTGATGTACTTACCTCAATATGGACCGAAATTGTCTCGCGCATGAAAGATGCATTGGAGACCTGCAGATTCTCAAGGCTCTCAATTTCCCTCTGCTGCAACAACCATAATTGAATGCAACGACATCCCTGCAATGGCGTCGTGGTCGCACGTGGTGAGGAATGTAGATGTTGATCGCCGGCCCGTTAACCCTAAGTCCCCGAGCTGATGACTGACAATGCCCCCAAACTGACAGCGCACTGAGCCAGATCTTCCCTGCTGGGCAGCCTTGCACCCGACTCCAGCTGATGAAGTCGCGCGAGTCCAATGTCAGCCGTTAAGGCACCATGACTCTTGTGAGAGATCGACGACGCAGAATCTAAGCCGCTGACGTTCAAGCTCCAGGTTATGAGCAGCTGGGTATCCGATTTGGTGGTCTCGCAGCCTCCGGGCTTCGATCTTGGGTCGGGGGTCACATGAGGGGTGCGGTTCGATAATCGAAGCGATTGATCGGTGGTGAAGCTCTAGACTTTTGTAGCCATAAGGGAACTGTGTAGGCAGGAACGAGATCATGAGTCGGGATTTTGTGAGGCGATGGTTGTGCGAAACTCGGAAAGGGATCTCTGGCGTCGGTACGGGGTAGCGGGACCAACTAGGAGAGATATACGGCAGCCTTTCTTCTTGATAAATCGGATCTATGATGCGAGAGATTCAATCTTTGAGGTCATTTGGGAAATGCGAGAAAGATTGAGGATGTTGTTGCTTTGTCTGTCGAGGGGAGAGTTTGCAAATCTTGCGGGGGGTTAGTGTGCATTCAACGTGGTAACCTAGTGCAGCGCAGCGCAGCCCCATACATCCGCCGTGAGAAGAACGAGGCTGTGTTGTGTAGCTGGCAAATGTTCCTCTTCTAGCAACCTGCATTGATGCTGGACACAGCAAAAAGTACTGGTCTTTGAGGCATACCGACGTGGGGATTTTTATCGATGAGCGAATCTTGGGGTATGGGTCTGCAAGCCACACCTGGAGGTGCAGGGAGCTCTTGCATAGCATTTGGACGGAGAAAGAGAGTTTGATGGTTCCGGCTGTATGTGCTATAGGTTCCCTCGTTAGCCCTAATTGCACTGTGCTGGTTTTTAAAAACAGAAAGAAAGGAAACGAAAGAGAATAAAAACCGCCATTTTCAAGCATTTTTCGCTCTAGCGAGCACCTGAAAGACCATTTCCAGACCCATAATACACGTGCTCAGCTGTATGGGAAGAAAAGAAAAAACGTGGCCAGCAGTGGGGGGTACAGGCGACCCCCCTTTCCCTGGCTATGCGTTGGGTCTGGCCTTCATCGTGGAGGCTCTGCGTCTGGGAGAAAGGCGAGGCGACCAATGGCTTGCCCAAAAAGCCACAAGTTTAGCTAGCAGCATTCTCTCTACTTGGATCTCTTCCAATAAGAGATTACGATTTCCTCCCTGTGGCGTGGTTTACTTTTTACTCGGGGTCGTGTTAGCGGCGACCAAAGCAGCGAGTCAGGGGGGCACACCAGGGGCTTCAAAGAAAGCCAGCTGCTCAGTGTCTACGCATGCACGTATGATACCGAAATAGCATAATATGTTTCCTTAAGTCTCAAGAATGGAGATTCGGACAAAGAGATCGAAAGGTAGATGTTGAAACTACTGCAGGGGCATAATATTCTTTTGGTTTGAAAACGAAACAGTGAATAACAAACTAGAGTCTCATGGCCGCATCACCAACACAGGTTTGTCTTTTTCGACAATGGGATATTCTGTAGATCCTCCTCAATCTTGTTCATCCGATCCACCAGGGCCGCCGCGATCTCCTGAAAGTCATCGGAGGCGAATTTCGCTAGTTCCGGTATGCGTTCTTTCCAGAAGATCCACCGCTCGCGGGGAATATCCGCCCTACCACGGTAGAGAGGCCCCGGCTGTGTGCGACAGGCCTCATCCGGGTCGAGGACGCCTTCGCATCGCTGGCGATACAGCTCGCAGCCCGCATGGAAAATCCATTCGCGCACGATCGCAAGATGGTGATCGACGAGACGGGGGTTCACATGGGGATACTCAAGCGCCGACCGCAGTTGCCAGATGCCGAACTGTTTCCACGGCCGCAGCTGATTTCCGAGAACCCTAGCCATGAAGGAATTGAAGTTGAGGTCGTACGCGATCCATTGATCATCTTTCGGCTCCGAGGCAAGCTCTTTGGGACACCGGTCATCCTGTGGAACATGGAGGCGTCCGCAGCACTTGGCCGTCGGATCGGGATCAACCTCAGGAAGCGCGGGCGGGACATCATACATTACCTTCCCCAACTCAGGGAAACTTGTCCATAGATATGATAGATATGCCCCGTAATCAGCGACTTTGAGCGGCGGAAGCCGACTCAAATTGCACATGAGCTGAATCAATCGATCCTGCCCTTTACTATCGTAGCGCATGGCACCGGCAGTCGAAACTACCTCGTCCCAGAACGGCTCTAGAGGTTCAGGCGTCTTCCGCTCCTCCTCGGGAGTCAAGAAGTATGGACGGATCATGTCGTCGTTGCGCTGAGCCCCGGTGTCCGGCTCCTCTTTCTCGTCCACTACATCGAATACAACCTGGGCCGCTTGCTGCACGAGAGGATCGTCGGTGAAAAAGAAGTTGCTTTCCATTTTCGGTTCTCAGTGTATGCGGATGTCACTTTCTGTGTATGTATGTAAATGTGTGTAGATGTGTGTAGATGTGTGTGTTTCCGTGTATTAGGAGATAGAGAGAACAGAATTCAGTCTGAGACATATGTAGCAATCGACAGCTTTAAATAGTGCACGACTCTGATGAAACAGCACAGCACCAATTCCCCTCCTTTGTGCGAGATTTTCAACATGTCTTTAATGTTGCACTTCCATTATTAGAATTCTGACTGTCCCAGCCATATGGTTGCAAGGTGGTTGACACACTTTGTCTCAAACTGCAGCCTCTGGTCTTTGTCTGTCTTGCTCAGAAGACAAGAGAGCCGCTACTACCGTGGCCTGCTTACCTTTGATCTTTGATCCTTTTGTCTTCATTGATGAGGAACTGGCCGATGATCACAAGGGCACGAAAGTCTGCCCGGCCACAACATGGGGTCTCAGCGCGAAACCGCCCTCGCAAACTGAGTGAGGCAGGATTCCATTATGTCTCATTACTGTCTACCTATGCTCTTTGCCGCAGTTTCACTGAGTAGCAGATGACATGGTGATCAAGTGCAGCAATATGATCCATTGCAGTATATCATGGGGAGCATAAATAGTTGTGCTTTAGAGCTGCAAGATGGCAAACACAATCCTAGCTATCAATATCTCTCTTTGCCTTGACTTCAGCAGATATCATGGGACTCTTACCGATGAAATCGTATTACCGGTGGTTTGGGTTTTCAAAGACCCGAGATTCGAAAGAGGACCACTCCTGCAGGTTCTTGGATGATGCCTTGATCCACAGCAATAACCCCTGTGTATGTCTTCATACTTCGTTCTTGGGTGTATGCTGACTATCTAGGAATCTCGTGGTCTCTTAGCGAGCTTCGGCAGTATCCCTTGACCAAGTCTTTAGGGCTAGCTCTGGTATCACATGTTGTCGTCGGCCCGCTCCGACCCGATCCTATGCAATGAATCTAGTCGGTTGACCAGGGGATCGGGCGCAGCTACCAGCCATTCGACTATCTGTGAAATAAAAGTTCACCTGTGATTAGCCTATGACCTCATGGGAAGTCCACTTCTGTCATTCCGGGAAAGTCTTCGATCGATCGCAAGACCACTAGTGGTCGATCGCACCCGATGTAGTAAAGTCGCTTCTAGCCGCCAGGGTAGCATTGGTTTGATCGGACAATCGCTTGAATCAGAGAGGGACTATTATTGACCTGATCGACATCAAGTATAAATTCCACTTAATTCCACTTCATACCTTGGAAATTTGCCAAGAGAATGCGGCAGAAACACCCTTCTGAAAGTAGAAGGAGGAGCACGTGTTGACTGTCGGAAACGCCATCCTTCCCTTTCCTCCTTAAACGTAGGGATCGCTAGCTGTAGGTCACCAACCCATTCACTATGAGGCTTTGTAGCAGCTATCTCGGTGTGTTAATAGCAATCTGGACTCTAGCCCACGCTTCGATCGATCACGCAGGCAGGGTACAGTACATCCTGCACAGCACATTACGAACAGCAAGGCTAACACTCTACTCGCGCCAGTCAGCAAATTCCACAGCATACATCCTCCCCGATGTCATCGACCCTGAACTGGCATACTGATTTTGAAAGCACCGCAAATCCAGCCTCAATGTAACGCGCGATGATCCGAGAACCGCCCCGCAACTGCCACGCCACGTCCCGCCCTCCCTCCCCTTGGAAGATCTCTTCCGCGCCTCCTACAACGAACTCGAATACCTCAAGCTCTACCTCGGCGACCTGCAAGACCCGACCACGCACCACCACCCCTTCACTAGCGCGCATATTGACGAGGTCGAAGCCTTCCAGGCCTACATCACCCACCAATACACCCTCCTGTTCAAGCACGCCTTCCCGCACCGCGCCAACGAACCCTTCGGCCTCACCATCCACCAAGAATCCACCACCCGAGCCAACGTAACACTACTCCTCCGCCGCCTCGACGCAGCGAACTGGGCCCTCGCGCGCTGGGCCCAGCAAAACACACTCCTTGACCTAGCACAAGCCGACCTCCGCCGCCGGGGCGTGGCGCGCGGGGAAGCACTCTGGACGCAGCGGTACGCGGAGATCAAGGCGTGCGTCGACGGGGTGCTGGCGCGGTTCCGCTACCGGGGCCAGCCGCTGGCGTACGTGGGGAGCCTCAACCACGGCGTCCGGGGCGCCCACAAGGGCAAGACGGCGCTCAAACTCCACGACTTCGACGTCGATCTGTTTGTCGTGCACCCCGCCGAGTGGCGCCGCCATCTGCCCGCCATCCGCGCCGGGTATCCCGACCACCTCAGCAATGAGAAGATCTTCCCGCTGGGGACGCATCTGCGCGAGCTGCAGGAGTTGGGTGAGGCGGTGGGTCTGGCTTTGGCGGCGGAGTTACGGGATAAGGTCAAGGGGGCGGGGCGGTTTGTGGGGGGGACGGAGATTGTGCTGCGCGAGTTTGATCGGTATTGATATCACATAAGGAAAGTTCTTATTCATACTGCCATTATGATGCAGATGGTATACTTCAACTGCTTCGCATCTGATCGGGCTAATCGATATGCGTAGTCGGGGTATGTGCGTAGACGAGGTTACGTTGAGCTTAAAGAGATGACGGGGACTCTTTCGGGGTTCCGAGGCACGCGATGCCCCTAACTTGGCAAGGTGAACCTCGGCTCGCCTCCTTTCTCACATTGATGCCCGAACTGTTAAACAATAACATAAGTTAAAAGTACCGTCTACTTCGAACGAGATATACGAGATTTGAAAGAGGTGGGTATGTTGATCATCAGTAATCCCGGATCAGTAGCATGGTGGAACATCGAGTCCATACAAAGACCGTACTTTCAGCAAGATGGATTAAAGGAAATAATTGGGTATTCATTTCCCATAGCGATGATTCTCTCCAGTTAGTCTTTGGGCTCACAATCCATTGTATTATTTCTTTGTTGCATAGCGACATCCTCATCACCTTCTTACCTGTTACCCCCCCCCCCCGTGCAAAGAACATATAAAGGCATTGTGCAATTTCTGTGCACTTAGATTTGATCCATCTCTCCACAGACGACTGCACAGCTGAAGGTCTAATCTGTCCAGTTTCAGTCAATATGTCGTCCTACCCTCATCCTTTTGTCAACCTCCTGAGCTGTGCCTTCGCACCGCAAGAGCCAGTCCAACACCAGCAGGCGTCGGTGGATCAGGCCGATGTCAAAGCGGAAGAGCCAGTGCTGCAGGAGCCGACAGGTCAAGACCCCGGCCGGCGTGAGGACCTGCCTGGTGCTCGTGAGTACATCATCCAGCCCCCCTCATATGTAGCCTTCTATGAGAACCAGCAACAGGATCAGAAAGAGCCGGAAGCCGCCCACCCCGATGTTCCATCCCAGAAGCAGTCGTTGGAGGAGCTCGCATACTCCGGGCTGCAGTATATGGAGCAGACGTGGCCGGGAGCAGGCACACACCAGGACATGATCCCGCCCCCGGATCAGCAATGGGCGGTAGCTGCACCCCTCGAGACCCACCACCAGGGCCAACCCCCACCGGGAGCAGCCTCCCCCAGCGCTCGGGAACAGAATCGAGCCCCAACTGCCGCCGCGGCTGCAGGGCGCACCCCCTTGGGTCGATTCCTGCGCAGCGGTCGATACCACTACGTGCGCGACAGCATGGATAGATATATCTGCACCTTTGAGGGGGCCGATGGGCAACCCTGTCAAGCTGTTTACGGCAGTCTGGGTGGGGTCTATAAGCATCATCACCGGGCCCATGAGCCGAAGAAGCTCCACCAGTGTCGGATCTGCGTGCAGAATCTGTTCTTCTCTACCCACAGACAGTATATCCGGCATATGCAGTGTGTTCATCCGGAGTAGATGGCTGAGTCTTGGCTGAAGATGGACCAATAGAAGGTCCCAGGTTCAAGGAAAGAATACATTTAGGTTATTTTACTTCAACAAGTTGTATATTGTAATTTCATTAACAGGCGCATATTCCGCTGCACATCAGATGCTTGCGGCCGTCAGAATAAGGTTCAGCCCTAATTCTCTCCCGTGAGTCGTCGTTCTATGGTTGAGACACTCCGAACTTAATCGATGGCAATCTCTACAGTCTATCACTTCCCGACCACCCAATCTCGCGCAAGCGAGTCCGTGAATCATGACGCACCATCCACAAGACAATTTGGGGGCCTGAGAGCTATATTCTATCCCCATATCTGTTCTTCATTGCTGTCGGACGCTATAAGTTTGTATTTTTGGCCAATCAGCAACCACGTCTTGGTGGCGCAATTGGTTAGCGCGTACGACTGTTAATCGTGAGGTTGAGAGTTCGATCCTCTCCTAGGACGTTGCTTTTTGCTTTTGCCCTTGCTCTTTTCCTGCTTCGTTTCTCATACGCCTTATATCCTCCAGCCATTGGCCGTCTCAACAAATCGTCTGGGTGGCGCAATTGGTTAGCGCGTACGACTGTTAATCGTGAGGTTGAGAGTTCGATCCTCTCCCTGGACGCATTTGATTTTTATTTTATTTTTTTTTCTTGCTCTGGTGGGCCACTGGCTTTGCATTAACCTGCATGCTATGCTGCTTGTTTGCTTCTCTGGAGTGCCTAGCAGAATAGGGTTGGGTGCGGCGTGTTACCCGGTTGCTTGCCAGGTCGACCTTCACCACTACCAGTACTGTTCCTCTGATCTTCGGGTCGAGTCTGTCAAATAGACACTTTAATGTGTCAGGTTCAAGCTTATGTCCAGTCTCTCCCTAATTTAGTCTTCGATGCGATCCTTGAAATTGCTATGTCGAGAGATATTGATGAGAGTAAGGGAAGAAAGACCCTCAATTAGGGTTTCGGAAAGTCACCACCTGAGGGAACACCCCAAAAACTTACCTGCCAGATTATCGACTACGAATGCATCCGAGTGTCCAATCGCGTTGATTCTTCTCCAACATACACCTTGAGTGGAAAATGGTTCTATCGCTGCTGTAAGCAGGTTGTCGGAGTACTTACTTGCCATACGGTTGATGACTATATCCGAGGACTGCGACAGCCTGACTAAAGTGCTCGCCGAGCACTGTGCATATCTCAGCAGTACGTCGACACTCGATGCTCTGAGACGAAAACCTGGCTACGGTTTCATTCCTTTTTAATATGTCTTGTTTTGTACTTCCGCTCCTGAAGTCTAGGCTTTTGGGTTTTCCGGTTTTCAGGCATTTGAACTTATCGATGATTTTATATCTGGATAGTGAAAGTAATATTCCAATTTCCATAACATAACCCCACTGTGTCTACTTCACCGGGTGTTGTACCCTGGGCCGGGTATGTGTTGACACATCAGAAGCGTGTGAAAGCATTCCACATTGTCTATAGTCTTATCTATAGTACAGAAGCACAATGCATCCAGCCCCACGAACCCATCTTACTCATAGAAAGTAATCCGGCGTCCGTCGTTGCATTGTCGGTTCTCCAGTGCGCGGAGAAGGGTCGAACTGTATACTATCTTGAAAATCAGTATAGTCTCCGATAATCTAATGGACATGTAACATGCCATTGGTAGTTCAGAGAATCGTCGATCTCCACAATTGCCGCCTGGTTGCCACAGCGGTAGCAGTAGTTCGGGGCTACCGCAGAGGCCATTAGCCCTACCGCCCGTCATGTCGCTCCACTGAGACTATACCAGAGAAGATGGTAACCACACTCCCATGCGACCACGAATACCCATCCATCACCATCTGATGCGCCCTCGCCACCAGCGCAAGCCCATCCCGATGATCAAACCCCTCCGAGATATCCTGCCCAAAGGTGTACCCAGCCCCACGCGGGGAGATGCCCCACCCACATCTCTCATCGGGATCACTTCAAAGCAGGTCACATATAGGACCCTCATGCGGTGGCTTCTGGAAGCGATCCAGCACACGGATGTTATCCAGCGTATCGACCGACGGACTCAGGCCCCCATGGAGGCAGAATATCCGATTGTCGATCAGAGCCGACAGGGGCAGATGGTCGAACAGATCCGTGAAGAGGTTCCAGACCGGCGAGTTGCCGTACTTACGCAGGCACTCGTCGTAGAACCCGTAGACTCGGGTGATCTGGCGCGATTCGTGGTTTCCGCGGAGGATCGTGATGCGTTTGGGGTAGCGGACTTTGAGCGCGATGAGGAGCAAGACGGACTCGATGGAGTGGTAGCCGCGATCGACGTAGTCGCCTAGACACGGGGTATGGGGTTAGTGAGGCTTTCTTCTCCCCATTTGCGGTCTGGCATTTCACCCATGAAGAGGTAGTTCGTGTCTGGGCATGGCCCGCTTATGCGGAACAGTTCGATCAGATCGTGGTATTGGCCGTGGATGTCGCCGCAGACGGTCACTGGGCATGTCTGCAAGGTAGGTCAGTGGCACTGATAAACACACATATCCTGACCATCGAGGATAGTTGGAAAAACTTACGACCGGTTGCACGTTGGCTTCATCCTGTACCACTTCCTTTGCCTGAGGCGGGGCGGCATGAACACAATCCAAAAGACTCTATGCTTGACTATATTTGACAACGGGAAGCCCACACCAGACTACACAGTCGCTCTACATTATCTTCAGACAATGTTCTGCATTGCATCAAGTCTCCAATCCATCCATCAACAGTCCTGATGGAATGGTAGTTGACTTCACCTGTTTTGGGCGGATTAGGGACTCGTTTTTATCATTGGGTATCATGTTTCCTCGGTCCTCAAGAAGAAAAACCACAAGGTCAGGGTATATATACAGGCATGTTATGTAACGAGCTATCGGTGACGTTGATGGTGGCGGCATGGGCAGTAAGGGCCTGCTCCACTTCTATGAGTTGACAGGAGCCGAACTCCGATACCCGCTCGGGGTTCCGAACCTCAGATCCCATTATTCGAACTAAATTAGATTGCCCTTATTGGGTGTAAAGCCAGTAAATTTGTAAATCCAGCTTTAGTTTGAAATCTGATTACCACGGCGTCGAGATTGTGAATCTTGCTGCCAAAAATAGAATAGAAACAGGACAAGAAAGAGAACACCTAGAGGAAGAACCCCCCTTTCCATTCACTTTCCATCCTATGTTCGACCTATCTATAAGAATTTCTCCCCTCCCTTGGCTCTTTTCCCAATGCCTGCTGGCCAATAATCAACCTCTCTTCATACTTAAGACGTACTCTACTATATTGCTTATATCATGGCCAATCAGGACAGTGTAGACGTAGACTCTCTAATCGAACGCCTACTTGAGGTTCGAGGCCATCGACCGGAAAATTTGTCAGTATCCAAGAGTCGGAGATCGCATATCTCTGCCGCACCGCGCGCGAGGTCTTCATCTCCCAACCCATTCTCCTCGAGCTCGAAGCCCCCATCAAGGTAAAGCAACCCTGCCGCACCGTCCACTTCCCCAGCACTGACAGCGCAACCAGATATGCGGCGACATCCACGGCCAATACTACGACCTCCTCCGCCTCTTCGAACACGGCAGTTATCCACCGGAAGCGAACTACCTCTTCCTGGGCGACTATGTCGACCGCGGCAAGCAGTCGATCGAATGCATCTGCCTGCTCCTCGCCTACAAGATCAAATGCCCGGAGAACTTCTTCATCCTGCGCGAGAACCACGAGTGTGCCTCCATCAACCGCATCTACGGCTTCTACGACGAGTGCAAGCGCCGCTATAGCGTCAGGGTCTGGAAAACGTTCATCGATTGCTTCGACTGCCTGCCCATCGCGGCGATCGTTGACGACAAGATCTTCTGCACGCACAGCGGCCTCAGTCCCGGTCTGAATTCGATGGAGCAGATTCGTCGCATTATGCGTCCGACGGATGTACATAAATCCTATCTTTTCCCTTACTTGGGTTCTGTAGACTGATTTGGATCTTAGATCCCCGACTGCGGCCTCCTATGCGATCTCCTCTGGGCCGACCCAGACAAGGATACTACAGGATGGAGCGAGAACGATCGCGGGGTGTCGTTTACGTTCGGGCCCGATGCCGTCACTCGTTTCACTCAAAAGCACGATATTGATCTGGTCTGCCGCGCGCACCAGTGTGTGGAAGACGGGTATGAGTTTTTCGCCAAGCGGAAGTTGGTGACACTGTTCAGTGCGCCCAATTATTGCGGGGAGTTTGATAATTCGGGCGCGATGATGAGTGTCGATGAGAGCTTGCTGTGTTCGTTCCAGGTGAGTGCCTGTGTCTGGTTATTTCGTACAGGATCTTGAAGTAAGGAAGCTGATTGGTGTGCTGTCTGGGTAGATCATGAAACCAGCGGAGAAACGAAAGCCGCTCTTCAGGAAGCGGTCGGCTAGTCATATTAAGCCATAGGTCTGGTGGATTACTTTAGACGTGCTTGTGCTGCATGACGGGTGCTTTCTGTATAGCTTCTCGAGTTTATTCTATTTCATAGGAAGGCAAATTGAGAGCGTAGATTCGCATATTGGGAGAAATAGGGATCCCTGAAACCGTACTCTGTCCACTATCCTGTTCACCGTCATAGGGCACACGTTCTCTGATCTTCTTTGCTCCGAGCTTTTTTGGGAACAAGCTATTACTCAAGCTCACTAATCCAATCTCCGATATACGTAGCCAACACTTCTCCATTGTCTAGTCCCGTCTACGCATTCTGCTACAATAGAAGCTGTCCATTATCCAGAATCACATTTTCGCTGATTCTCCGCAGCCACTTCCGACATTTCCACAAACTAGCTCCACAATTGGAAGAACAGCTGATGTTAACTCAACTTGGAAGCGTTGATTTGAGCACAGTTTGGGTCACTTCGGGCTTTGCCGTCCATCCGCCGTATACCCAAGCCTTACTTACCCATTTCAGCAACGAAGTGATGAGATAGCATGTTATTATCGGGATACCACTTCCCCAATCAACCATACATTTCAAACAGTTCTTTCATACAGATAGTCGCTACTTTTTTCATCGAATCATTCTACTTTATACTACGCTGTAGCTTCTGGATATCCGGCTAAAGGTTCTAGAGTATCCACCGAGTGAACATCTGCTGCCTGCCAAAATACGTCAACATTTGACATACACACCCGATCAGTAGCTGTGCTTCGGAGTGACTGGCACTTCAGTTGTGGCAGTATATCTACAAGCCTCTGACAGCGGGTCTTCTTCTCCGCCGGTTGAAGATTGCCTATGCCTGAAGGTATGAAGGCAATTTACTGGCTATCTGGTCGTGACGGTCTCTTTCTTGGGCTTTACATTATGACCTAATGTCAGGATATTCTTAACCCTCGGTAGGCCTGAAATAGCATGATTCGTAACCAACTAACCTCCGGGTCTTCGTGTATATCATAAGCCTTGGCGCTATACTGCCGAAAGATGTCTTAGTTAATTATCTGATCAGCAGGCATGTAAGGTAACGGTAATTGATAGAATGAGTACAGGGAAGCAATAGCATGGACTGCCATATGTTTCAGATCCGACTGCAAGAGAAACGCAAATTGAATTAGGGTTCAATGTCCTCAGTCCACCCATGCGGTATGTCTAACCTACTTTTTGAGACCTCGAACCCTCAATCAATAATGCCAGCCAAAACAAGCAAGATTAGAGAAAGGTTTTGGGCGAGGAAAATAGAATTCATCATTTTTGGGTCTCTCTCTCTACTTGAGCGTGAGTTGCCAAAAAAAAAAATCAAAAGAAAGGCCGTCCAGGGAGAGGATCGAACTCTCAACCTCACGATTAACAGTCGTACGCGCTAACCAATTGCGCCACCCAGACATGCTTCTTATGGTGATGAAGCTTACCGCACGTTACACAATTGTAATACACTAAGCACCACTTTTAGACAGCTCCCATGGTTCACCAAACCTAGCTCATATCAGATCGCCGGGACAGATCGAGCCACACTTTTGATTGAATTATAAATCATATAATTTGTTTTCCGCCGCCCGTAACAGAACGCCAATCATTGAATCATAATGGATTTTATCATGAAACGTTCCGTTGAGATGCGGTAACCTACGACTGCCGACAATGAGTTCGTCTCCGGTCAACCCGAGAATGCTTCTCTCCGTGTAGAGTTCGATGTAGCCGAGTAGCTACCCTAATGAACCATGCCTAAGTGGTCTTAATATACATAAGACATTGCCTTCGACCATATGGTCCTCGTAAGTCTTGAGACTCCTGCTCATGGCTCAGGAAGAAACGTTTCTTACTTCCGCCATCGCGGGTTCTGCGACTTGAGTGCACTGTACTGTACCTATAGAGGGGGAAGTCTTCTGCCACTCTTGTCTGCATATACAGGAAGACAACTGGCTCGATCTATAGAGTACGAACATGTGTATATGAAGAATGACTATTCTTCTTTGTATAGCCATATCTACCTCGACAATGGGCTGCCTGTGTTGTTTACATCGCGCAATTTGGAGTAAAAGGATATAAGAAATATGGCAATATCAGGGCTCTTGGAGCGAGCTCGGCCTGGTGTGATATGTCAAAGTCCTTGTCCGAATGAATACTTGCATTTATCGGTGTCAAGATGTGCAGTTCATCTATGTGACACCATCGTTCTTCGACCTTATGCTCGCAGGCGGCAGCTCCACTTCCGACTCCACATGCCGCCGTATGTCCAGCCACTGACTCTGATCCACAACCCCGTAAGATGACTTAAATTTCCAAAAAAGAGAAGAATGACGTCCTAGGAGAGGATCGAACTCTCAACCTCACGATTAACAGTCGTACGCGCTAACCAATTGCGCCACCAAGACGTACTTGTTGTGCTGCCGGCAAAAGTTTTGAAACTATCTAGCATTACAGGAAACCGGAGATTGGATCAGTGACTTCCATGTTTCGAAATGCAAATTCAGCTCTGAATTTACAGACTAAAAGAGATCTAGGGGTAATTCTTGCTTCGCTAGTATAAGTCTTGGAGACTTGTGATATTGGTCTGTATAGCGCGCTTTATCTCAATGTTTTATCTGGTTAATTCCATGTGTGGTCGGGAACATATACCTGTGAGTGTGCCTCTCCTATCCAACTGTATTCAATCGTGCCTTTTTAATGGTGACAACCAATGGTGGAGAACGAGAAGATGAAGAATCAAACTATGCACAAGTACCACACAGAGTTCTCCCCGGATGGCTCGACTTGCCAGCGACTATGAAACCCGAGTATACAAGATATATAACTATGTCGCCTCCAAGACCATCCTAAAGTTAGCCAAAGACTTGCATCGATTTATTAAACACCCAAATTAATACATGCCTGCATACAGAGGTTCAAGAGCCACACAAATCGGTGCCAAGATGTTCATTTTGGGCGGACCGTGGGGCACTCTTTCAACATCGTTCAGGTAACCCGCCGGGCCCTAACTTGCAACCACGCCATAAGCCATGTGTTGAGATCGACGCTCAGCATTTCTACCCGAAACCAAAGCACGTCCTATAGAAGACAGCAAATAACCGACGGGGCTTTCAGTATCCAGAGTATTGTACTTATGGCCATGCGTTATCGAAGCCACTGCGGGAGCAGTGCGCTGCCTTTACTCTCGAGGATTGATGGGCGCTCGGAGTTCCCTCCGTCTCTGGCCTATACATAAGCCTTGCGCCCTACAATCCTCAACTTCATGTTGTGGTTTCACGAATTAAGACCTAGGTCCTTCGTAAATTCCCATACGGTAGGGTCATTCCTGAAAACCCAAAGAGCGAGCCCTAAGGGGAGGACAGAAGAGGTCAAGCTTTGTATCTGGCATCAAAGACAGGCCCGAGTCCCACAGCACAGTAAGCGAACCTGAATCCTGCCAGACCAAAATAGAATCCAGCGCGCTTATCAAAGTAGACTAAGCCGGCAGTATGTTTATGGCTTGAATCTGACAGGCTGGGGCAATGACCAACGCTAGACTAGTACCTTAGTCCTTGGCAAGTTGGCACAGCCGGCGCTTAATCGATGGACGATCAACGCAACCCCCTCTCCTTTCCACACAGCTGCGCCATTGGGAGAACACTATTTCTCCAGGCAAGTTATATAGACAGTTTCCATCATGGAAGTCTTTATAGCTGCCCATTTTCTGCTATACAGGGACAGCGGGGTTGCTCGAGCGACAGCGATAAGCAATCGCCGCCGCAGCAAACACAACCCCGCGTACTCTCACATAGATAGGCTACCAGGGTGGCCAGTCTCGATCTAAATTCCAGTCTCGATTCGAATTCCAGGCCAGATTCAAGTCTATGCAGCCATGCGCCTCCACACGCGCGGGGACACAAGGTTCCATCCCACACGAAAGGCCCCGAAGCCTCCCAGTACGAAGACGGACGTGGAGTCCCAGAAAAAACAGCTCGAGACCAAGAAAAGAAGCCTGTGCCAAAAGGTCGATACCACCGGCGTCCTGACAATATTCCTCGGTCCGCCAGTGCTCCTACTTGCAGTCACATTTCTGATCCTCTTCTGGTGGGAGTCAATGAAGGCAATCAACGGAGGAGACCCCGAGGTCTATTGGTTTCGCATTGTGAATGCAGACTGGGCGACTCGACTGATTACGATATGCACCACTGCCATTCGGACCGTAGTGTCCTTCCAAGCAGGGCTTGCCACCGCAATGGTTGCGGGCGTTGTTCTGGAGACAAAAGGAATCCCCCTCCTCCAGGGACCACTATACTCCATCCTACGTGCGGTCAAGGCGGCTCCCAGCAGCCTATTCACGGCGACCGACTTTCGCCCTCATCTCCCACCGTTCATCTCTACTCTCGTGGTCGCCGAGGTGCTGGTGACCGCCGCGTCCCAGTTCCTCTCCACTATATACCTGTCGGATTTTACCAGCAGCACGTTCACCCAGAGCAACAATTCGACAAATGTCAGCCTCCTCGATACCGAGTTTAGTACGGCCAGCGGCTGGTGGACGATGCGCCCCGCGGCAAGTTGGACATTCGCCGAGCTGTCCGAACCGTTCAAGGAAGGATCCAATTTCCACGACACCGGGCACACCTACCGGGCCCTCCTCCCCTTTGACGAGGAGGAGCACCGAACAAAACTGCGCAGATACCAGGGCCCTGCTCCCGTCATGGATCAGCGGGTCATCTGCGCACCACCACCTTTGGTGAACATGCGCCTCGACGCGACCGACCAGGACGAGATACACATCTCTGGACAAATCCCCATGCAGAACCTGTCGTACCCACTATCGGTAGGCCAGGACTCCTACGGGCCTGCGAACTTCACCTGCAAACTGCCCACCCCGCTCTCCTGGACCATTAACACGTTTGGACAGAGCAGCATGTGCATCGCCACCCAGCAACGCAACTGGACGGTCTTCTCCACGGAGGATCCTCTCGTCCAGCCACATGGGTACGCTACCGCGTCCGTGATGTGGTTAGTCCTGGATATCGTGTCGATGGCTTCGGTCGTCCGCGCCGGTTCGCAGAATGTCGCCGCGCGGGTCGCAGGCAACGACGGGCCCTGGGCGATCGTGACTCATGGGAACGACACGAAGACGCTGCGGGTCTCCGCCTGCCTGATCAACGTGGCTGTTGAGACCATCGTCGTGGGACTGAACAGCTCCTCGGACAACCCCGAGCCGACGATCAGCTGGGACCGGACCACCAACAGCTACAACACGGAAGCCGCACGACGCCAGCTGGGCGCATCGCGCACCCGCGAGAGCTTGGCCAGCCGGGGGGTGCTCAGCCTCGAGCCCCGGTCCCAATGGGGCGCCGTTCTGCCGCTCAACGACTCATCCACGGGGGACACGGACCTGCCGGCGTTCTTCCTGGCTGTGGACGTCAGTCTCCCGACCCTGCTGATGTCTACCGACAACTACACCTACAGCCCGGGCGTGCTGCTGGCCGACGACGGCACGGGGTTCTACAGCGGGAGCGCCGAGAACACTCACGTCGAGATGTTCCAGGACACGCTCAACACGACCGCGAGCCCCGCGTTAGCCGTGCAGGTCGTGCTGGCCCGGATCTTCCAGATGGCCTACTACGAGCAGCTGGTCAAGATGGCCGGCACCGCCACCGCATCGACTGGCTTCTCCGTCTCCTCCTCCATCCCCTCGCAGTGGACCGGCTTCATCATCGGCACCACGCTCATTGCGACCCACATCGTCATCGTCACCATCATCACCATGCAGTTCGCGCGACATACGAACAGCACGATCATCGGGAACTACTGGCAAACGGTGTCCCAGGTGGTCTCCGACGAAACGCGCCCGATCCTGGAACAAGCGGATACGATGGACGATGCGGAGGTCAAGCGCTGGGCGAAGCGCAACCTCCAGAACCTCAAGGCGTACCGCGCCGTGCGCAGTCAGCATGATGGGCGGACTACCCTAGACATGGTGGGGTCAACACGCGAACATTGACCTGTGTATATATCTGGAAGTGAGCTGCAACTCATAGAACTCGACTTTATGTTACGTATATGACCCTGGATCCCATCACGTCCGTGACTAAACCAACCTGATGCTCAATGTAAACAGTATTAGAAAGCCAAATATACATAAGCCGTCAACATAAACTCTAAGCGATTGACCAGAAGTTAGCACCGAGGATCTTGAAAGCTATCATGTTTGCCGACTAAGATGCACATCAACAAGTTTGAGCTATAGTTTACAAATCTAAAGATCTTATTATCAGAAGTCGTCTGGGTGGCGCAATTGGTTAGCGCGTACGACTGTTAATCGTGAGGTTGAGAGTTCGATCCTCTCCCTGGACGTTCTTTATTTTGCTCTTCTTGGTCGAAGTTTTTTTTTTTTTCTTTTTTTTCCCTTTTTTTTATGGTTTCGTCTTTCCCCGCCTGCTTGGCTTTGGCCATTTGGGCATGAGACAGACCAGACCCACATGGCTATATAACGGGAAGGATTGCCGGGCGGCTAGGCCTCTCCCGCTGGGCGCTTGAACTTGATGTCGGCTGATGTACGTACGTACAATAGAATAGATATACTACGTACGTTAGTCGCAATCTCATGGCCTTGCGAGCTATATAGACCTTCCTCCCCCGCAACGTCCCTCAAGGCAAGCCTCTGAAGGATGCCCGAGAGACCTTTCTATCTCTAACTTCCTGCATTGCCATCGTCCGAGACCTGCATCGGCAGCGATCTATACATCCAAAGAACATACCCCCCTCTCAACCTTCCCAGGCCTCTCATAAACATAGTAGTCTACCACCGAAATGGATAACCTCCTATCCCCCTACGTAGACGTAGGCCCAACCCTCCACCACACCTCCCAAAGCCAATAATGGCAATGGCATTGGTACCGACGGGAGGAAATGGCCGTGCCGCGGCCGCTTCTTCACGCACTACAGCGCCGGCCCGTTTGGGAGTGTCGCGGAGTTGGAAGGGTGGTTCAACCACAAGCTGGACATCTGTAAGCAGGTCCGCAAGGCAGCTCCGAATGTCCCGGCGTTCCGGTTTCGGCAGTTGGAGCTCGTGCATCAGGACATCAGTCCCCGGAATCTGGTGCTGGATGAGGCGGGAAACGTGTGGCTGGTGGATTGGGCGGATGCCGGGGCGTATCCGCCGGCGTTTGAGACGGCGGCGTTGCTGGCGCAGGGGTCGTTTCGGGATTTTCAGGCGTGGTGCATGAAAGGCTACACCGGAATCCTGTGGTGGAGAGACAGTTGGGGGCAAATGAGTATGGGTTGCTGACGGCGGCGTTGGCTTGAGGTGTTTGATCCCTACGGCTTAGGCATATCTACGTAATATCTTTCGATACTAGGTGAGCCTCAATGCCATGCTTTGGACCATGTGGCGCCTATTCTACAACTTCATGATGAACAAGAAAAGTACGTAAGCCGTAGTATTGGTGGGCGGGACTGCAGAGCATCGACCATGCCATACAGCCCACCACAACAAACCGAGATACACCGATTTATACATAAATCCTATTCCTACCCCTGGCCAGACCACGGCCACAAAAGAAACGTACATCGAATGAGAGAGAGGCAGGGAATATGCGAGAATGCCGCAAAGATGGAGAGGAGGACACGGATATCACAAGATGGAAGTCTAGTTGGATTATAACGGGGGGAGAGCAAAATGTTTAGAACAGGTTCCAGCCACGACTTCTCGGTTCCCGAGCGCCCACCGGACGGTCCGTGTTGCCGCGCTTGCCGCGGCCGTCGAGCTGCCGGATGCTCTCGATTTTCTGAAGGGCCAGCTCGAGGAGCTCCTTCCGGCGGATGACGTCGAGGTGGCTGCGGATGCGCGGGTCCTCGCGGGCGAAGCGCTCGACCTCGGCGTCGGAGAGGTGGCGGCCGAGGCGCATGTCGAGCTCGCGCGGGAAGTTGTAGTAGAATTCGGAGAGGAGTTCGACGTTGAGGAAGAGCACGGCGGTCGACGTGAGCTTGTCGGCGACGACGTCTAGGAAGACCTCCGGGCAGTAGTATTTGTTCTTCTGCGAGGCACATTGCTTGGAGCGGACGGCCAGGAGTCGCATCTTGATGATGTCGGCGCGGTCGCGGAGGAAGACACTTTCGCGGCCTGAAACATTCGTTAGTCTGATAGACGCATAATGTAAGGGAAGAAGGGGAGCACTACCTCTGGCTAACAGGTCGGCGCTAAAGCCGCCAGCACCGCCAGCGCCGTCACCCTCCAACACCACCTCGCCCTTTCTAACCTTGTCGACAAACGACATGACATCCTTGAGTTTCCGTCTTCCAACGGAATCTTCCACGTGCTTGAATGCGGACTCGCATGCCTTGAGCTCGTCCTTGAGAACCTTGCTGACGTTCTCCCGACCCTTGGACCATTCAGGGTCCTCGACCTCGATTTCATATTTGTAAGGTTTGATGCAGTTCTCGACCTGATCACTCGTGCTGAAGAACCGGTCATTCAGAATGCTGTTGCAGGCATCTATGATCTGCTTCTGGGCGTACGGGTGGCTCGCGAAAGTCGAGTCGGTCAACAACCGGTCAACATGGTTCTGGATTGCGTTGGCGACGACTGTCGTGGCAAGTCTACCGATCCCCAGCTTGGTCAGGGAAGAGGTGGAAGCATCAAGCTTGCGATGCCAGTAGAGAGATTCGGGATCCGCCTTGGGCAAATCGCTCAGAGGATCCAACTCTGGCATGGGCGCCGTGAGATCTTCGATCGGTTTATTCCAGTATCTCTGCGCCAGAATATCCATCACCCGCTGGTCGAGTTCGCGCTTCAGCATCTCGCGGACCTGGGGGCGACCAAAGCTTTCCGCAAACCCCTTGAAGGAGTGCTTGAAGCTGTCCAGGCTCTCGGCCAGATAGGACTCCGCGCTGAGGGGACGATCGTTGTATTGAACCTTGAACTCGTAAGTGGCCTCCTCCAGCTCTTGGCTGATAGCGTCCCTAGTACCTGCTAGGCTCGATGCCATCGTCTGCTCAAGGACATGCATAAGCTTGTTGCGCAATGTGTTGACCCCGACCGACACGTCCGACTGCGGTCCAAATTCGGATTGGTGCTGAGAGAAGTAGGCGTGCTCGTTCTTCAGAATGGCGCCCGTGATGTTGCCGCTGCCCCTGGAGAAGAGAGCCGTCGTCTGAGGGATCCGGCTGACCACGCCAACATAGCCCAGGCGGAGAGGGTATTTCGTGTCGGATAGAATGCTGTGGCCCCTGTCAGGATCCACCAGGTCCATCTTCGTAATGACACCAATTGTCCGCTCGCCCCTGGGATCCACACGACGGCTGGCTCGAAGAGCAGTGGAGTTGGCGAGATCGACATCCGCCGCCGAGATAGCCAAAATAACGTTCGGTGGTTGAATATATTTATCGCAAAGATCCGAAATCTTCTGTTTCAGCTGTGGTGGTTGATCCCGCCCAGCGACCTGGATATAGCCAGGCAGATCAATGAGCGAAAGATCGGGCACATGGGGCGAGTAGATGGTGAGCTGAATGGGGTCATCCGAAACACAGTCCCTCTCCGGCACCGCCAGATTCAAGTCCGTCAAGGTGCGCTGGATCTGCGAGAAGTCGGTGATCTTGCCGAGTCCCAGCGCGGGGAACTCGCCATACTCCGCCTGCGCGTTCGGGGTGTTGACGAGGGTGAGCTCAATCGGCCGGCGGGTGACCATATTCGATCCCTTGGGAAGGAACTCATGCCCGACAATTGCCTCCAGGACCGAGCTCTTCCCGGACGACTGGGAGCCGATGACGACGATCGAGGGCAGCGTGAGGGTGTTCGACTGGCCGACGCTCTGCAGGATGTTCCGGATCTCGATCATCTTCCGCGTGAGCAGCATCATCTGGTCGTCCTCCGCAATCTGGCGGCCCGCGCGGAGATCCTCCTCGTCCGACTGATCGTACCCCAGCGCTCCGGCGGTGGTCGCTCCAGCAGCAGCCGCGCCGATCCGGCTCTCCTTCGGGCCCTTTCCATCACCGCCACCCCCCGAGCCCCCGTTATCCGACTGCGCGTCCTCGTTCAACCGCAGGATCTTCTGCAACCATTCCGGAAGGTCAACATCCTCCGTCGTCTTCTGCCACCCGCGCTGCGTCTGTTCCGCCATGTTCTGGATCTCCTGGAATAAGCTCGAGGCCGCACCGCCCGCCGTTTCGCCCGCCCGTTTGAAGATATCGATAGCATAGCTTCCCGCCTCTAAAGTAAACCCACCGCACGTCAGACAGCCATCAACAAGTATTCCCGAAAAGAAAGAACTCACGCGCAGCTTGATACTGAATGTAAGCGGCACCCGCCAGCACGGCCCCGCCAAACATGGCCGGCAGCCGCACAAGTTTCAGGGCCAGCTTGGGGAGGATGCGGTGGAAGGAGATGGCCCGCACAGCAGGCACGTTGTGGATGGCGTTGGCACCGACGGGCCAAGGCCGTCGCCGTAAGGCCGCGCTGCCATCGGAGCGCAGGAGGCCGCCGGTGCGGGCAGCAGCGTTGTGAACATGGCGGGCCAGATGCCCCGTCCGCAGGAGCGGAACCAGACGGTGGGAGAGGATCCTCCCGCTCATGATGGCCGAAATATCATATACGCTTCGGGATTTGTCTGACGTGAATTTAGGAAAGGTGGTTCATATCCCTGGGGGGGACGTGGTAGCAACGCGATTGATTGTCGAGATTTATTTCGTAGGATAGTGTCGAAGTGTTAAGCAGGAGAAAGGCGAGAGAGAAACAGCGAGAAGGGGAAGAAAGAGAAGCTCTTCAGGCTGGGAAGGAGAGATCATGTCATCCACGATCGCTTGATTGATTGTCCCGCGGCGGCGGCGGCGAATCCCCTCCGGGCCATTCCTGATCCCGTGACCTGCACTGCACCCGCTGGCCGCTTCGCCCGCCGTATAAAATACGGTGTGAGTCACGTGGGATCTACAGAAGACACTCGACAATAACCAAATAATCGCATCGAAATTCGTCATCTGGACGGTTTGTCGGTCTAGATTCTAAGGGAGTCTAAGCCGCACGAGTCTGAGCTTTTTTTTGGTGTTGCGAATACAAATAAAGGGGCAACACCCAGTGTGCGTGTGCGTGCTTTTGCTGCTGCTCCGTTGTCGGACCATTCAAGCTGTGACTTGACTTGTGACTCTGCACGCTGTCGTCGGGCCCAGACCGACTTTACATACCACTTCCACCTCCCAACGCTGACATCACTTGGGGATTTTGCACGGCAGTAGGGACGCTGGAAGTCTTTACTCTAGTCGAAAGCACTACAAGCTTTTCTACATCGATACAAATACAACATGTGTCGCTTTTTAGTAAGTCGAAGTTGAGAACTGCTGGCCTCCTATTTCTGTCGCAGCATGCTGACCGCTTCCCCATCAGGTATACAAAGGGCGCCATGAGATTCGTCTCAGCAAGCTGGTCACAGAACCCAGTCACTCCATCTTGACCCAGTCGTACGATTCGCGTCTCAGACTGGTACGTCTGCTTGCTTCCTGTTGTTGAATGAAAGAAAGCCCAGTTGCCCAGTTGCCCATATTTGCCCCCCCCTCTCCCCCTCAGTATCACCTTTAACCAAGAACCACTGCAGGACACCCGCCGCCCCGTAAACGGCGACGGCTTCGGGGTAGGTTTCTACACGGACCCGAAACTAGGTCCGGACCCCTGCATCTTCACGTCGACGCTGCCGGCGTGGAACTGCGAGAACCTGGAGCGGCTGGCGTCGAAGACGTGCTCGAACCTGATCTTCGCGCACGTGCGGGCGACGACGGAGGGGACGCTGTCGGACACGAACTGCCACCCGTTCCAGCACCGCACGCTGATGTGGATGCACAACGGCAACGTGGGCGGGTGGCAGTACATCAAGCGGGCGCTGGCCGACTCGCTGGCCGACAAGTGGTACCTGGGGGTGAAGGGCGGCACGGACAGCGAGTGGGCGTTCGCGCTGTTCCTCGATCTGCTCGCGAAGGAAGGCGTCGACCCCAGCGCCGACCCCGGGCCGGAGGGGTTCGGCCCCGCGCTGCTGCGCCGCGTGATGGTCAAGACCATCGCGCAGATCAACACCTTCATCAAAGACATCCCCCGCCGGCATGGCGGCGCCGTCGGCGCGGTCGAGACGCGCAGTCTGCTGAATTTCGCCGTCACCGACGGCCATACCGTCATCTGCACCCGGTATATCAGCAGTAAGACGGACGAGCCGGCCAGTCTGTATTTCTCGTCGGGCACCAAGTGGACCGAGGGCAAGGGGCAGGGCCATTTCAAGATGGAGCGGCATGATAAGGGGGCGGATATTGTGCTGGTCGCCAGTGAGCCGATTACGTTTGAGAGGCGTATGTGTTTTCGACTCCGCAAGAATGGGGATTGAGGGGGGGGTGTGGGCCTAATGCTGATTTTTGCTGTACAGACAACTGGGTCTCCGTGCCCGCCAACTCCATCGTCACCATCCACAAGCAGACCGTCATGCTGCACCCCATTATGGACGAGTTTTACGTCGAGGACTCCAACCAGGATCGCTCCTCCTGCTTCGCCGTCTCCAAGGGCCTGGTGAGCACCGCCCCGGGCACCACTGTGCAACCGCAGAACGACGCCAAGGCGCCCGCCTTCGACATGACGCCGGCGAATCAGTGCGCCGTGTCGCATTGAGGGTGGGGTTTTGGACTTTCCGGGTTGGTTTTTGACGTTTGGTGAAGAGGGTTGGCCGGGGTAGGACGTGTGAGGGCGGGAGTCATTTTTGGGTGTCGGAGTTGGTGAACCGGTAATTCTTTGGGACTTGGTTTTTTTATTTTTCGGGGATCCTAATCCACATAAAATTGTAGACTCATCTTATATATCTGCAAGGATGACACTGTCTTTTAATGAAGTCACAATGAAACAAGACCATTACAATATGAGAAAGTTGCTATGCTAAGACGGGGACCATCAACACGAAAAATATGTACAGTACAGACCCAAAAAAGCGGCTCACGTATGAGCCAAAGACCACCGCAGAATCACAACACAAGAGACAACGTCAGATATCCTCCCCGGAGATGTTCGCATGCTTGAAGTACTTCATCCCCACCCAGGCGACAACCACCCACACCCACGACATGACCGCGGTCAAGATGATCAAAGCCGGATAATACCCGACGATCGGCAGGGTGGGATCATCCTCCAGCTCCGGGGGCGCGTACGGCGTCTCCCCGACATCCCACGCCCAGCTCCAGACCCCGAAGCAGCTGCCCATCCCCACGACGAACACCAGCCACGTCACGATCAGGATGATCCACCCCCACCACTCGGTCTCCGAGTAGTCCCACACCAGCTGCGAGCTGGCAGCCATATCCACCGCGTGCGTGGCCAGCGGCGACTTGGCCCGTTGCAGAGCCCGGTACGTCGGGTCCGTCTGCAGAGTGTAGTAGCTATCGGAGGGCGACGAGGCTGAGGGCAGGCGCAGGCCCGTCGCGCCGCTAGTAGCGGAGGACGAATGTGAAATCGTACCAGCACTGCTGGCGCGCGGGAAGGAGATGATCTCTTCGTCGTCGGTCGTCATCATCTCATCGCCGACTCCAAGGAGGTTGTTTTTCGCCGGGCTGGACTGGCGATGCGTCGCCGCCGCCGCTGACGGCCCGGCTGCCCGGGCGCGTTGCGGTGCATCCATCAGCGTCCATGCAGTATCCGTCTCATCCCCGTGTTGGGAGTCGAGGGTCCTGAGCGGCGTGTTTTCATCGTCGGTGCGCGACACAGAGTCGGCTAGATATCGCATTCGAGGGTTTGTGGAAGCGGAGGAGGGGGAGGCGGGTAAGGGGGTCGGTCCCGGTCGGGGTTCGCTCCCACTGCCGTCCCCTCGCAGGACATCGGCCGGGACCCTTGCGGTCTTCTTGTCTCGGTAGTCAAGTCGAGTGCCCAGGAGGGCCGTCTTGCGTAGCGAGCCCCGTCTCCGACGCGTCCGCCGATGCTGCTGGATCGCGTTGGACATGGCCCGCCCGCCCCGTAAGCCGGAGGTGAGTTCGTCGCCGTCATCGCGCTCGAGGCCCGAATGGCTCCGCTCGGCCGTGTTCTGGGTCGCCTGGATCATTCGCAGGAAGGATAATCGGGACAGTAAGGAGCCGGAGGTGCTGCGCTTGTGGCCGCTGCTTGCGCTTCCCGAGCGCATGCGCCCGGCGAGCCGGTCATTGTCGTCCAGCGAGAGTGCCGCACCGCTGCTATTGCCTGCATCTTCCATTGGCGCAGGCTGGGCGCGACTAACCAATCTTTAGCATGCCCACATCCAGTGTCCCGGTAGGAAAGTTGGCGAGGATGTTCATCAGCTGTGGTGCAAGCGTTGGTAGGAAAGGCAGGGGGAGAAAGAGGAAGTGGAAAGGGAAGACGTGGAGGAGAGAATAATGAGGGAGAGGGAGAGGAAGAGGAAGAGGAAGAGGAAGAGGAAGAGGGGGCCGCAAGGCATCGATCGATCGGCCAAGAAGAAAAGGGTCCAGGCGGTGGGCGGATGGATTACTTTCAAGTTAGGTACGGTACGGTACCTGAGCAGCTGCCCTGCCGCCCCAGTCGGTTTCCTTCCACCCCCGCAGCCCGCTTGGTTGGTTCTATTTTAGCATCAACATCTTGCAATTTACAATTTACATCTTCATATTTACCCACAACAACTAATGCTTTAGCGACCGACGGAAGCATCCAAAGCCTATATAAGCACAGCTAGAGGCTAACCTATTATTTAGATACCCATAATGAATTCTAAAAACACCATACCATACAGACACCTACAATCACATAAACTACGGTCAAACCCAACCATTACTCCAAGAAAGATCAGGCAATAGAAACAAATCCCAGCAACATCAGCATGGGCTCCAGACTGGAAAATCATGTGGGCACGGTTTCAGAATACCAAGAGCCCGAAGTTGGAATTTGGACTGGAAAGAAAGTCACCTGAACAGATAATGGTATCACAAACTGGCAGGACTGTGCCAACCAACCCGGCCAGACGAGTACAAATCGACAAACAGAAAAGAAACCCGGTATCGATCGAATCAACAGCGATGCTCAAATGGCGACTCTCAGAATCGCAGGGAAAGCCCTAGCTTCCCGTGGACAAATAACAGAAGAAAGCAGAAAGCCATGATTCCCACAGCCCGAAAGCAGAGGATATCCGTCCTCACCAGGCTGTGCTTATACATACTAATCGTACGACACCAGCGAGCTATTTATTAAATCGTAGACCAAAGAGAAAGTATCAGGAATAGAATGAGAATGGTCAGTACTTTTAGTTTAGTCCGCAGAACGCTTAAGTGAGAAGCCCAAGAAGCTTAGCCTTTGATCAAAGTTGCGCGCATTCGTTCAAAGAAGACAGCATATGGAAACTTGAGTCAACAAAGCGGAGTTGGGGTATTGGGTGTACGATAACACACAAATTTCATTTCAAAAAGAAGAATGGAGAATGGGAGATGCGCTTTAAAAATCCACCTTGTAAGGGGCAGTCATAAAGAAAAGAAAGAAGACAAGAGAAGAGAAGAGAGAAAAAGAAAAGCAGTGTTGAATGATGGAAAGACAGAAACAGGTGAAATGTAAAGTATTAGAAGAAAGGAGGAAGGAGAGGAAAGGGTTGATGCTTAACGCTTTTGCCGGTACAGACCGCCGACTACCAGTGCGTGTGGGGCAGGCGACAGCATATATCGAGAAGAGGCTACGCTTGATAGCCACCGAAGCCATTGCCAAAATTGGCGTTGTTTGGCTGGTTCCACCCAGAGGCTGGGGCACCTTGGCCGCGGCCGTATCCTGCGTTACCAGGAACTTGGCCATAGCCTTGACCACCCATTCCGGATTGGTCCCATCCTCTACCGGCTGGGTTGGGGCCTGGAGCCAGAGAGTTAGCGGGAAACCCCACACTAGGGCGCAAACGAGCTACCTTGAGGGGTCATGGGTCCCCCAGGACCGCCGTACTGAGGAAAGTACGGAGTGGGACTAGAGTTGAAGGGTGAGCTGGCCTGCTGGCCAGAGAAGTTGTCGAACTGGCCAGTAGGAGGACGATCCTTGCCCCACTATGTGGTCAATTAGCAACGGGACTAAGACACAGGAAGTGAGGAAGACATACGCTGCACTTCAGAGGGCGTCCGTTGACGTTGTAACCATTGAGTTGACAGATAGCCATGGCAGCATTTTCATGCGAGTCCATCTTGATGAAAGCAAATCCACGGTCCGCCTGCAGACGAGTCTCGAGCACGTAGCCGAAGTTCTGGAAGAGTGGCACCAGGTCATTCTGCGTGGTGTAAGGGGTCAAGTTGCCCACGTAGCACGTGGTCTGCCACTGCGCGGTCTGTGAGACGACCATGTCGTAGCTCTGAATGCCGTGGGTAGGAAAGTTGTGGTGGCCATATTGCGTAGCAGGCGTCATGCCCATTGCGGCCATGGCCTGCTGCTGAGAGATCGAAGGTTGGCCCTTCTGGTTGGCCCAGTTGCAACGGATCGCACGAGAGCCCAGCCATTCTCCATCCATGGAGTTCAAAGCCTTCTCGGCATCGGAGCGGTCACGGAATGCAACGAAACCATAGCCTCGGGAGCGACCAGTCTTCATATCCCACATGACGCGAGCCTCCGATACGGAGCCGAAGGCAGAGAAGGCCTGCATCAGCACCTCGTCGTTGACTTCATTGCTCAGATCACCAACGAAGATGTGGAAATGGCCCGACGTGTCCTCCTTGTTCGTATTGTTGGATTGGTAGGCCCAGTTGACACGAATCTCCTGTAAAGAGAGACAAAATTGATTCAGTACCTGTCGAACCAACACCAAAAAAGCCTAGGTGTACATACCGACTGATGGATACGGCGCCCGTTGAGTGTCTGCATAGCTCTCTCAGCAGCACCGGGGTCATCAAACTCGACAAAGCCGTAGTTGTAGCCCTTGCTGTTGAACTTCTGTGACTGTCAGTAGGGAGGATGAGCGTGCTTCAATAAATAGTGGGGCATCAAGAATGCCAGAGGTCAGTGACGGCGTGAGGGGGAAAAAAACCTACGTTCTTGTCGGGGATGATCTTGACGCTAACAACATGACCGGTAGTCTCAAAGATTTGTTTCAAGATATCCTCAGTCACTCGAGGATCAAGGCCACCGACATAAAGGGCCCTCTTGTTTGGCTCAGGGGCTGCCCGACGCACAAAGCCACCAGCGCTGGTCGGAGACATCATATTGCCAGACATCGGCGATGTGATAGCGGTCGGGATCGGATTGGTGTTTTGAGGGATCACCACGGGCGGGCGGGGAGGTGGTGGCATGTGGGAAGGATTGGCTTGGCCGTTGCCCTGAGACGCATCGTACTGCTGGTTGGAGGCAACAGTGGAAGATTGGGGAGGAGGAGGGAGAGTGGTAGCGGTCGCAGCGGAGACGTTGTCGGCCATTGTTGACGGGGGGGGAGGGGGAGAGTCACGAGATGGGACGAGAGAGGATCACGGAACAAACAAATGCAGAGCTGCAAGGCGGAACAGTCGATCAAAGGCGTTTGACGAAACCACGGAGAACGGATATGCAATTTCTCGGTGACGGGACGATGCAGGGCGTTACGCAGTCAAAATTAAAGTAGGCGAAGGCGGCAGCAGACGCGGGGGGTGGATTTCGACGTTGGTTGTGGTGGATGTTGATCGAAAAGGTCCAGGACACAGTGGTGGTAAACGAGGACGGACAGGCGCTAAACTAGATCATCCAAAGACAAGCAGAAAGTACGAGCAACTGATGTTGAATCGGACGATTGCCGTGCTAGTGAAACGAAGATGAGAGGTGTCGTGATGGACTAGACGATGCTGAAAAGCAAATAAGTGAGACCGGAGACGGTTTTCTCAACCACGACCCCAATCAGTCAGTGAGTCGGTCAAAAGTGGTGGAAATAGCTTTAAGCTCCCGAATGACAGCTGACGGGGGGATGAGGAATGGAGAGTAGGAGGGAAAAGCTGACAGCTAGATGAAGGCAGAAATAAAATAGAAAAAAAAAAGGAAAGGAAAAGAAACACTGAGACAAAAGGGAAGAGAGGCAGCAATGACAGATGGAACAGAGAGGAAAGTGGATGAAGAGGAAGAAGGAAAATTAGAGGAAGAGAGGAAGAAGAGAGACAGTCGACCAGACCGACCGACAGGGGAAAAGCAGAGGGAAAGCTGCGATGATCTGAGCTGACGGGAAGTTTGGGATGGATGGAGAACAAAACGAGGAGAGTGTTTGGAATGAATGGATGGATGGGATGGGGTACGTACTGTAAGTGGTACTGTATGTACATACAGTCAATCAACACTGGTTCGGTGGTGGTCTGTCCTGGGAGTCGACCACGGTACGTACAGTACAGTCAGTCAGTCAGTCAGTTAGTCAGTCAGTAAGTTAACTGTACCTCAAGGTAACCTTGAAGTCAACTGGTCTGGTCTGGCTGTAAGGTGTAAGGTGTAAGGTAGAGCCGCTCCGAGCTGGGGTGAGGGGCGCGCTAAGCCTCACCGCGTTAGTCCCCTTGTGACGGGGCCCTCGCCTTTTTTTTGTTCTCTTACAAGTTACCGCAGGCCGGCTAGCTAACTCTTAGGCGCTTAACTCACCCATCATCATTCTTAGCTTCTTCCTCCACTCTTCCCTCCTACTCTTCCCTCCTCCGCTTTACAAGCCCTCCCCCCCCCCCTTCCCAGACTTGCGCCTCCTTACAAAAGTGCTATCACCTTTCCTAGTTCTCTTCCTATCTTACCTGAAGATACCATACCATCTGTCACCTGCAGTGACGCCTCTGGAGTTCTCTTGGTTTCTATTCTTAGTCTCCTCCCTTGATTCCTCTCTCTCTCTCCCCTCCTCTTCCCTGTCACTTCCACGCGGACCTCGGTCCAAGTCATTCAATTGGCTCTCGGGCCCGCCGTACAGGGAGTATAATCCCTCACGGCGTCGCTAAAAGTCCCCGGCTGAATCACATCTCGTAGTGGTTTCAGATCGTGTTCTATCGTGGCCCATCACACATCCCAACTGACCCCGACACATCAACAAATCAGCGCGGTCGATTGCCAACAACTTTCTTACTAGCACGATCAGGTCGCAAACAGCAGCGTAATCATGGCCGCGACCAATTTTTCAAATTCCAAATCCTTGGATGTGTTAACATCCACAGTGAACCAGACGGTAGTACATCCGAGCCCAGCTGTTTCTCGTTCAAGTAACCTCTGACAACTCATAGCTCATCGACACGGCCCGGTTCTTCAACTCGCACGAGAAGATGCACTACAGGGCGCAGCTCAAACGCTCAATCCCCGTCGCTCACGAGCAGTTTCAGACCGCTTTGGACAGCCTATCGGAGCAGATAGTAAGAACCATTGCCATCTTGTTCGGTGCCTGAATTTCAACTGACTCCGAGCAGTTTATTGCCAAGGCGTTCCTGGAGCGAGACTATGAGGCAATCAAAGCGCAAAAAGTTGCACTCCATTCTGCCCAGGACTCCGTGATGGAGGATGCGGTCGTGAAGCCAGAGCCAGAAACGGCTCCCCAGCCTCAGGTAACCCCAGTCGTAGCCACGAATGCGGACACAATTAAAGCCGAGCCCGCAGAAGTCGAGCCTGCCTTGAAGCCGCAGATTGAGCAGGATGTCGTAAAACAAGGCTCGGCTGATCAACCGGTCAAGGAAGACCAAATCGACAATGGAGCTACCGCCCCTGCCGTCTCCGGACAACCTTTCACCGGCCCGGACGAACTCAACTTCGACTCAATGCTCAACAACAATCCCGGGCCCAACGATTTCGACCTGAATCTTGACTTTGGCGATGACGCAGTTGGCAATGATGATTTTCTCGCCGGCTCCCACCTGGTCCCTGCCGGTTCGGGCAATGAAGGCAACGATACGTCTACCAACACCGCAGCTGGCTTGGTGGGCACTGATAGCTTGAACACTGCTGTGCCTACGGGCGGAGATGCGTTTGACTTGGAATTGCAGAAAGCTGAGGCGTTCTCTACCCAGGTTGGCAGTCTGACGGGACAACAGTTGGACGGCCAAGGCGGGGGAACCCTCGAAGATGTTATGGGACCGGGAGAGTCCAGCTTCGATGATTTATTCATGGAGAATGATACCTTCGGAGGAGACGGTACCGGAGACCCGAATTTACTGGAGGGTGACGGATTAGTGGATATCAACGAACTTGACGATAGCTGGTTTACATGATCACCTCCTGGGCAGTGGCCGCGGATGCGATTCATGGGTGACGACACCGTGCGTTGGGATCACGAAATACAGACAATTCTATATAGGAGCTTTCCCTACAAATTCGGGTAATAAGCTAAGCCGAACGGAGCCTGTTCTCCAGTCGCAAACCCTTACTCATTACCCCGGCTGGAACCCCTCCGAAGTGTCAGGTCCATTGCTGTCTCCTACCGAACAGCCAATCGGTAAGGCAGAGTGATCCACCCTGTAAGGGGGCCCGGTAACCTACCTGACGGTCCTCACTACTGACTCCGCGATGACGCAAGGTACGTCAGAGGTGGGCGCAAAAGCTAATCTCCGTTCCAAATTGACAGCCCGAAGCTCCACGCCCCGGGTGGTTTGGCTTTGCTGCGTCTGCGGTGGTCTTGGTATGCAGCTAAGCAATGCTTGGTTCCTAAATAGACTACGGGGGAATGCCACGAACTGGTTCTCCGTTCGGCAATCACTTCAATGGTGCGGGCGTTCCCTAAAGCAGAAACTCTGACCAGTGATATCGAAAATCTTTGCTAGCTGTAGTCTCCTCAAGAATGTATCAAGTGCCGTACCTGGCTATCCACACACCCACAGGGACATTTGCAGTCAGAATATCAGCCACCTCATGGTTACAGGGTGATGATGATGGTGATAGCGGCGATGATGTCATGACTAATCGGCCTATAGGGATTGTCGTTGCAATGGACAACACATCTTGAACCACGCGACGGCTGATAAGAATTCCGCCTTGTCATGTTGATGTTTTTTATGGGAGTAGGTGGAATGGAGCGGCCGGGTCGATGGCGATAGCATCTTGTCGACTCATACGTGCATGTCAAGCCACAGACGACAGACTTCTTGCCGTCATCTCCACCGGGATTGACATGTGTGAACTTGCGGGGATAAATTTCTTGCCGTTTGGAGAGCCGACCATCCGATCAAAGATGTAGGGGTAGTAGATTTCTTGAGTATACACAATTGACCGGTAATCACGGCTCGGTAGGGTTCGGCTTTGACAGAGGGAGGGCAGGGGATGGGGGTGGTGGTGGTGGTGGTGGTGGCGACGGAACTGTTGTTCAGCTATTGCGAAGCCGGAGAGCGGAAGTATTGCCGGGGATCAGACCATGGATCTTCAAATAGACTTCTTCATCGTCTCCTCGGTCGGAAGCGATCTTCGGTAATGGCCAAAGACAGCCCGACGGAATGGAATCTTTCGATCCATGTGCCTCATTCCACTTGTACGAACACCCATTGCATTACACTGGAGGGGATGAGGAGCGATAGAGCGAGGTGAGGGGGAGGGGGGCCAGGGCAGATGGAAAGGCAAGAAGTGCACGTACTGAACTGAGGGATCTTCTCATCTTCTCCCCACTTCCGCCCGACCCGATGATATCACCACACCGCCCTGCTCCTGCCAGCCAAGGATCCCCCGCATTGACAATCAGACACACACATTGCCTTCTTCATTCTTCGCTCTCAAGCCCTTTCAGGCAGTCAGGCAGCACCTTTTTCCAACGATCCTCAGCCGCTCCTCAAATCACAAAGTACTCGTGTATCCGGGCATGTGGATCTACCTGTCCACCACGAAGCGGCACAACAGGGATTGGCTTTTCTGCCTTCTGCTGATGAAGTCAAAGAGCGAGCATTAAGTGGTCATCTTATGATGACCGTGCTGGCCGGGTGGAAGGCTGTGCCGGACTACCCGTCGAGACTACTGGGCTAGAACTAGGCTTCCAGGTAAGCTGGGCATCAGATTGACTCCAGTAGTCGCGTTAGTCAGTCACTTCCTTAGTAGTTAAGTTATGAGTAACTTGACTAGTGATTAGTGTCAGTGTCAGTGTCTCTACCTAGTAGACACTGAACCAGATGAACGTCAGACGTCACTGCCCCTTCATGCATGTGGTTCGAGACCTCACCCACTAGTAGGTGTAGTAGTCGCATGCGTGATGAAACCCCCCGAAACTCGGCTCTTCCCCTCTCTTGCCATTCACATGAAGCATCAGTCAGTCAGTCAGTCAGTCATCTTACCACATAACCCGACGGAGCGTATTTCTTGTCCAAAAAGTAGAGTGTAAGATACGAGGTCGATCCGGGGGAACGAGGAGGTACAGTGCACCACAGTACTACAGCCTCCCGCATCAGCTGATTGATACATGATACCGATGCTCTGGCCGTGGAGATGGCGGCAGTGCATGAAGAATAGTGAATTCATGGTTCAAGTTGATGTATCCGTTGGAGACCTACTAAACGAGACGTAAAGAGAGGGAAAAAAAAAGCCTCCCAACCAGTTCAGGCAAGTCTCAGGTCTAGTAATGCGGATCACCGGATAGGACTTGAGCCTACCAGTTTTTTTCTCCTCCGCGTCATCGTTCTTCTGGACGGATGGTCTGTCTCTTGTCTACTTGGTCAAATTTATTTAATAAGGATCTTGTGCCCAAGGAACGCTACCCGCACCGCCTCATTCTGGACTTGTCGTATTTTGTCATTGATCCTTGTGCTGACTGAACGGCGACGACAAGACGAGGCGATATTATACCATTGCACTATTGCACTATTGCACTATTGCACTATTTCTGATCACTGCCCTCTCGATCCCCGTCGCACCCCCGCATTATTATCATTCTCGGCGCTTCTGGCCTTGTCCTGCCTGTCTTCACTTGCTGAAAGCGGTTGACACCCTTTCTTCATTCTTCTTGGAGGCTCCTTTTATTTTCGCACCCTCTCCACGTTCCACCTCCCCAAGATTTCGTCTCCGTGCCCATCGAATCTCCGACTACCTTACTATTGATTGCGGCTGCGGTGTGCGTGTACCAACCACGATTTGCAAAGAGACACATCGACACATCGACACATCGCTCCTTGCCGGCGTGTCGATCATCACCCGAACCTAGAAAAGATCCCAAACGACCACTCCCCCGAAAGGAGACAACGCCCCAAACGAACTGATTATTATTAGTTTTTTTTTGGACGAGTGCGAGGCAGAAAAAAAAAAGCCAAAAAAAAAGACCCCAATATCCACTGGTCGCACGACTACGTGCATTGGCTCTGTGCGTCAAACACTGGCTCTGCGACTAATTCTAATTCTCCCTATCCTATAATCCTCACTGCTGTTGCTGGGATTTGACTAGTATATTACCTTTTTCTCCCTCTCTTTTTAAAGAGTAAGTCCCTTTTCTTTTTCCAGAGTCAAAACGTGCTTACTTCTTTCTTTTTTGCTTTGCCCTTGTGCCTCCTGCTACATTCCTCCTCCTCCTCCTCTTCTTCCAATTCACACTTCACTGTGCATCCCGTCCTCCTTGTTCCTCCTCTCCCTCCCTCACTCTCTCTCCATACTTCGGTCTTCCGCCACTACCCTCCTCTACACATATTGAAAGCCACGATTCGATCGTCCCAAGATCTTGGCCTACCCATCACTCATCATCTCAAACCTGCTTGCGCCTTACACAGTCACAAAGAATGCAGCCTGTTGATTGGCATTGTACTTGCGCACAACAATGACGGCTCACGTTTCTCCTCTCCTACAGGTTCTTCTGGGGTCGGTTACTAGTCCCGGTGGTACAGATACTCAATTCCCCGACGGAGTGTCCGAGTCAACTCCGTTTCACGTGAGATCCAATCGGCGGCCTTCACTCGAGACATCGACACTTGCTAGCGATACTAGTTCCACTGTCGGGCAACCACCGGCCAGACGAGGCTTCCGTCGTCGCGCCTCGATCCTCAAGAAATTGGCGGGTCCGCGGGAAAACGCAAAGCGTCTGTTCCGCTTAGGGTCCCTGATCCACTCTGCGCCCTCCATTACGCCACCATCCGCTTCCTCCCCTTCTCTACCTCCTCCTCCTTCTCCTCCCCCTCCAATGACTCAAACACATTCCCATCGCCCCGTGTCTGAGCTCGTTTTGAATCCCAACGATGCCACAATGCTCACCGCTTCGGGACTAAGAGTTGGCCGATTGCGCTCGCATTCTTCCTCCACGGTCTCGTCCACCCAACCCTATCCGGCTTCCGCTCATTCCATCCCGTCCGCCGATCCGGCCGTGCCGTTCCCTCCTCTGCGTAACGAGAAAATAGTCGCGACAGGAAGTGGGATCTCCGTGGGCATTGCACTCACTGAGCCAGTGCTATATCTGCAAGGATATGATCAGAATGACCCCAGTACTAAGAAGTCGGCCATTCTTCGCGGGCAGTTGCATCTGAAAATCACCAAAAGCGTCAAGGTGAAGAAGATCTCGATCTGCTTCCGTGGACATGCGCAGACCGATTGGCCAGACGGTAACTCTTTCCCTCCTTCGTTTCGCATTCCTACGCGGATCAACTGACAACTTGTTGCGTTGGCAGGTATCCCGCCCAAGAAAGTTCACTTTCACGATAAAAAGGACCTCGTCACACATGGAGTAATGTACTTCAACCATGGCGATACGGCACTGATGCAGAATGATTACGGTGCGCATTTCTATCAGCACGCTAAGCCGGTAACTTCTGTGACGGGCAAGGAGGGTCCGACACTCATCACTCGGGAGCTGCTCTCCAAGACCGGATCCTCAACCTCGTTAAGCCACACCGGCCAGTTTTCTGCCAAGGACCTCAAGCGACTATCCTTGAATTCCAACCACTCTCGAAGTTTTGGTAAGAATGATCCGCCACCTCCGCCGGTCCATCCGCCCCGCAACTACCGCCTGTTCCCTGTCGGCGATTACCTCTACAGTTTCGAATTCCCGATCGATGGTTCTCTCCCAGAGACAATCAAGACCGACCTGGGATTCGTCCAGTATGACCTTGAGGCGATAGTCGAAAGAGCCGGTGCCTTCCGGCCCAATTTGCTCGGCAGCCTAGAGGTTCCGGTGATCCGCACCCCGGCGGAGGGCTCGCTAGAGCAGGTCGAACCGATCGCAATTTCGCGGAACTGGGAAGATCAGCTGCACTATGACATTGTGATCTCCGGGAAATCCTTCCCTCTTGGATCGCAAGTCCCTATCGCTTTCAAGCTGACTCCCCTGGCCAAGGTCGAGTGCCATCGGATCAAGGTCTATGTGACGGAGAATATTCAACACTGGACCGCAGACAAAAGCGTGCATCGTTTTCAACCGGCGAAGAAAGTTCTACTGTTTGAGAAACGAGCCGACTCGGCCAGCACAAGTACCTATCCGGGAAGCTCGATGCGAGTCACAGCAGGGGGTGGCATTGACTGGGACCAGCGCGCAGCAGCTGCTCGGGGTCAGGAGGTGGTGGATCGAAACCGGACCAACCTTCTTGGCAATCTGTCTAGCGACTCAGGAGTTGGTCCGACCGAGATGGAATTCAATGTCCAGTTGCCGAGCTGTCAAGAAATGCGCAACCGGGACGAGTCTCAACGACTACACTTCGATACCACATACGAGAACATTCAAATAAATCACTGGATCAAGGTAAGATATTTCCATGCCGTTGGCAATACTCGCAATCTAATTTACATCTCAGATTGTTTTACGCCTCTCCAAGGTCGATGAGAGAGACCCCGGCAAGCGGAGACACTTCGAAATCTCCATCGATTCTCCGTTCCACCTGCTATCGTGCAAGGCCACGCAGGCCAACATCTACCTTCCGGCATACACCTCGCCGGAGTCGGAGCCAACCCCACAGGCACAGGAGTTCGAGTGCGGTTGTCCTGGCGCACCCCTGATCAACCGGGCGGGTTCCAGCCGACAATCGCTTTCCTCCTCCGACCGAGATGAGCGACCCAATGGAGGCGCCGTTACGAGAAGCTTCACCAACAGCTCCGGAGGCTTAACTCGGCCACCACAGGCGCATCTGGCCGATGAACCGGTCGACCGCCCACCGCGCCCCATGCATCTCCTCCGCGCGCCGTCCTTTGCACCTCCTGCCTTCGAGGAGCTCGAGCCACCGCCGCCTCTCGTCACTCCTCCCCCGGAGTACAATACCATCGTTGGAGACAATGATCGAGAGGCCGTGTTGCAGGATTACTTCTCGCGCTTGTCATTCTATGAGGAGCACGCCGATGACGATCGCGGCCTTGGGCGTGTCGATGTACCTCTGACTCCTGGAGGCCGTGTGAACCGCAGCATGGACGTTCCACGCGAATGGGTGCGCCTGGAATAGAGTGTTACCTCCCAGCCCCTGACAGGCTGGGTCTTTATGTCCCGATGACATTGGAATAGACCTCACGACGTTTATGCTTTTTTTTTTTGTCCATCTTATCGAGCTTACAGGAAAGGATTGGAGTTGACGAATCACTGAAAGATACCCTCTGCACATATGGAGGCCTGTAAGGTGACTTCCACGATGAACATGTGTCAAGCTTACCTTTTTGAGTTTCTGGGAAGGGGCGCAGATGGACTGGATATATGGTCGGCGCCTGTACTACCTGATTGCATTACCTCGAGCGATCATTCCATTTTTTCTCTGCTTCAATTTCTTGACCATATCAACACTTTTATCGGCATGATTACATTTGTTTTTAGATACCACCCTTCAGAAGTTCGGTCTGAAAGAATACAAGATGCGATGGCTTAATTGTCGTCGCAACGCACCACACATGTCTCCATGGCTTCACACATAGTAAAAACTCGGACCCACCGACCAACCGATGGGGATCCCTTACATACATAGTAGGACTACTGGTAGTGCTATTAAGGGCTTGCAGATGCGTAGGAGAATTAGCTTCGATATAGGCAGCAAGGCAGCAAGGCAGCAGACGTGACAGGTGATAAGGTGCACGTAGACGCAGAAGGTGCGGGTGGAGGAGGGACTTTTGACATTTCATCATGGATTAACCTCAAGTCGCATGGAGCTGCCTTTTTTGGGTCGATCTGTGGCGCTTTCCGCCGCCAACTGTTCTGGCCTATTTTTTTTATCGGCCTCTGCCGTCATTCTGCCTTTCCCGTACAGTACCTCGATCTATCTCTCTATCTTCCTATCTTCTCCCTCTTCATTCAGTTCATATTCAATTGATCTTTCCTTTCCCCATCTTGCAAAGATTCAGAGATTATTCAAATAACTTCCCATCTCAAAGGTGCACCACAAATCTGTCGAGTCCAAGTCACCAGACATCGGACAAGCGCACATTGTTACACCGAGCCAGGTAGTAGTTCGTTGGTTTGTATGCAGACTTTCTACTGCGCTGCAGGTGCTGAGTCAAATCTATCCGTTCTCTCGCTCATTCATTGAACGAACTATCATCACCTCGCCTCGCCTCGCCTCTGCCCACCCCCCCCCCCCAACATAAGCTTACCTGTTACCTGAACTCTACGCTGCTGCAGCTTTGGAAGCACCCAACGCCAACATGGCTATTGAAGTTGTCCCCCTCACAGAGGCCGACATCCCTGACGCTATCGAGATCATCCAATCGGCCTTCGCAGAGGACCCATATTTCAAGTGGGTGTTCGATGCTGCCAATGTAAGTTTCCATCTCCTACCTTCTTGACTTTGATGCGCAAGGGTTCTTCAAACGCCCCCACAGAATATAATCTTTGGGAATGATAACCAATACAAAGAGCAACCAAAGCTAATCGGTCTCCTCCTGACGCGGGTCGCGTGGGGGTTCTCCCCGACCAACGTTGCTCGTCATGTGAGGTCACCCCAATGCACAATAGTTCAATAAAGAGCGAAACCATGACTCCCTCGCTGTCCGATGCCGTTGGGGCATCAACAACGCCATCTTTCAAGTCGCCAAGGAGACACCGGATGACGACACGGGCGATGCGACCGGCGACCGAACGGCCACCTCGCGTGTCGTGGGTGTCTCTTGCTGGCTCCCGCCCCATTCACCCTCGGAGCCCGAGAGCTGGTATACCTGGTCGCAAGGGTGGTTGCTCACTGCTCGCCAGGCCTTAACCAACCTGCGCCATTGGGGCCGCGGTGGGCTGCGCACGAATCGCTATTGGATCTGGAAGGCCCGTCAGCATGAGGCCCAGAGCCAGATCTGGGACGACCCCAAGGGGTATTATTTCTGTAATATCGTGGCGGTTCGGCCGGGTACGCAGGGGAAAGGTATTGGTAGAAAGCTCTTCGAGGCCGTGACGGATAAGGCGGACCAGGAGGGGGTCAAATGCTACCTGGAGAGCTCGCGGAATGAGCCCAACGTTCAGATTTACGAGAAGATGGGATTCGAGATGAAAAAGGAGATGGAGTGTAGGGATGGGGAGGATGTGTGCATGGTGAGTGGACATTCAATTGTCCCATTATTGGGGCGGAATCGGTGGTGGTGGTGGTGATGGTGGTGGTGGTGGTGTGTGTGTTTAACTATGCCTGCTGATCTCATGTCTAGCTCTATTGTATGGTGCGCAAGCCGAGGTCGAAGTATTGAAGAAAAGCGACAACGGAAAGGAGGCGGAGTCGAATTGCACCCACACCCACAGCGTTTGCTTATCTTACACGATTACACGCGATGGCGCAGCACAAATCGTATTATGTACAGTACTAAACGCAACTAGATTACTATGGATGGAACCACTGTCTAATAATCAACGAACGCATGTTCTTGTTCAACTGAGACATGAACGTGGCTTTGCGACCGCAAAAGTTGTTGGTCTGACTCAAGAAACTTAGTCTAGTGTCAGGCTTCCGGCATAGACTGCATGAACCGGGATCGTCTCGACTCCGTCTTTTCATTCCATGTGAATTCGTTTCGATGGGGCAACCCCTTCTTGGGTTTTTTAGTGAAAACGGCGAACCGTTTGGTCGGAGAGCCACTGACGAAACCGAAACCCGGGGTAGTTACAGTATGTTTACCCGCTTGAAACTTGGTTGCCACTGCAGGCGGTGCGACTCTCTGCACAACACCATGTGCAATGGCTGACCACCACGTGATATATACTAACATCACATATCATATGTCATATACTGACAGATTACTCTGGCAGAACTTGCTAGACATCCAAAGTATCTTCTTCAGCCATCGGATCTGCAGGGTTACTGCGTATGGCCGCCATTGCCGGTGGTCCGAGCCTCCGGATTAGTATACTTTAGTATACGAGTCAGACACAATCCGTCGTTTCACCAGCTCCCAGTAGTACATCTTCTGACTATCTTTGGACCAAATGCCTGGCCTAGACCACGTCAGGGGCCGAGAAAAGGCTTTTTCGTCGGCCGACCGTCTCATCTTGATTACATGCACAAAGGTTAAAAGTGATACGTAAATTCTGCAACATGATACCACGCAACTCAACTTCCCAGTTTCAAGCCAAACCTTCCCCCTCTTTTGCTGCGAGCTGTCGACCTTCGCTAACCCAGACAGAAGCACTGTGATATATCCTGCCTACGTTCGCTGGGTGGAAATCCTGTGATATATCAAGCTGGATCGAGCGTCCAAGCCATTGACGCTTCTCTCCAGCTCTCGTTCTTCGTGCCCTGCGCAGCTGGTCTGTTGGCTTTTTCTTCCCTTCTTCATCCTGAAGATATCCACTCTTTGAGCGATTCATGAACCAACACTGAGCCCTGGTGGTTAACGACACTTACGAATGCCTTTTGCCTCGATCTCGCGACGAACGCGTCTGTCACACACTCTTTTCCAGCCATTTATGCGCAGCATCCAGAAACGAAGCCATGCTCTCTCGCTGTCAGGACGGGTCGGACTGGCCCTGGGTCTCTTGGGTAAGCCGCATTGATCGACTGAAGGAATTGTTCCGAACCTTAAGCACTGACTACCGCTATGGGGCACAGCGGCCCTTATGCTAGGAGTTCTTCTCGCAACGTGGGTTGTGTTGCGAGTCAAGCGCGGGCCGGGCGTCACCCTCCGGACCCTGTTCAACCGCCAACCGATTCCTGCCCGGAGACCCGAAAGCGACCCATCTGACCCAGAGGCCGCAAAGTCCTTAGACGACCTTGGCTGTAAAGAGGGCTCCCCACAAAACCACTCCCCTCGTCGCATATCCAATGTCTCTCCCCGCCGACTCTCGCAGCGCATGTCTCAGCACGAATACATGAGCCTTCACGAGAAGACAAGTGACTCCCCAATCACCATCCGCACCGCACCGGCAGCAGACCACCATCAATCCTCCACCAAGCCGGGGAGCCCAATGATCCCGCTGCGCCCGATAGCACGGTTGGGTCCGGTCCGCACCATGTCCGAGGCGGACATCCGGCGCGAGCCCCCGCCGTCGCCTCTTCGGCATGCCGCTGCCGCCGCTGTTGCCGGGCTGCGCACGAGCACTCGATCCGCGGGCACGGGCACGGGTACTGCGGCCCAGGCGATCCACCCGCCGTCGTGGAATATGCCCTGGAAGGACGAGGAGTTCTATGTCCCTGATAGCCCGGAGGACCATATCATTGTTCTGCCCTCGCCACGTGATCTGAAGTCGTTCCGGTTGACACTGCATGCTTGACGGGTTGGTCTTGCTCTGGGTTTGGGATTGGGGAGATTGAAAATCGAAAAGGTAATGTATAGTGTGTGAGGTCCGTGATCGGGGATGGCTATGCTTTGTATGAAGTGGTAATGTCTATGATGGTGTACTTATTAGGGACATGTAATGATTATGACTGACTATATTTATTGGGTGCATTGGGTTGCTGTTGATTGTCACTGTCGCGTGAGTTATATTTCTATAGCATCGTCGTATTTAGCTAGTTAGGTCCAACTAGTCTGGTGTCCTTTCTAGCAAGGTGTCAATTGGCTTATGTTGCTCTTTATAAGTACACGACGATCATGAGCGGTTGCAGATCATGGCTCGTCCCTGCTGAATGCTTTTTGTGTTTGATTGAGCCATAAGTTGGATCTGCAACCTACAGCGACGATCTACACAAACTTACTTCATCGCGAAAGTACAGTACATTGGAGTCGGCTGCAGAGTCTTACGTACTTGGGAACCCACCTCAGAAGAAGTCAATCGGATCTTTTCTCTCCTCAACAGTCCAAGACAGTCTTCGAAGGGATTCTCAAACGATTGAGCTTTCCCACCCCCGACGACTCTCCCTTGTTTCACAGCCACGTATGCTTCGGAGTTGACCTCCCTGGTCGTCGGCCCCCTGACGCATGGGCCTGTTTGAGATCTTCTCTGTTGATCCGGAGTGTCGGGTTGAGATCGGTTTCAGGGTGGAGGATGGAGAGTGGGTGGGTGGGTACCCACTTGGTTCCGGGTCATTAGTCGATTGATGCTCGGTGTTCTGGAATAAGGTGGAGAGGTGTGAGGTTTTGTTTACTCATTGCAGATGGTGTTTGGGCTTGTGGTCGGGTCTTAGGATACATGCGTATGGACTGGGTTGAGTGGGCCTGGGGTGCTGGGGGATGTTTATATGGTAGTGGTAGGCTTGGGTCTACTGGTAGGTAAGTTGAGTTAGCTTTCGACATTGCATTGTATAGTTATTGGGCTGATTGGTTCTATGCTGTCTTGCTGTCGGGCTCATTCAAGCTTGTTTGGTGATCTGGGTTGATAGAGGGACCTGGGTGGAGGTCTCTTGTTGTCGCTGGTATGATACCCTGCAAGGACCGTCCGGACTTCGTGATATGCGGGTAGTACATCACCTTGTGATATGCAGGTAGTTACAGTACTAATGGACCCTCCCTTATGCTGGCCCTAGCCCTGACCTGAGTCCCTGTGATGACGTCTAAGCTCTTACAAACCGCAGGGTTGATCTGATGGCATCGCTCAATGAGAGTCACGATCCTCGTCCCTACCTGTCGAATCTCCGACAGAAGCAGGTCATGAGGTGATCAGTGTCTACCACCTCGCATGGCGCCTCCGACTCGACGAAGGGATTCTTTGTTGCGTTTCGTGATTGCGATTCGTTCTCAACCCCTCAGCCATGGCGTCCTAGGCATTTCAGCTGTCATCCTGCCAGGAACCCTCTCACCTCAGCTCTGACCTCCTGTTGGTCATCTCTGTCCCCACTGTCCGGAAGACCCTGCTTGTCATCGCCCGGGCTCATCTCAGCCCCCCCCCCCCCGGGCTGGTGTTTGCTCCGGGTATAAGAATCCGGTCCGAGGTGACGGCCATTGGACCAACCAAATAACAAACCCTCTCCATCAAGTTGACATGTCCAAACCCACCCACAATTCAATGCGGATGTGCCGGTCACACCGTTTCACCCGCGACACGGTGACTCGAGCATGGCCAGTTGCAGTGGGCCCCGTTCTACCCGCCGGGATTGCATCGAAGGCCTGCAGCTCACCCTCAATCCTCCGATTAGCGCCCTTGGACGGTCAGCCACAGCGGATAATTCTCCGCCCCCCCTCCCTTCTCTCGCCAAAAGACCCTGCATCAGGGTTATGCTTCCGCAAATTAGGTGATGAGATCTGACAGTGCGCCCCTCTGGAGTAGGGCGGTCTCAGATCGTGGTTGGTGCTGTACGGTGTACCTGAGTTGCCATGCGACGGTGAGGTGCGCCTTGACGGTCTAGAAGCCAGGAAGTGCTACTGTACAGGGAACCGCTACTTGGTTGGCTATTGGACCCTTCCTTCTTCCTCCATCCGACCCTGCCTGTCGGGAGAAAGAAAGAAATTGATGACCCCCGCCTTACCAGGCATCCACCGGATAATGAAAGTTCGGACCCCTGGCATCTCATTGATTTCGAACGCCACCGCCCATCAAAGGGAATCCTCGACGAACGACTTTGAAACAGCTGAGCCCACCACCCATTGTGCTTTGCGCGTGGTTTGACGGAATCGGAATCAGACTTGGCAGGTACCGGTACCTGGGGAGAGGTGCAAGGATGGCTTTCTTGCGGACAAGAAACGGGCCACCCCCGTTATTTCCACCATGCCGGGCTTCATTCATCCCAAAGGTGCATGGTGAATGGTGAAACTGGGGCTTGTCTTTTGGTCTTGGTCCTGGCCGGCGCAACGGGGTGTGAATCGGTGGATACTACGGTAGCGCTGTAGATGGGACCCCCTCTTTTCTTGCTGGTGTATAAGTATCAACACTTCCTGCCTCGAGTTGGGAGGAGGGTTTCTCATCCACGACATTCCAGGTTTGATATCTGTGACACTCCTTTTCCCTTCTGCTCAAGGCCCTTTGGCATTTCCAGGTTTGATATCTGTGACACTCCTTTTCTGTACCACTCTCCACAAAATCCCGGGTTTGATATCCGTGCCGCTCCTTTCTTCTTTCGCACCGTTCGTTCCTTACCTAAAGAAATTCAAAAGCAGGTGAGATCGTTGACGGCTCACCATGTCGTTCCTTTATCAATTCATTCTGCTGGCTTTGGGTCTGTTCCTGGGACTCGGGGAGGCCTCGAAGTGGAGGAACCCTCACCACAGCACCTCGAACGCAGACCCCACACCTACTACCCTCACCGCAACTACTATCCCCTTCCCCTCCAGCGCTGTGACTTCCTCTGCCAGCAGCTCCACCGTGACCTCCTCTTCCTCCTCTTCCAGCATCCCCAGCACCAGCAGCACCAGCAGCAACACCACCACCCTCTGGCAACCCCAAGTCGGCACGACCTGGCAAATCATCTTGACGGACCCCCTCGACCCCAGCACGATCGACAGCACGACGGAAGTCTACGACATCGACCTGTGGCTCAACGACGCCGCCACCATCGCCGACCTGCACGCCCAGCACCGCAAAGTGATCTGCTACTTCTCCGCCGGCAGCCATGAGGCCTACCGCCCGGACACCGCCGCCTTCCCGGCCGCCGCTCTCGGCAATGTTCTGGCTGGCTGGCCCAACGAGAAATGGCTCGACATCCGGTCCGCGGACGTGCGCCGCGCCCTCGCCGCCCGGCTGGACCTCGCCGCCCAGAAGGGGTGCGACGGCGTCGACCCGGACAACGTGGACGGGTATGACAACGACAACGGCCTGGGGCTGACGGCCTCCGACGCGGTCGAGTTCGTGGGGTGGTTGGCGGCGCAGGCGCACGCGCGCGGCCTGGCGGTGGGGCTGAAGAACGCCGGCGGGATTGTTGCGGACGTCATCGCCGATATGCAGTGGTGTGTCAATGAGCAGTGCGTCGAGATGGAGGAGTGCGAGACCTACGCCCCCTTCGTGGCCCACGGCAAGCCCGTTTTCCATATCGAGTATCCCAAGGGCGAGGAGATGGTGAGTCGCGTCGCGGTCGCGGCGGCGCAGCGGGACATGGTTTGTGCCGGCGAGGGCGCCGTCGGGTTTTCGACGGTGATTAAGAATATTAATCTCGATGCTTGGGTGGAGGTTTGTTAGTGGGGGGAGGTTGATTGGGGTTGGGCATGTTGGATTCTATGTCTTTGGTTGGGTTGGGTTGGATCGTAATAAAATTGCTGGTGCTGCAGAAGAAGGGAGGGATTAGGATCTGGTGTCTTTCGATCGGGGGATTCTTTCTGTGTGAATACTTTTGTATGTTGAGTTGCGGGGCAACGCTTTCGATTTGGGAGATGTTGTGGACAATACAATCTATGGCATGGGGTTGATGCCGGAGTGTACGATTGATCGGTTCAGGTTGGGGTGTGGTAGGATGATGCTTTATTACCACACTGAGTTGAACATGACGATACTTGTAGGAGGAAGTACAGTGAGGGTCTTCATGGGGATCTCAGTGGAGACATGTAGATTGAAGTAGACGTTAGAGTAGAGCTTATAGTAGGCATAATAGTCAGAGATTATAGGAGAGATTAGGGATTAGAGTATCGGTATGTAGTAGAAAGTTTTATATGACTGCACAAGTTTTGTCGTGGAAATTGTAGATTGAAGTGAAGGGGGTTGTGATAACTATATATATTGAAAATTAGAACTTTCATGGTAGAGACTGTAGTAGAATCCATAGTAGCAAGTGTCGTTGTAAAAGCATAGCATCTTCATAATCGCCCAGAGAAATAGGCAAGGTGCTGTGGTTGACCTGAGTGCGCAGTCGACCCTCGCACTTTCCCTCTTCTCCCCGCTTCATCATCGAGACGTGGACTTCCACCCACACCAAGTGTAGCATCTCCATACTTCCCCATCTTTACCATACCATTGATGTGCATTCATCTTCCAACGAGAGGATGAGAAAATGAGCGATAAGGTGCCTGACATCCATCCATCCGAAAATGTTCCCATGCTGATCGTGCCGCAGCCAGGGTACTGTACAGCCACAAACCGAGAAACACTTCCATGAGTTCAATCATCCTCAACGTCGCTCAACATCGTCAACCATCAATGGAGACTCGACGACTAGATCTCCCCAATCGCACTGCACCAGCCACGAACCTATCTGAACACTTCCACCGACGCAGTCGTCGATCAATAAAACATCAAGGAATCGCCTCCAACCCCCCATTTATCCCGTGTTATCACCTAGCTGAGCGATCGTTGACCGTGGCAACAGACATTGCGAGCAACTCCTTCCTGTCACTGCGCAGCGCCGACACGATATTGTATACTCCAGAGCAGGACTGCCGTGCTCACTACTCGAACGACGAGTGCTAGGCCATGCTTGGCTTACACGCATGTACCGGGAAAGGAACTGGTAACTCTGTGGAACGGAACAATAGTCCCACGGAAAACAGTGCCTGGGCCCTGCTGTCCAACGTTGGTCGAGAACCTTCGGCCGTCGCAGAAATGTCGGAGACCGTGCCCAAGAACTGCTGGGTCTTCTTGCGATCGATAATACCTTGAGTCCATCACAACCACCCTCCCAATATTACTTTTCGAACAAGGTATAACGACACCCTTTCAGTATCGAGCATGTTGCCGGGAGAGTAATCACTTGCGGGGCTTCACACTTGCGTTGTGCTTGGGTGGGGACAAGGACAACAACCGCCAATCGTCTCGCATCACCTGGTACTCTAATTCACATCCTCCATTTGTCTGTCCGTGTCTGTACACGACGTCGATCATTAGTGTTATGGCATAAGCAGGTCATATTTCCTCTCTGATGGGAGGCCGCGCTTCTTTGATGAGAAGTATCATGAGTGGATTCCTTAAGGGGCGATATTTCGGTTCCCTGCCCTTAGCGCCTTTGTGATCACCCGCTGTCTTAACTCTTATTGAATTGGCTCGTCCCGGGGCAGCATATCGGCTCCGATTGCTGAAGAGGCTAGATGGCCCTGTCCCCTCGTTTTGCGCGTTGTAACCTGCTGGCTTCCTTGATTCCGGTAACTTGAGGTCTAGGTCGTATGTTTTTGATTGGCATCTGGCACAGGATTTGCCTGCATTGCAACAAGGTGGGCCGGAGGCCCCATAAGAAGAATAGTTCCGTCTTCCGGCAGAGGCTGATTCTGTCTCCCCTGGAATCTGAGAGCAAGTGTCGGTTCGCATCGGACATATCCGGTGAAGAAGCCACAAAGTCAAGGAATAGACGCGCTGCTGCCACCCAACACCAGCCATAGCCGTATCCTTTCTTATTTTCCTTCTCGGTTCAACTTGTCCGCTGTCGACTGGAAACGTACCGAGCTGCGACAACCACCCGAATTGTCCACAAATCTTTCTTATCGGCTTCGCGAAGTAACGCTCATCTTCAAGTAAAGTTCGTGATAACTTTGGTGCATTTTCCTCAACATAGACTGCGATAGACATAGGTCCAAACCCCCCCAGACTAGGCACAGTTGCGAAGAGGGATAACTAACACTTGATTCGCTCCGGAAAACAACCAAGAAGCAGAGTACATATCCCTAGGGATAACACCTTTCACTGACTGACTTGAAAGCACTGCAGCATCTTGCAGGGGTATCCCATACCTCTCATTTCACTGACATTGGCCTATCTTAGCCAGTTTCCTTTCATCCGCATCAACGTGAAGGAGCTACACGACAAATGATCTGTCAGCAGTGACCGACGCGAAATTCCCCTAAACCATTATCCCAATCGATATTGGCTTGACCGAGTCGACTGTTCTCTGGCAGCAATGCGCCCTCTACAAGCTCCGGACTCGCGGCTCTCGCCATGACACAGCAGCACGAGCAAACTCACGCGCTATATCACACGCTGATAAACAGGTTACGGCCTGCTTGTCGAGAATCTGGAGGATAGCCTTGTGTTCTCTTGTTTGTCTATCAGCTAGACAAGAATCGCCAAAGACCGGGGGCCGATGTCAAAAATTCAAACTTTTGGATTTGCATCTGAGCTAGCTGAGAGTAGCCGACTGAGCCAGGGCCTCCTCATGCCGAATCTGCAGTCATGCCAACCGGATAGGCCCAGTACGTCTAGTCCTGAGGAGTTTCGCATGCTAGGCGGCGATGCTGAGAGGGTTCATAGACGATCGATATCACGGCATTCTGCAGGTTGTTCAATCACGATGACAGAAGGTCAACTTCGGCCGAGCAGAAAAGACTGAGGAAAGGGAGAACTAGACAAAGGCGAAGGGCGTGCGTTGTGTCGGACGGATCCTGATAAGAAATCTTTCACTCTCTACAGACTTATTTGGTGGCAGCGGATCCCGGTGGCACGAGGCGGCGAATGTCTGGGACGGCTGGGAATTCCCTCGAATTCGGATACCATTTCCGCCCCCGTCAACGACCGTAGGCGATTTCGGTCCGCGTGACAACTCATGAAGATGCCCGTGTGAATCCACATGCCCGCCAATGTCTCACCCACTCGACGTGCACCCCACCTGGCCGTGATTGAGCACTCAACGATTCATGTCCTCAGGCTTATTATGGCCGGATTATTCATCCTCCAATCGGGCTATCGTGCAGGGATTCTTGTTGGCTGATACTGCTGCTGATGCAGAAACATTATCGAGCAGTCCCGCCTGAGCTTTTGGGGAGGTGTGAGCCCAGTTGATGGAATTACCATCGACCGAAATAATCTATTGGTCGGTAGGTACAGACGGACACAGCAGCGAAGATTCCCGATCCCTGAGGGTTGTGTCCTATAAGTGTGATAGATCCTGAATTGCTTCTGAATGGTGAAAGGATTGAATTCTGCCCTTCGGCCTTTAGGATTATTCTTACCGCCGGAGTGGCTGATCACTTTGAGGTCTCAAGAGGTTTCCGAGAGAAGCATCATCGTCTTACAACAACACACGGCTGCGTCTGAGACTGTTTTTCCAGCACCACGGGTGCGTATGCAAGGCAAGCACATGCAACGCACTGTGCATTCGAATACGGGTGCGGTTTGGAGGAGCGTGCTGTGCAGCATGCTTACTTCGCTCTGAGACTGCATCCGCCACTAGCCCCTTGCTCACTGGCAGTTAGTCTACAGAATTGGTTGTGGAGATTATGAATGGTACTCACAGAAGAGCAGTGCAACGGTCATGAGTACCATTTATTACATGGCATTATTACAAGGTGTCACTGAATTAATGACGTGAAGCATGCGCATATCGATCGCGTTGCGTCTGTACTGACCGAGCAGTGCTGAAGTTCGCTCAATGGCTGTGATTATGAGACAATAGCTGTACCTCAACACGTCGCTGGATCCCAATGTAATCGAGCGATCCATGGCGCTCGCAGTGTTTGATTTGAAGTTACTCAGATAGCTCGCTGACCCAGACCAGCCATTGATTCGTGGTCAGTTACTGGATCTCGATTTCGTTCCTCCACCAAACTTCTATCCTGACTGCAAACTGCCTCATTCCATCCACCGAGAGGGCCCGCTGTATCGGTAAGGTAACTGACTATATGCCATCCAGGTCACGTGCGGCAGTTCTCATGAGGGTTGATCAACCGCTGAAATAAACGGACTTCCCTACTCTAGTGAATGGTGGTCTTGAGGACATTAGAAGAGACCGTAGTGTTCGAAGATTGGAACTTCTCCTCTCGACAGAGCTTTTGGTTGTCAATCAGGAAGAAAACCATCCAAACCAGTTTCCTTTAGTCCGTATGGTAGACCCGGAGTCGACGCACGGCCGAGTCTTCGGAGAGGGGAAGGAAGGTCCACCGTCCATGGATGGATGGGTTGTTATCAGCCCTTTCCTATGCAACGTATAATCACTTTATTGCAATACTTCCCGGGGCACGCAAAATTGGCTGCGCCAGATGTAAACCACGAATCTTCGTTTCGTGTGCACAACCAACTGATGTCTGGGCCCCGCCTGCGTTGTCAGCCTGGATGTGATCGACCCTTCGTCCACTAGCTCCAAACTCACGCCTTTCAAGCGTGCGTGTTATTGTTGCCCGGGTAAGCGACAGACTTGATCTCGGAAGTTAGTGGAGCAACGGGACAATATCGGATGGAGGTCTGTTCCATTGAAATCACTTCCAGGCCGTAGACAATAGCAATATGCAGGAATAGTTGGCAACCAGAGGAAAGTAAAGAAAAATGGATTGGGTGAAATAGGGGTTGGAGGAAGAAGAGGGACTTCCCTCACTGGGTTCCTCCCCCCCTCTCAATCACTGAAGCTTTTAGTCCACAACAACCACATCGTCGCCGTCCATGAATCCACCATCGGAGTGCTCGTGGAGGTTGCCACTCTTGGACTGCGGGATGTCTCCATCCACCTCCTCAATTGGTCCTGTAGCCGTGGCGTACCAGCTCCGGTCGACTGACTCCACTAGCGCTCTGCTTGCCTCGCGAATGAGTGAAGCGTAGCCCGGGTTCTCAGTCTGTAAGAACATGCTGGTATGAGCTTTGATTTCATCTGCAGCTTTATCATTCACGGCTCTAGCCCATCGGAGACCTGGCACCGGAACCCCCGGGCCTTGGCCTCCCGCTGGAAGCGAACAGAAAGTGCGGTCCTTTGAGCGTATAATCTTTTGGCTGAACGATGTATTGCTACGATTGGTGTTCTCTACCAGTGAGCTCGCATTCTTACCCAAGCACGTGTAGAAATTGACGCAGGCAATCCCGCGGTCCTTTTGCACTTCCGAGAGCGACGCCAGGCGCTGCCGCAAATCGGAAGAGCGTGCCAGGCAGCCGACAAAAACCAGGTGGGATGACACCCAGCCCCAGCCGTCGGTTAGTCGCTGACGCTGCGAATACACTGCCGCCGCCCCGCCGGCCGCCAAAGCGCCTGCTCCGGCAAACATCGCGTACCGACCCCACCGTTGCCAGGACGGCGTGGCAGCGGCGTCGTTGGTCGATGCAGTCGGTAGAGATTCCTTAGGCTCCCCTGAGCGATCGGACGATGTTGTCTCCCCTGAAGAATTGTTGCTCCCTCCGATTCCGAATAGGCCAGCCACTTCAGACAACGCGGTATATGCGGTGGTGGCATTTCGAAACTGTCCCTCGGCCCCGTACGAAACCACCCCGGGCGCAATCCCCAAGAACGGCGTGTCGAATGCGAGAACCCCTTGAATATGCGGAAACATAAATGAGCCGGTTCCGATGGAAGGGTCCGAATCTGTGCAAGAGCCGGGTGTGTTGGGCTGCGTTGAGACATTGACGGCGGGCTTGGGAGGCAGAGGCTGCTCGGAAGCCAGTAGCAGGAGTGTCTCCGCCGCCACAATCCCACCCATGGAGTGACCGACCAGAAACACATGGACCGAAGGATCCACGGTGGGCGAGGCTGTTCGGTTCGCGACTTCCAGGTCGATGACTGTATTCTGCAGCCTGCACCGACGGCTGTGGCTTAGCGGTACGTTCAACCAGCCAGAATTGAAATCACATGAGATAAGACGCAACGAACCATTCCCGAAATGTGCTCACACATTCTCTCAAGTCGCCTCGAGTTTCGTACTTTGGGTAGACCGCGGTTGTCACTCGCACGGTAGGAAGAGCACGGCTGACCACCGTGCAAAAATGCCTAGGGAAGTCTCCAAATGTATCATCGCCCCCCTGCGAGCATTAGCAACACCAACAGGCATGGGTTTGCGACCGACACAATTCGTGCGCGCCAGACAGGTGAAGCGTGGAGGATCGCAGATTCGAGAGCGGACCGTACCTTGAAGCCGTGGATGAACACGATAAGCAGTGTCTTCTTCATTACGCTGAGCGAGGCTAGACGGAAGGACACATGATGGTAGTGCAAGTCAAGCAAGTCTGAAAAGGAGGGGGTATGAGTGAGTGATTGCGAGGTTGGTTGAGCAGTGGACAATCTACCAAACTACGGATAAGGCGTCGGTCAGCGGGAAAAAAAACCACGACGTCATCGAGCAACTGATGCACGTGATATGGGTCGATTCCAGCACACACCCACGTGGCTTCCTGACTGTCTCCTTGCCTTGCTGCCTCGAAGTCTTATCCGGCACGGAGTACCGTTAACGAGTCGAGGCATTCTCTAACTTGGACTCGAATAGCTGAGAGGCGAAACCGTACGACAGAACAGTCATACGATCTGTGCCTTATCGATGGTTATCCCGCGGCAAATCCTGGGTCTATGTAAGATTCTTGAGGCTTGCGCCAGCCCACGCCCTGGATTTCGATCTCGATCTTGATCTCGATCTCTTTCGATTTCTTTCGATCAGTGCCACTTGAGGCTATCTGTACCCGCTTCACCAGATCAGGCTAAGAGTCCAAAGCGGGTCGTATATTCAGGCACAACCTTCTTGCAACCTCATAGGAGCTGATACTGGATAGATTCACTATGTGTAGATACCAGTAGTGCAGTCTGGTCCAAGCTATGTATTCACCGGTAGGCTCTGGTAATTTTATACTTTAGTATTGATTCATCCACTGGATTTGATTACCAACACCAATCTATTCAATATGTGAGACCGCCACATTAAACGGCCGTAGACTCAAGATAGAGATACCTGTGAATAACGGATTGCATCTCAAATCAATGGCAGCTTTATTATAGAGTTGGCCTCTCTTTGACAATCTTTTCCTTTAATAATCAATCTAGCAGCTTTAGAGACCTTTGATAACCGATCTATAATTGTGGTCATGGCTTTGTTCCTTTGCAAGGTCTGAGGAGGCGCCTACCTCCTCTAACTCATTCAATTCTATCTACTACAATTGAACTTCTATCTCATAATGCTGATATCCACGACATCACCACACTCTTATGGCAGACTTTTGGCTGCCATACTTCTTCATCAAGTCCTTGGCCAGGACCATCGATACTCGTCAAATCACAACCTTATACCCCCGCCTATATGACCGTCAACACGGTCACTGATTTCTGTCGCTCGGACACTCCCATCGGGGTGCCTGCTTGCAATATCGATTCTTCTGAGATCACCCACGGGGCGGCTCGAGTTCAGGAAATACCTACCTAAGTCAAACAATGGCAAAAGTTCTCCGCGATCGGAGTCAGTCGACACTCTTAGCGCTTACAAGTGTCTAGCTAGTCTCCGGCAGTATCACACCCAATCTTATGGCACCTTGGAGGTGGAATACTCACCATTCTGATATACTGCTCTTCTCTTTCCCAGACTCGCTCCAAATCTTCTTCTCTCCTACAACTCCCTTGATTCTCTCCAAATCCATATCGCCAAAAAAACAATCGAGTCAACGAATACCCACACGAAATTGTCGAGATGAGCTAATCGCCATACAAACAATCAAGTCGAGAAAATCTTCATGAAGACCATCAAGTAGAGCAAATATTCAAGCTCTTCCAAATCTTCAAGCTCCTCTACACGCTCCTCAAGACTCTCAAGGTCAAAACCTCATTCTTACAAGATGAATCGCAAGGGTCTCAAAGCTCTGATCTCGAAGCGTCGCCTTCATCGCTTAAAACGTCATCGCTTAAAACGTCATTGCTTACCTACGTCTGTAGAATTGGGTGCATTCGACCAGAGCCGAGATAACTTTCTTATCCGACGCATACAGAAAAGCCAAGGGCATATCAATGGTATATCAACTGCTATTGTACTCCGACGAAATCTCCAGTACATAGCAAATCTCCAGTCCAGACATGGCTCATATGACTTACATGGCTTAGCTACTACAGCGTCTTGAACGTTGACGGCCATGTCGAGCCAATTCCTCAATCAGACCGGGGTTTCATCATTCGACTATTAGGTAGTCACCCGCCTGAGTGCTTATACATTCACCTCTATGCTATTCTCCGATCTGGCTTACCTCTGGAAGACACGGAGTCCTTTCTACCACAACGCTCTATGTACACTACCACTCACGGCGAGATTTAGTCATTAGTACACGGTATCCACTCCCAAGCTTGTGGCCTTTTGACCTTGCTCGACCGTTCAAGCCCGCGGTCTTTCGACTCACGAGATCATGGTGCACCGAGGATCGACCGTTGAGTCTCCTGTGGAAGAGAATTAGGCACAGAGGGGTAAAAGCAACTATATCCGAAGATAACCCTTTAAACAAAAATAGCAGATCAAAAGAACATGATATACTGGAAAGATAGTGTCAAAAGCTCAGTTCAGCCTAGAAGAATAGTTAGTTGGTCCGGCCTTGAGTGCCTCAGGCAATCAATGTCAGCTATTCCTGTGCAGTACATACAGAACATGCATAACGGGGTGTTCCCACGGAAACATTTCTCTTTTAATTTTAAGAACCTTGCGTAGGCATCATGAAGATGCATGCTCTTTCGAACCCCTCACATTCCCAACTGGCTCGTCTGCCTCTAGGGATCCAGCTTTACAAGGAATATCGTTGCAGCTCGTCACGAGAATGTTTAATTCCGATAGGTGCTTCAGATGCCCTCCACTAAAAGCCAAGACTATAATGAATTCCGAGAAGACAAATGTCGCCCTGACTCGTGTCCATAGATCAGAATTTATCGCACTGAGAAAGTGAGCAAGGTCCGGGGATGTATGAGCACTGACATATGATTGGAAGAATCTATCGAGTGGGGTAGGCGAGATTACCATCTTCATGAGGAAACTCGGATATGTTTAATGCGAAGAGGCTCGTCAAGAAGGAGGCCGGTAACTGCGTCGAAAGTGATCAGTATTTCGGCATGCTCGGTCAAGGAGAATTACACGCACGAAGAAGATGGTGACGGTGGTGAAGACCAGGATGCTATTACCCTGGCTGCGGGTAGCCTGGGAATCTAGAATTGCCGCCTACTTTTGCTTCGAGTGGGTCAAACCGTTGATCGACCTGTGCACAGTATTAAAATCTTCAATCATGCGTTCTATACTAGCTTCCTGTTCTGCTAGCGCGATAAGTTGGATCTTTTTGACCGTAGCGTTCTCTCTCCACATAGGCGATCGACGTGCATCTGATCCCGGCTCACGGATCGTAGAATCTTGAGCTCCTCCAGCACGGCATTGAGCTCTTGCAGAAGATCCATTTCCCTGAAGAGATTTTGGTGAGGAAGCTCCATGTCGATTGCAAGGGAAGCTCTGTGCCGCCACCAATGCTTCGGAATCTTGGGGGCATTTTTTGCGACATGGAAAAGGTCCTGAGCAGTAATATGATGCTTTCTCTGGAAAGGAGCAAAGGGCGTGAAATCACTGTGATAAAGCCATATCCCAATTTGGATTCGGGTCTTGCTCGTACGTTCCTGTCCTCCAAACTGATGACCCAATGCATGAACTCGCGGAGCAACACTTCTCGTTTGTCACGCTGATAAATATTCAGCCGAACTTCATTATGGCAAGGATGAAGCAGGCTGTCTATTCCCGAAATCTAAGAGCTCTACGTTTTGCTTTCTGGGCTAATTTTGATCTAAAGCTTAGGGCGCTTAACAAAGCTGAAGTTATGTCCTTGAAGTATATGTTGGTTTTAGGTTCTATAGCTTTATCCTTTTTGGTCTTGCAGGTAAAACAAAGCTCAACATAAGTATAAGAATCTTCGAGACTTCTAGACCTGACCATGTGTAGACATACATGTCCCTACCTATATCTTGGGTATGAAATTGAAGTGTAACTGTCGTGGTTGTCTGGATACCAGAGCTTGTAAATGGGCCTTTCAGTCTACAATTGCGATCGACACACGACCACTGAACCAAAATCAACTTTCTTGCCCACCAACACCCCCCAACTCCGCAATCCTTGCGTTCTCCCAGATCTTCTCCGAATGACCCTGAACAGCGAGATCGACCGCCGCCCGCGCCAGCACGTCCACCCGCACGGAGGGCGCCAGACTCCGAATCCGATCGACCAGTGTCCCCTGTCGACTAAGCACCATGCCGGGCCGCATGATATACGACTCAAACGAGGCGGGGTGCTCGGCTGCATACTCCAGGAAGATATTCTCAGCTTGGCCCTAGTAGTCTCTCCATCAATACTTCTGTTTGCTACACAATATCACGAAACAAGGCGGGAGTGGAGATATACCCTCAACCGACGATACCCGGCCATCACCCACAAAGACTTCGTCTGATCGCGCTCCGCCATCCTCCCACTAAAATACACGAATCGGAATCTTGGACGGGTTGCAGAAGGGCCTTCTTCTCGCTCTGCCCCGGTCAAAGAAGCAGTAAAGGCCTCGTTGAATGCCTTGGCAGCCTGGCGGGTATACTCCAGCGTCACCCGCCGGAAGGCCTCTTTGTCCGCCGACACGCGCGAGGGCGACACGCCGAGCGTCCAGATACATGCGGCGGCGCCGTGGAGAGAGGCGGCGAGCTGCGGGTCGGAGTACGAGACAAAATCCTGGTCTTGCATGTGGTGGACATGGAGCTTGGGATGCATGGTGTTATCTGGTAGTTCGCGACGCGACAGTACGAGGATCGAGGTGATCGAGGGGTGAGCTAGGCACTGGGTGAGGATCTCTTGGCCGATGAAGCCGGTCGCGCCGGCGAGGATGATTTTCATGGTGCGCGTGCCTGTTTGATTGTTTGCGGAGTAGATTCAATGGCGGGGGGGATGAGGGGGGGATCAAGATGACAGCGGGTTAGCTTAGAGTTTGGAGCAACTTGTGGTCATTGCAGTGGTAAGGTAGTCTAGAGCGGGGCACCGTAGTATGCGGGGGTGAAGGGTTGGGCTTGCTATATGTGCAGAAGGATGGCTCATATTAATGCATTGGGGGCTTTGTTCTGTTGCTTATCATACATCATTTGATGTTGGGCACAGAGAGAGGTCGGATATAGCGGGAATAAGCATCAGTCCAAAGTAAGAATCTCACCCCTTGACTAGACAGTGAATCTGATGGGTCGAGACCGGGCATGGCTCGGGCCTGATTGCTTATAAGGTCAGATGAGGGGGAGCACAGGCGCATAGTAGGACTCGAATGCAGTTATCTATAGCCCGAATAGTGAGATTGAGCAGTTACTGTACCTACTTCCGGCGATGGAGCACCGAGAATACATGGTTGAGGTTGTATCGCCGGTAAGACCGTTAGCTGGCGAGGTAGGTGGTCTATAAACTAGAATCACTTCATCGTCCTCCTTTATCACTATCTACCTGTTTCCCTCTAGCAGGTTGAACAATAGAAGCTCGTTACTTTTCTTCTCGCACCGAACTTTTTTTCCGAACCGGGAACGCGATTGAAGCAGGTATCAAAGTTCTATCAAGACAGGTAGTCCGGTTTGTTGTTTATGCCTAGAGCAAGACCTTTGAATGATATTAAACCAGTGGAAGTGATACTGGAGTAACAGAAATGGTACCATTAAGCAGAGGTAAATTCTTGTCTATACAAAATAACTAGGAAAAAACGCTTGGGTGTAGCTCACACTAACTATATATACCACAGCACGGCAAAAGGCAAAGCACCGAAATGCAGCGCATCAAGCGAATAGATCTATACCAGTGCCATGCAACCTGCCATGCAACCTGCCATGAACCCAACACCTCATACTCACAACTTCTCCCTATCAGCCCGGGCCACCTTCAACATACCATCCTGATAGCTCGTCGCCACCAATCTCCCCTCTGGCGACCACAACCAGCTCTCATGGATCGCGCGACTATCCCCGGACCTAGGCGTCCAGCCCTCCTGAATAAACCACTTCTTGGGCAACCCACCCTGCTCCTTAGCCCCTGCCTCTGCCCCAGCATCCCAATCAACCATCCGCACCGCCTCCCCCAGCTCATGAAACACAACCGTCAGCGTCAGACTCGCCAGCGCATCCCACACCTTCATCCCCAGCGCGCGCGGGATCAGCAGCAATGAATTCTTATCCGCCGCATACATATGCGCACACGCATACAGATTATCAAACTCGCCTTCCCTCTCCCTGCGCCTCAGCTCTTCCACCGCCCCTGTCTCCTTCAAGGCCAACCCAGCGCCCACCCCTTCGGAATCAGAACCAGGCTGATCCCCCGGCGACCCCTTCAGCTTATAGAACGTCAACTGCCGATACCGATCCGGCTGCCGTCTCACCTCCTCTCCCCGGTTAAAGGTCTGCATATCCACATTCCGCGCCTCCAGACCGGGGAACTCCCGTTCCGGGATGCCGTGCTTCTCCCACTGCTCGCGCCAGTACTCGACGTAGAAGTCCGCGTCAACGCCGGGCTGGACCGGAAAGTCCTGGGGTTTCTTCCCGGTGAGAAGTGCGGCGTAGCGCTTCTGCGGGCTGACGGGCTGGTGCGCGAACGGCGCGGCGGCGGGCGGTTCGGCGCGTTTGAACGAGACCAAGCCCGAGAAGCAGATCTGGTTGGCCTGGCGGGCGTCGACGGCGCGCGTGCAGTAGCTTTTGCCGTCGCGGAGGTGGCGCACCGTGTATTCGTAGGGGATGTCTAATCGGCCCGGGAGGATGAAGGTGCCGGTTACGTTCTTTGACTTGGTTAGTGGGTGATCTGGAGTTGGGGATGATGGGAAAGGTTCGGTGGAAGACATACATGGATGAGGAAGCCTTTGTCGACGGTCTGCGAGGCGGCGTAGGCCGATTGGGCGTAGACGTGGCCGCCGAATGCGCGACCTGCTTCGCCCGGTGGGTAGGGTGGTGCCAGGGATTGGAAGCGTTCGATATGTTCCGCGCTGTCCGGGGAGGGTATTTGGCTCTCATCCACGGGCAGGCGGCGGAGGGACATGAGCTCCGCGAAGGAGGAGGGGCTTTCGGAGTAGGATAGTTCTAGCATTCTGAATTCGGTCTGTCTATGTTTGAAATTGAAGGAGAAAGACAGAGGTGAGGAATGAAATGCTGCTTATGTTGCTGTGCTTGGTGCTGATGCTCGTAATGATTGGTATGTATGTATATTCTCGGAGACGAATCCCTGATCCCTGTCGATTCGAGGGTTACGGTGGGTGCGGATGGGAGGCGACGGCGGTATAAGACCGAAGTATGCGCATGTGATGTGTTACTTGTAAGGAGTTTGGCTTGAAAAAGAGGGACAACCCGAACAGAGAGGGTTGAGGAGGGGGATCTGCTATTGTTGAGGCTAATTAAGCGTATTCCGTTCCTGGACTGCATCATAACCGACGCATGTCGGAGCTAACCTCGGCTGAAGATGCCGTTGCGCTTTGCACGCGGGATGATCTGCGGCCAATCTACACTGCCTACTCCGGATTCTTTACACATGATTCGCAAGTCCAGATCTCGCTGTATTCACTCTAATGGCCATGCCTCCTACAGTCTGTTGAGGTTGATTCATGTACCGATCGTCCACTACTGCAGCCCGGAGACAGCCCGCCAAACGAACGGGCAGTGCCGCTCAACCAACCGATTGATATCAATTAGCCTTGCACTCGACGCACCTTCGCTCACGACCACCCCAAATGTCAAGATTTCCTCCAAAAGATGAGAGTAGTTGTAGCCCACAAGCAAACTCAGATAAATTGATCTCGCCATCGGTATTGGCCAAAATCTGCCAGTTCAGGTATATGCGCCAACGATGCTGATATGATATACAACAAAGACACAAAGCAAAAAGAAAAAGAACACCCATCCCAAATATGATACAATAACGATCTAGACGCGTTGCGCCACGCGGGCACCCCAAACGAAGATCACCCGGCTCTTTTGTTTCTCGTCGCGAACATCAATAACAAGTGCAAAAATGACCATCTCACTCCGTCGCTCAGATGGATTCGGTGAGCGGGCGGTATTTGTTCCAGTCCACCTTGCCCTCCACGTCCTTGATCTCCTCCAGCTTGTCGCCCAGCTTCACCACGGAGAAGCGGATCATACGGGGATCGAGACCGAGGGTGCGCTGGACGGCTTGCTGCACGGCTCCCGAGGAGTCGAAGCGCATGATGAAGTGGTGGCCTTCGTGGTAGCGGGCCTGGTGCTTGGTGGTGGGCCGGGGCAGGGTGAAGGTGCCCCAGTTGGTGTAGCCGCGGATTACGCCGCCGGCGCGCAGGACCTGGACACCGGCATTACGGGCGATGCTGTCTGTTGATTAGTGTCGGGGCGAAGGAGAACGTATGGACAATATCATAGAAATATGAGTCTGGTTATAGGAAAGTGTAGGAGAGGGAGTCGAGTCGGTACGTACTCGCGGACCTCGTGGAGGCTGCCGGGGCGGACCTGGTGTGACGTTAGCCACGACTCTCAATCCCTGCGAGAATGAAAGACACATACAACTGCAATCAGCTCGTACAACATGGTGGCGATCAATCCGTGGAGAAGCAATTTATTCTGAATGGGCGGTTGATCAACGAAAGGGACAAGCGGAGAGTAGACAACAAGCCCGGGAACATCTCAGCAGGGAAAGGGAACCAGATTTTTCCGGGCCGCCGCCCGCAATGCTTTTTGCTTATCAGTTAATCGGCTTGGCAGCCCGAGGCCGTTATCAGTCCAGACTAGACTAGCTCCGGGAAGTGCTCGTCATCTCCGTCATTAGCTTTCCTACCCTTCAACTATTTAACCTCTTTTCCTTCCCTCTCCCCCCACACAACCCAACTCTTGCTCTTCTTCCTGACACCTTCCCACTTGCTTCACCACACTTCTCGCTGCTCCTACCGTCTCAATTGCCACTCAAAATGTCTGCCCTCGCCAACTCTTTCCGCCCCGTCGCCTCGCGCTTCCTGGCGCAGAAGCTCCCCCTCTCCGCCGTCCGCAGGGCGACCCCCGTCAGTTTCCCGCGGGGAAGTGTCCGGAGCTTCTCCCAGAGCCCATTCTGTACGCATTGTCTCTCCGATGGCTGTATCTTGGGGGGGTGGAAGCCCTCGCATGATCTGGTCATCATTATTCCAGAAGAAAAATAAAACATCACGAAGAATCGTGGTGGCTGACCTCCTCAACCCATACAGGGCAACTGAAGAAGTATACCGAGTCCCACGAATGGATCGAGCTGGCTGATAACGGCAAGACGGGTGAGTCTACCCTCCCCTGTCCCCTCCTTGAGCACAAGACGACCCTCATCGTCCTCATCTCCTCTGCCCTTCTGCTTCCCCCCTGCCTTCCCCCCAGATCTTCAACCAAATCCCCCCTTCACCCCCCAAACACCCAGCTAACTATCCACCTCCTCCCACAGCCAAAATCGGCATCACCGCCTACGCCGCCCACTCCCTGGGCGACGTCGTCTTCGTCGAGCTCCCCTCCGAGGGGCTGGAGGTGAGCGCCGGCGAGCCCGTCGGCGCCGTCGAGTCCGTCAAGTCCGCCTCGGATGTGCTCTCTCCGGCCTCCGGCACCGTGGTGCGCGGCAACGCCATCCTCGACGACAAGGCCAAGTTCATCAACGAGAGCCCCGAGGCCGAGGCCTGGATCGCTGAGATCGAGGTCGCCGATCCCGCCGAGTTGGACTCCTTGCTGGATGAGGCCGCCTACAAGGCGCACATCGAGGCGGAGGATCACTAGTTTTGCTGCATCAGAATGTGATGATTCGGGGGGGGGGCTACTCTTTTTCCTTTTTTTTTTTTTTTTCCTTTGTTAAAGTGCTTCATGCTTGCGCAAGGTTTCTTATTGGACGGGTTTATGTTTGGGATAATGTTGCGTCTCCGGATGCGATGATCGTTTGAGTTTATAGATGATGATGATGATGCGCGGTGGGTTGATTCGGCCCGGCTTCGCTCAGTTTTTCGTGATGACGATGGGTCGGCTGGGTTGGAGGGTTGTTGATGGAAGGAATTGGCCCTAGCGTGGTTGCTTGGTCTTCAATGGCTTGGACCTTGTATTCAAAATTCAACCAGGGGTTTACAGGATATATCGAATCAAAAGAGTTTACTGTATTAAAACTATAGCTCTATGCATAAGCTAGTCTGTATTGCTAACACTGTCGGGGCGTCTATAATACGTGGCTATGGACACAAACGCTGCGGACGCTAACATACATGGGCTACACCGGGGGAATGGATTCGCGGCAGATCGGACACTGAAGTCGGAGCCGCATCCAGCTCTCCAGACAGGTACTGTGGAAAATATGCCGACAGGGCGTGACCATGTACGTGCGCCGGCTGAGGATGCTCGACGCTCCGTCGGCCATGCCCGCCCCACCGGCCGTGAGCACGGGCACTTCGATCTCCTGCATACAGATGGCGCAGTCGAACACCGCCTTCTTTCGGTCTCTCGAGCGATGTTTGTCGTCGTCCTTCGATTCGCTGGGGTATTCGCGTTCGTCGGCCCGCAGCGCCCCGATCGGAAGCACACCCCCGGACTCCAGATCGTCGCCCGACCCGACATTGTCGCGCAGGGTCGGGTGGTAGTCGTACGCAGGGGGTGCCCACCCGCGGGGAACGAAGAAGCGCGGACCGAGGATGTCCTGGCTAGCGAGGATCCAGACTTGGATCCAGACCCAGCCGATCAGAGAGAGGGCCGTCGTCGCGTCGGGTCGGATGAAAAGCACGTTGCCCCGGGCGGTAAGGAAGTAGAGAAACGGAAATAGTCGGAGGCAGCTCTGGCCGACCACAAAATCCCATCGCAGTGCTTTGCGGCAGTTGCGCATGACGTTGCGATAGATCTGAGGCGTCCAGAAAGAAAGATAAATGAACCCGAGTACTCGAGCATAAATAGCTCCGAGTCGGTTCGGCCAAAGGAATGCCCAGATAGATATGATAAGCATCACAAAGAGGATGAAGTAAAACCGTGCATACATAGTTCCCAAATCACTTCGAGCGTCCCGCGCTGTCTGTGCAGTGCCACGGTTGGCTGCCGGCGCATCTTCATCAGCTGGAGCATCCTGATCCGGAGGCAATATGACCGGGGTTGCGCCCGAATCCCTGACCTGGGCAGCCGTCGCAGGAAGTGGCAGATTTGCTGGACGAGCGTTTGCGGGGGCCCGCCGCTCCTGCTCCCGTCGTTCTGGAGCTTGGATGGCATAAATCTCCATCATAAACTTCATTCCGATGTAACTGACCGAAAGGAAGGTGAGGAAGGATGCGGTCGTCATGACCAGGAACGATACCACCGGGTATAATTCCAGAAGAATGAAGACGAGGACAAAAGAATCTCCGAAGGCCATCAGGGCCATCGTGTAGAAGCTGATACGACTCCGAGTAGAAGGCGTCGAGGCTTCCTTCACTTGCCTTAATAGCAAGGCGATTTGAGCAACGGAGACGGCCGACATAACAAATATCATGCGAGCTGAGTACTTTGCGAATTCCTCTATCTTTGGGCCTGACAGATACAACGTCTCCGTGGGTGGGAATTCGGGCGCGCCCTTGGTTTCTAGGATGTAACCGCAATCAGGAGAGAACACCACGGCTGACATGACCATCAAAGGAGGGGAAGGAATCGGCGCCCCAATGGGATATCTCAGTTCCTGCTCTATCTGCTCAATCACTGCCTTATCTGCTAGGTAGCCATGGATTGCGAGTGGGTGCTGTTGCAGGTAAACGATGTGTTCACATCTCGGCGCAGGAAACTCCATATGCTCACTACCCGCCAAGGAGGACCAGGGGAAAAGGGTAGGAGGCCTATTCTGCTTCTCAGAAATGGTATCCGATAGTGATTTGATGAGAAGCTCATGAGTGAGATTGTATGCATCAGATGAGAGACTAAGATGCGGCAACGTGAGGAGGCCCCCGAATTTCTCGCTAGTCGTGCTCAGGATGATACCGCCAGTCTCTGGAAAGTGTATACCAATGAGTGAGAGATACCAGGTGTTGCCCCAGAAGTCACCACTTTCCACAGCGAGCGTGGCCCGGATCTCTCGGACATGGCCCAAAGACGACCGAAGCTCCTGTCCGCCTCCTTCACGTACATCCAGGTAGAAAGTGCCACTGTTGCCAGTGACGTTCTGGCTGAACTCATGCGTGAAGTACTCATTTTCCTGAATAATAGCAGTCTTGTTGAGCGGAGGGTGTGGCTTGTCCTGCTTGCGGCGCACCCATTCGCCGCGCAGCTTCCCTGTCGCATTGCGGTAGACCGGCAGCGAGAGTTGCGTTAGGTTGAGATCCGAAAGTGCGTCAGACACTGCAAGGGACTTGGGAGGTCGGAGGCCTGCCTCAGTCATGACGGATCGCAGCTGAGACCGGGCTCTGTCCTGAACATCGGGGAGAAGGTCCCAGGCATAACTGTCGTTCTTGCGGACGCCTGGGAAAGGCAACCATTTATCGGCTCCCGGGTCAAAATCTCCATATTGAGTCTCATTCAAGAGGCGAAGGGCGTTCCGCTCCATTTCCAGTTCCCGCTGATGTTCCCCATCTTGAGATACCAAGGGCGAACGAGACTGCGAGCTCAGGAGAAGATAGAGGACGAACAGAAAGAAGAAAAAGGAGCCGCGGTGATCCATAGATGCCAAGGGGACGTAGGCATCGGAGTTGGAGGGGGGAACTCCTGAAGATCAATAGAAATACTTAGGTTACTTTGTGTCGCATTGCCAATCTATGGCCAGAACAAGCGACACTCATTTAGAGCTGGTCATTAAGCTCTTGAGGAACCAAACAACGAATGATGATAATGATGATGGAAGATAGGAAGATGATGAAATGGGGAAGCGGGCGGAAGTCGATGATGCGCTGAGTGAGTCGAGGCCTGAGGCCCGCCCCGTTTTCCCCCCCCGCCTTTTCCGCCCGGCTTTACAACCGCCGGGCGACATTCTTCCCCTTCCCAATTGTCAGCCTCCCTGCTTCCCTGGAAGCTTGGTTTTCATCCCTCTCCGCAGTTGCGCCGTGTTTTTTCCCTTCCATTGAGTTCCGGTCGGTGTAACGCTGCCTACGAAGTGACCTGCGTATCCCTTCACATCGATCGGCGCCGGCGCCCCATTCTTCAGCGACTGTCGTGATGGCGTCGAATCTCCCCATCCCTATCCCTCCGCGTACCCCGACTCCGCCCGCGGATGACGGCCCTACCAGCGCGTTTGAGCCATCCTCAACCCTTTACGACAAGGACTCGCTATCCCCATTGAGGGATACCTTTACTCCCTCCAGGAGTACATTAGATGTCAATGATCCCACTCGCCTGAGCCCGACGCGGGCTGCCTTCAATCTCAGTCCAGCCAGTGCTCGATCACCAGGCGATCAGAGCGACAATGTCTCGTCCGCCGGCCCCTTCAATTTCCAGACAACCACTATGGCCAAGAGCCCCGTTGTCAAGTCTGTGAGTCTTCCACAATATAGTAAACAGTATGATTCATGGTCCTGATTGCCCTGCCTATGTTAAATAGAACATCGGACAGCGGCGCGGACATAAGTACAAGCACAGTAGTATATCGCATCAGATCTTCCTCGAGCCACCACCTCGGGCCCCGCTAGCATTGCCGAACTCTCTACCTATTCCCACGTTCAAGGAATACCGATCGAGCATGTCTAAGGACCAGACGACCCGTTTCTGGTGGAGCCTATGTCATATGTCCGTCGCGGCGTATACTTTGTGGAGCGCGCATGGCTCGCTAGCTATGACGGCGTTGTCGCATCTGATCTCATTCGACTCCATCGGGGCTCTCCTCTGCGTCGCGGTGGATATCCTAGGCAATTTCGAGGTGTGGAAGCGATCTAGCGTGCGCCATCCCTTCGGGCTCGAACGAGCCGAGGTACTCGCCGGGTTCGCCATGTGCGTGCTCCTGCTCTTCATGGGCATGGACCTGATCTCGCACAATCTGCAGCATTTCCTCGAGTCCGCCGGCCACGAGCCGCACCACTCCCACGTGCACGAACGCGTATCGCTGGGACGAGTGGATTTCACGGCGCTGCTCGCCATCGTGTCTACGCTCGTCTCGGCGATTGGCCTCAAGAACCACGGCCGCATTGGCAAGGCGATGCGGTTTGGGTATATCGAATCGCTGCCGTCGGTTCTCAGCAACCCCTCGCACTTCCTGACGCTCTCCTGCTCGTCCCTCCTGTTGCTGCTGCCGCTCGTCTCCATCAAGCTGTACAAATGGCTCGACGTGCTTTTGTCCGGCACCATCTCTATCTCGATGTGCATCATCGGCGTGCGCCTGGTCAAAACCCTGGGGTCGATGCTGCTGATGTCGTACTCGGGGCAGGGCGTCACCGACGTGATGCGCGACATCGAAACGGATCCCTGTGTGCGTGGGGTCGACGATGCCCGATTCTGGCAGGTGCACTACGGCCTGTGCATGGCGAATCTGAAGCTTCGCGTGTCGGGCCCGGAGGAGAATCTGGCGCGGCTGCGTGAGCGGATCACCAGTCTGATCAAGAATCGGCTGGGTGGGGGGTATGGGACTGGAGGACAGAAGTGGGAGGTGTCGTTGCAGTTTGCGGTTGAGAAGGCGTGATATGTGTATTTGATATGATGTATATTATGGACTGGACATAATTTGTTTTCTCTACTGGAAATACAACCATTTTCGGTTTGGTCTATATAGGGATACCTAGGCATAATTATGGGCCCACTGGGACAAAATGAACCCAGAGCTCCCTTGCTGAAAGACTAACAGTGCATGGAACCTCTTCTCTTCAATCCGGGTAATGAATCTACTCTACAGCGCAGATGACCATAGATATAGAATAGGCCACACATTCCCCACCGTGCACCCCTCACATCAAACGATACGACCACTTCCTGCCTCCCATGCGAACGCTTGCTATTTAAAACTCCCCATACTACACGTCACCTACACCATCAACCCATGACCATGACCCTAATCCCCCGCCGCAACCAGAGAACCCCTACACCACTCAACCTCAATCCCGTCCGCCAGGCTGTAAACAGCACACATGAATATAAAAGGCGTAAAATTTATAGCACGATAAAAGAGAAGACACCACACACGCGCATAAAGAACCCAATCCAGATATACACAACACACACACACACACACACACACACACAACACAACCCCTCACATAAACCCTCCCCAACCCACACAGGAAAGCCGTCCATCATCTTTCTTTGCTTTTTTCTCGATTTCTTTCTTGCAGGAATTCCCCCCGGAGCCAAATGCTCAAGCAGCCGCGGCCAAAACACTCTCCTCGACCCGGTTCAACGTGCCGTTCTCGCGATCATCCCTCCGCCGGCGCTTCTCGAGGATCTGCTCGCGACGCTGTGCGAGTATGCGGAGCTGGCGCTCCTCGACGCCCTGCAGCCAGTAGCCGAAGCTGCCGCCGACGCCGGCGAAGAGCGGGTAGACCCAGAGGGATTCGCGGGCGAGGATGGGCCGCATTTCGATGCCGAGTTGCCAGAGGCGGACGGCGATGCCTGCATTTGGGGATCGAGTCAATTGGAGGATCGAGAGAGCCGGGATAGAGACACGATGGCTAGAGGTAGTTTGTGTGCCAATTGGGGCTCTCAAGATTGTTCTGCGTGGGATAACATACCGAAACCACCCCAGAAGAGGACTTTGTGAACCATGATTTGCGAGAGGTAGATGTGAGGAGGGAGAGGGAGGGTGGTAATTCGGAATGGCCGGTTTCAAGGATTGTATCTGCGCGGGATTAGGGCGAAGAACTTTCCGGCACACAGAGGGGGAAGGGGAGGACAGCGCTCGGTGACGTTGCGACTGGAACTGACTTTATCCAACGGATACTGCGAGAGAGGCACACGCCGGGATTCACGACGGAGGTTCAGTTGTTGCGTCGAATCACGGGGCCGCAGTTCCCAATCGGGGTGCGGGTAATCGGGGAAGGAATTTATCCGATTGCTGTTCTTTCCGCTCGGGGAAGAGAGAAACATCGTGACGAAGGCCCCGGCCTTCACTTAGTTTAGACAATTACGCGCCCGCTCCATGCGAGCGCAACTTCTTTTTTTTTTTTGATTACCTTCTTTCCCATGTCCTGTTGATGATTTGTCTTTCTTAAACTTAGAAATTTTCCATCAAAGCACGTGTCTACCGCCTGCTATTCAATTTGAGTTCCATCTCAGCTGTGCGCGCATCTGATACCCAGCCGATTCTCCGCGATGGCCGGTCCATTAGAGGAGGCGGCAGACGTGTTTGCTGCTGCAGCTGCTGCTGGTAATGATGATGCCGCCGCCGCGGGTGTGAAGCGACCGCTGGACATTGACAGCCTGCAGCGCAAGAAGTTCAAGACCGATGAATTGCCCTTGACCGCTGCACAACACGCCGCCATCGAGCATCTTTTACATGCATTTAAGAAGAGAGGTGGTTTTGACAATGTGCGCAAGAAGATATGGGCGGAGTTTGAGGAAGGGGTGCGTTTTTTTTCTTCCTTGTCCTCAGTGATGGAGTGTTTTCTGTTTGGCTAATTCCGCGTCTTCTGTGCGCGCTCATGTAGGAAGGCAAAAAGGAATTTACGAACCTCCTCACCGAACTTGCCGAAGCGGAGATTGATCGCGAACCTGGACTGTTGTCGCGGGAGCGCGGAAAGGCCGCGACTCTTATCGAGGGTGCGGTCGATCGGAGTGACGTCTACAAAACAGTAGAGAGATCGCTGGATGCGCTTGCTTCGAATCATTTACAGACGATTCTGGATTCCGTACGGGAGATTCGCCGCGATGAAATCGGCGTGGAGGCTGCTGCCGAGGAAGAGAAGGCAGGTAACAAGACCGAGGAGGACTATGCGAACTACGTACAGGCTAAGCGCGATGAGCGCGAGAGAGCTTACCAGGAAGCCTTGCGGAAGGAGAAGGAAGCGGAGGAGGAGGAAGCGCGCAAGAAGGCGGAAGAGGACCGCAAGCGACGCGAGCTCGAACGCCAGAAAGAGGAAGAGGAGCGGGCCAGGCGCAGGGAGCGCGAGGAGCAGCGCCGAGAAGAGCAGCGCAAGTTGGACGAGCAGCGAGAGAAGGAGCGCCAGGAACGGTACGAACGCCGCCGTCGGGAAGAGCGCGAGCGATTCCGCGATTGGCGGGATCGCAGTCGAACCAGAGACCGCGACTCAGACCGCGACCGCGACCGAGATCGTTTTCGCTTCCGTGATCGCTCCCCGGGCTACCGCTCCGAACGAGGCCATTCTCCCCGTCTCCGCGAGACTCGGAAAGAGAGATCGCCGACACCCAAGGAACCTACACCGGCCCCTGTGCCACCTCCAGCTCCTGTTGACGAGAAGTCCCTGGAAGAGGCTGCGTTACAAATGCTGTTGAAGGAGGGAGAGGAGCTCGCCGCGAAAGCCCGACAGAAGCCCGAGTTCGATTTCGAGGAAGCCGAAGCGATTGAGAACGGGCTCAAACCACCGCCAAAGGCCCCCAAAGCACCCGACTCGAGATACTCGAATACACCCACCCGCGCGGGAAGTATCCCGACCGAAGGAGAGGCGGTGAAACGGCGCGGCTCAGTAGATGACCGCGTACGGCCACGACGACGTGACGAGAGCCGCAGCCGCTCAAGAAGGAGGGGAGTTCCGCCCCGGGTCGAAGATGACCGCCGAAACCCGTCGCAGGATGTGTCGAGCATGTCTCGCGGGCGCGACTCCGATGACCGAGCGCCTCCTCGAGACTATCGTGAAAGTCGGTACGGTGACCGTAGCTACCGGCCCAGTCGTCGCAGCCGAAGCCGTTCGACCGTTCGAACCTCTGATCGCGATCGCGATCGCGATCGAGATCGAGATCGAGATCAGGTTGCAGAGCGGCCACGATACCGCGAGAAAAGCTCCGAGAGAGATCGGGATCGGGACAGGAATCGTGATCACGACTATCGTCGAGACCGCAGCCGGGAAAGAGAACGGGATCGCAGAGACAGAGATCGAGACAGGGACCGTGATGGGGATCGAGCGAGAGACAGAGACAGGGATAGAGCTCGCGATCGCGACGATTACCGCCGACGACACAGTTACTATTCTCGATCCCGCTCGCGGTCTTTGAACAGAAATCGGGATCGGGATCGGGATCGGGAGCGTGATCGAGATCGCGACAGAGACCGTGATCGCGACAGGGACAGGGACAGGGACAGGGACAACAGAGAGAAGAGAGACACAAGGGAAATCAGAGACACCAGAGACACCAGAGACGCCCGAGACCGTGATCGAGATCGAGAAAGGGATCGAGATCGGGATCGCGATCGAGACCGCAACCATGATCGTGATCGTGATCGTGAGCGAGACAGGAATCGGGATCGAGATCGAGAACGTGACCGCGATGGCAATGCCACCGCCACCGCCACCCCTACCACCACAGCCAAACCCCCCACAAACCCTAACAGCACTTCTACGACCACCGCCCCTATAACTACCACCACCACCACCGACCACCACGGCCGCGGACGCGATCCTGAACGCCAGCGAGACCGCCCGCCGCGCGAGGACGAGAAGTCCGCCCGGGTGTCCGTCTCCTCCCGCCGACGCTCCCGCTCCCGCGCCCGCCGCTCCCGCAGCCGTCGCCGCTCCCCCAGCACCCTCGACATCGACCGCTATGTGCCCCCGACCAGCAACCGCAGCCGGTCTCCGCGGCGCCGTGTGAGGTCCCCCGAACGGTCGACTGAGAAGGAGCGCGAGCGCGAGGATCGTCCGCGCTTCGTGGAGATCGATCGCTACATCCCTGGCGGTGGAAGCGCCGAGCAACAGCGTCGGCCGTCGGAGACAACCGAGTCCACACCAGCTGCACCAGCAGGAGCGTCAGCATCTGCGTCCGCAACAGCACCAGGCACCGCGGCGACGACTCCTCGCAAACCAGATCGGGAGACGGACGACCGTCGGCCGTTGCAGCCTCCTCTGGGCCCTCCTCCCTCTTCTTCGTCTTCTGCTTCTCTTCCTCCCCCGCAGGGTCCCAGGCGGCAGAGTTCCGGCCGCAGTCGGTGAATTCCCTGTGCCTATCTGGGATCGGAAGGGTGGGTCTGCTGCCTTCCATTGTAACTAAATCTTTGTATTCTACGTGGGAATTTTTGTTCTTGCATGGGTCGGCGTTGATAGGTTGGCTTGGGGTCGGAGGGGTTCTCACAAGAACCAGACGCTCGGGTTGGGTTGAGTTGGGTTGGGTTTAATATGGGATTCACAGGGTAAACGAGCGTTTGCATTGTCTTGAAATTACCATTACCGGGCTATGCGGGAGATACCTTGTTCATTACTGATTCAGGATTGATTTCATGATGGGAGAGCGCAAAACTTCGGTCGATGAGAAATGAAGCTATGTTTCAAATTTCATGTGGTTAAATGATGCAACCTCGAGTGAGGGTCAGGAAGTGAAAAGCTCAAGCTCTGCAATGCTAAGGTACATAAGCACAAGAGGAGACGTGAGAAGTATGCAAACGCCAAACGGCTACTTTGTGAAGACATGAGGAAGAAAAAAGAGTTGGGTGGTGATCGAAGTCGAAGTGAAGCTGGGGAAGAGAAAGCAAAAGAGGTGACCACGACCGTACCAAGACGGCGAAGGCCACTTCACGTCACCGTGCTCGCCTTCTCGACTGCCTCGGTGAAGCCGTCGTTCTCGGCATGCCGTTTGTAGAAGTAGGCGGTTGAGCCGGTCCCGGTGGGACGCAGTTCGGGCGACAGGCGGTCGAGAATGGTCTGCTCGAGAGCCTTGATGGAGCGTTCGTTGTCGCCGAGTTTGTTCCACACGGAGATGAGGTTGGAGTTGAAGCGCGCGGACGTGGAGACGCCGAGGACGTGGTCGTGTTCTGTGTATTTAATGGGCCTTTGGTTAGTATATATCATATGCATACGGTAAACCTAGAAGTTTACTCGGAAGTATATCTCAGAGCCGGAACCAGGGGTCCGGAGGTTCTGGAGGCTGGGGGGCGGGAGCGGGGCAGCGGGGGGGAGGGGACAGAGAACAAGTAGAAGCAAACATACCCTTCTCCAACACAGCCTGGAACTCATTCGCCATGCACAGGATCGCGATCTCGTGGAAGAACTCCTGCGCCTTGTTTTTGGGCACCCGGAACCGCCAGCACCCGCCGTTGCGGTTCTCCGGGTCCTCCCAGACGGGCCGCACGCCCTTGCGGAAGATGTGCACGGTATCGCGCAGGCGCACCTTGTCCCACGGGTAGTTGTTGTAGACGCGGTAGAAGGTGGCGATGTCGGAGACGTCCTCGTGCAGGAGGTACAGGCGCGAGTTGTAGTCCTGGGCGGTGGTTTCCTTGGTTGCGTCCGTGTGCTTGTCGTACCAGACGGCCCAGTGGTACTGGAAGGGGAGGGGCCGCAGCTTGCCGAAGATGTTCTGGTGGAGGGATTTGCGGGTCGTCGCAGAGGAGGGGGAGGTCGCTGCGGGGTTGGCTTCGGGCTTGATGGTCCGCTGGGCCTTATTCACCTCCTCAAGGGGACTTGTGGTGCTGTTGATGGAGATGGTCATCTTGGGCTCTCTTGGTGGTTGGATTCGGGTGGTATAGATCGGTCGGTCTGTTCCCCGTTGGGATCTAGGATGATAGGAGCTCCGCGGTGGAGGGGTGAGAGCCGGGGATCATGCCAATGCGCTACGTATGAATGTGCGCTGGTGAGTCAAGAAGCTGGCGCTGTGCTTGGGAGATATTATGAATCTCTTATACTTGGGGTCAGCTGGGTTTGAGGAAAGTCCGCACCGCGGCGGGGATGAAGAGGGCGGACAATGAGAAGTATGAATGGAGCTTGAATGAAAGAACAACGGGTTTGGGGTCCAAGAATAGTGTTATTTGGTCCTGGGTTCAACTGTGGCGAACAAAGAAGACATGGGATAAATTAAGAAACAGGGAAAGGTACTGACCCGAAATGGTAAGCAGCAGTGAATCTATTCCGAGATCTGGCCAGCCAACCGAGTGGGGATGATGAAGATGATGGATAGACAACAACAGTTCGTCGTAGGGAAGAGTTGGCACAGTGAGGAGTAATGAAGTCCTCTGTCAGTAAAGAAGAGGATGGAGATCGGTTTTAGAAAGAGACAGAGAAAGAGAGTAGAGGACTGAATGAGCAGTGACTAGATAACATCCCCTGAATGCGGGAGGGTGTAGTGGATTCAGCGCATGGATCAAGCAAGCAAGCCAGCCAGGAAGTACGAAGTCCAAGTAACTAAGTCAGAGGACTCATAGAAGTAAGACAGACTGGCTGACTTTGGTCGAATCGCCTGCAGGGCGATCAAGCCGCTCGAAAAAGAGGCCTTGGCGATTGGTGAGTGCATGCGCCCCTCTTGCTGCCATCATTGTGCAGCACTAGATTAGATTGCCTGTTGTAGTTGTAGTTGTAGTAGTTGTAGTACTGCAGTAACTTACTAGTGTAGTTTACTAGGTTACGGGGCAGTTACAGACCTACATTACATTTCCTCTCTCTCTCTCTCCCTCTTTCCTCCTCCCCGCCCGCCCCCACTTCGGCGCCAATTCGATCGCCTGCAAGTTTCAGTCATTCACGAATTCATCCATTCGTCTTCTTTTCTCCTCTTGAAAAAATTGACAATCACCACGCCTCAAGCAACCATCACAATGAGCGCGCCTTCCTCCCACTCGCCCCGCGACGATCCCGTCGCATCGTCATCCACCACCCTCCCTCGCAGTCAAACAAATTCAACCGCCGATCTTCCCCACCACAGCGCCGCCGACGATAGCGACGACTACACCTCCTCCTCCGGCCCCAGCGACAGCGAAGAAGAAGAAAGCGACGACGAGGATGCCCGCGCGACCGCGACCGAGCCCAGCCCCCCGCGCCCCGCGAATAATCCCGCGCACAAGCCTTCCGCAGCCTCCGCGGCGGACACGACAATCCCCCGCATTCCAGCCCTCCCCAAACCCAACATCCACCGCATTCAGCAGACGCCCGACCTCCTCTCCCGGCTCTCGGCATTCCTCCCGCAGATGAAGACCGCCAACGAGCAGCTCGAGCGCGATATCGCCGCCGGGCGGGCGAAGGATATCCGGTTGGATGATGCGATGGATGAGGATGAGGATGAGGATGAGGGGGAGGGGGAGGACGACGGTCAGGCGGATGGGAAGCGGTATATTGAGATGGTGGGTTACATCTTTTCCCTTCTTCTGACTGATGGGTTGTTTGTGTGCAGCATCATTCGGAAAGCTGACTCTGCTGTGATTAGAACCTCGGACTGGGCGTGCTGGAAGAGAAGCGGCCGGACGACGAGATCTCGACCTCCGCGCAGCCGGGTAACGAACAGACCGTGCTGGCTTCGCGGCCTAAGGACTCTGGGGTCTTGGATACCTTGATGGGTAATACGGATGCTGCAGCCACGGCGGCGTCGAAGCCCACGATTGAGGAGTTGGAGAAGTGATTCCTATGTTTTCTGTTTGTGGATCCACAATCTTTTTTAAAAATGGCCGGGGAAAAGTTTCTGGGTAAAGATAGGGTTTTTTAGTCTGCATGGCTAGAGGGCGTTTGGGGTTGGACTTTTTTTTGTCTTTCTACTTCGTGTGCAGTTTCAAGTATCTGTCTTGGAATCCGGGCATCTTTTTTTTTGGCTTGGCTTTTTCATCAAGCAGGTGGAGGCATGCGCTCGTGTCGACCTCCACAGTTACGTTTATAGACTAGTTTTGGACTGAACGATACTACGACCGAGTCTAAAAATAATTTCGACATATTGAACAATCATGCCGAAGAAAAAGTCTGATACATGAACCATATACAAACATCCCAAGTCTACCCTATATGAACGAGATGAAAAAAGGTCAAGCAGAAGAAAAGTGTGATATTGATTAATTATACAGACCGCATCACCATTATCCATTAGGACACCTCCTTGATTCGGCATGTCCAGCCAGACTCCTGGCTCAAGAGAGGCAAACTGTAAAAAGAAGTTAGCAAGTATCTATGAATGTTAAATTAGGGTAGAAGACTTACCTAGCGCCCAAGCACCAACCAAGCTCGTTGTTCTTGATTTTCTTGGCGATCTTGACCTCACGAGACAATGGCATCTCGTAACCCGTGTGAAGTAGACCCAGCATGAAGTTCAGATCCAAGCACCACTCAGGGCGGTCGAGAAGTTGAGGAATAGCGTCATCAATGCCCTCGAAGATCTTCCACTCCGGCTTGCCGGCGCAGACGGTCGAGGTGAGGTGATGCAACTCATCCAGAGTGAAGGAATCCGGCATGCCCAAGGGCTTGGTCCGGTCATAGAAGTAGGAGAAAACATAGACGTCTTCCTGAGCGAAGGTCTTGGCCAGGGAGGGCTGGTGCACTCCGTTGAACGAGCAGGGGGCCAACTTGCAGTCGGCTTCCTTCTTGAGAATTTTCTCAGTCAGACCCCGACATTGAGGTGCGGCCGAGGATCCTTCCTTCGGACCCACCATTTTGATGCTGACCTTGGGAGCAAGAGCGTGGCCGGCATCGAAAGACAAGTCAACCTTGCGCTCCATACCAGGTCCAATGCAAGGGTTCGAGATAGGCTGATCCAGCCAGGCCAAGTCAGTGGGGCTGGCGGCAAGCTTGGCCTCGACGATGGCCTTGTGAACCGCTTCCCGCGCAGCCATGAGTCCGTAGCCCAGGTGAGAGTGCTGGTACAACTCAAAGTGCCGACCACCAAACTCAAGATCATACCGGTGGTCACCTTCGGCCAGGTGCTCGGGCATACCGCCGGACGGGCTCTTGGGGTAGGTGGGCTGGAAGACAATTTGAGTAGAACCACCGCCCAGATCGAAGATGGCAGCAGTGGGGGTCTCGTCCGGTCCGCCAATTTTGCCAAGAAGGTAATTGGTGGTAATCCAGGCATAAACACCTTCATCCGAGCCATCCATGATTTCGACACCACCCTTCTCCCGCGACACGACAGGGAAGGGGTACACAGTCTCGAGACGGGTCCTGACGGCCTCGAGAATCTTCATACTCATCTCATTGCCAAGCATGCGCAAACCCGCAGTGGCCTTAACGGCAATGGGTGAGCATGACCTGTACTCCTCAGGCACCGACTTAAGGGCCACCTGCATGAGAGGATCCAAACTCTTCGCCGCTCCCTCAGCATCCTCCTTGTAAGAGCTCAAGCCAGAGCCGCCTTGCCTCTTCTCAGTCTGCTCAAAGACCTCGTTCTCGAGCTCGGGGGTGGGGCCGCAGTTGTTGAAACGGTAGACGTGAATCCGGGAGCCCTGGCTACCGGCATCGATCATGAGCGCATACTGGATCAGGGGCTTGGAAGAGTCGTACGGCTTGGTGCACTTCTCAGTCAAAGACGGTGCGCCAGTCGAAGGCTTCTCTACAAACAGTGAGTCAGTCTCAATAAGACTTCCGGATGCGGATAAAGTGACTTACGGGATCCTCCAAAATGGCTCACGGAGGGCTTGGACGGCGAAAGCCATAGAAGCATTAACAGAACGAAGCCAACAACCGCTCCGGTCTTCAAATAGCGAGCTCGTTGTGTCTGAGCCATGGCGAACATTGAAAAAGTATTGGTTGGTTTAGAATCGGCCAAATAATTCAGATTGTCGGAAACTTTTGCGGGGGTGGAAGTGCGCGAAATCGAACGTCGACTGGTTCTAGAACCCGGTTTAGAGAAAGACGGTAGACCCTTGAGATGTCGGCTGTCAACTCCAGTCGACATGCGGACAAAGCCAGGGGGACGAAGCTATGGCGTTTCGGACAACGCTCCTGAACTCCGACCGAGTTGGACAAGAAGTAAAGATGGAAATTAGCGGTCGGAGTGAATAGAAACCATAGGATCGCCCTGAGAACCTCTGGTCCAGCCCAAAAGGATCGTGGATAGGGTGAAAGGGGGGGGGAGGAGGGACGTCGAACAACGAAGGGAAGGTGTGGAAGTGATGGTCGTCAGGAGAAGAGGAGAAAAGAAAGAAAGTAGAGAGGAGAAGATGGATGGAGGTCGGGAAGAGAGAGGGTCTCCCGGTACGGGAGTGGATTGGGACACGGGGAGCCTGGAGGCAAATGAGAGTGCGGGCGATTAACCCGCTCTCAACCTCTCAGCCACTCAGCTTTCAGGGTCTCTCTTGTTGTCTCCGCTTATTATGGCGTTGCTTGTCATTGTGGCTGGTGGGCGGTCAACCTCAAGTTCTCAACCTCCCGCCTCTCTTCCTGTCACTTTGCCCGCATGCGTCCATTCCCAGATTGTTCCAGTTATTATTGTCATTCACTTGCAGCCTGCTACGTCACCCCTATCTTCCAGGACGATTGAGCTGGTCTTTGTCCTTCTGCAGCTTTTTCTTTGGCTCCAATCATTCGGGTTCATCCGATCCCAACCTTTAGCCCATCCTTATTCCTGCAACACTCCTGCGCCGAAAAGATGAAGCACATGCGCAGCCTCCTCTCGACGGCGCAAGCCCTGCGCCAGGTCTTCTTCCCACCTCAACGCCTCGTCCGACCGCAGTATCTCCGTCCTCTACCTCTGGGCATTCGAACAATGAAATGGAACCGTAAAGATTCCCAGAAAACAGAATCGGTGGCGGCGAGACTCATCAAAGACGAGGCCATTGTATCGGAATGGATCCAGATAGTGAACGAGAACAACACTTTGGACCCCCCAATTCGACGCTCGACTGTCCTCAATAATATCGACCGTTCTAAACAGTTCGTGATCAAGGTCAGTGATGGAGCGGATGGTGCGCCGCCGGTCTGCAAGGTTGTGGACAAAATGGCTCTGCGGGAGACAGAGCGTGCCAGAGCCAAGGCAGCCCACACTAGCAGAACCTCCTTCAAGCAGGTGGAACTGAACTGGGCTATCGATAGCCATGACCTTGGCCACCGTCTGAAGAAGATCACCGAGTTCATTACCAAGGGCTTCAAGTTGGAGGTTGTCTTGATGAGGAAGAAGGGCAAACGAGCCCCCACGGCGGAGGAAGTCAAAAATCTCATGGACAAGGTGGTGGAAACGATCAAGGAGGCCAATGGTATGCAAATCAAACCTATGGAGGGGGAGCCAGGGCGGTTAGTCACTATCGTTGTGAAGAAGAAGCCCGACAACTAGCTTGTTGATGCGGCTATCCCGGTAGAGAAGGTCACACTTTTATAAATCGGCCATTGTCTACAATTGTAAAATATGAATCTATTTCTTACCACAACGCAAGCTAGGATTTGCACCTAAGAACTGTAAATGCGCTATCTACATGGTCGTCAGGTGTATCTACTGTATGCTTATGTGCCGGATGTTCCTGGCCGACTTCGCAATGCTGCGAGCATGATTGGCTTGAGGCTGAGTCAGCCGCTCCCTAGAATTTTCCGGGCTTGATTAAGGTCCTCCTCCAAACCTTCCCGGTCCGGCTGGTTTTGATTTCTGTCCATCGCGTTCCATTTGGTTTCCCTTCCTGTTGTTGTTTTCCCATCGCAGGTAGCCATCATGTCGAGCCTTGCCAGAACTGCCAACCTCTTGCTGCGCTCCAGCCGGGCGTCTTTGTTGCGTCCCCGTGCTGTCAACCCCATCCAGCATGTCTTTGCCAAAGACAAGCTGGCTGCCCGCGGTCTGGCAACTGCTTTCGAGCGTACCAAGCCTCACGTCAACATCGGTATGCACTCTCCATCAGATTCATTGATCTTTCGTACTTTCATACTAATTGATATTTAATAGGTACCATTGGTCACGTCGATCACGGCAAGGTTAGCACAATCTTCCCCTCCTATCACCCTTCCCTCTCCTCGATCTGGCCCCGAAAACTTCTCACACTTTGAATCAGACCACTTTGAGTGCTGCCATCACCAAGCAGCAGGCCACCAAGGGTCTTGCTAGCTTCCTCGATTATGGCTCTATCGATAAGGCCCCTGAGGAGCGCAAGCGTGGTATCACCATCTCCTCTGCCCACATCGAGTACGCCACGGAGGCTCGCCACTACTCCCACGTCGACTGTCCTGGTCACGCCGATTACATTAAGAACATGATCACTGGTGCTGCCAACATGGACGGTGCCATCGTTGTCGTTGCTGCTTCCGATGGTCAGATGTATGTTTGCCCTTTTGTTTCTGGTCATAGAATTGTACTCATCCTCGTTTCTCTGCAGGCCCCAGACCCGTGAACACTTGCTGCTCGCCCGTCAGGTCGGTGTTCAGAAGATCGTCGTCTTCGTCAACAAGGTCGATGCTGTCGATGACCCGGAGATGTTGGAGCTCGTCGAGCTGGAAATGCGCGAGCTTCTCACCACCTACGGTTTCGAGGGTGAGGAGACTCCCATCATCTTCGGCTCTGCCCTCTGCGCCATCGAGGACCGTCGCCCTGACATCGGTGCCGAGAGAATCGATCAGCTTCTCGAGGCCGTCGACACCTGGATCCCCACTCCCCAGCGTGACCTTGACAAGCCTTTCTTGATGTCTGTTGAGGAAGTCTTCTCCATCCCCGGTCGTGGTACTGTCGTTTCCGGCCGTGTCGAGCGTGGTCTTCTGAAGAAGGACAGTGAAGTCGAGATCGTCGGTACCACCAACGAGGTCATCAAGACCAAGGTTACCGACATCGAGACCTTCAAGAAGTCCTGCGACGAGTCCCGCGCTGGTGACAACTCCGGTCTCCTTCTCCGTGGTATCCGCCGTGAGGATATCAAGCGTGGTATGGTCGTTACCGCTCCTGGCAGCGCCCGTGCCCATGACAAGTTCATGGTCTCCATGTACGTCCTGACCGAGGCTGAGGGTGGCCGTCGCAGTGGATTCGGTGTTCAGTACCGTCCCCAGCTGTACATCCGTACTGCCGATGAGGCTGCCGAGTTCAGCTTCCCCGACGGTGATCAGACCCGCCGCATCATGCCCGGTGACAACGTTGAGGTCGTCGTCAAGACCCTCCGCCCCCTGGCTGCTGAGGCTGGTCAGCGCTTCAACGTCCGTGAGGGTGGCCGCACTGTCGCCACTGGTCTGGTTACCCGTGTGTTGGACAAATAGACAGTTGGGTCCGACTGGCTACCATGTACTATGAACAAAATCTTGTCTGGGAATTCTTATAATGTTTGCACCATCCTTGCGGCGCGGGTATCAGCGAAGGAATGAATCTGGGGATACTGGATTCACTCGTGATGGTGGGTAGTTCCGGAGTTTTCGAGACACATCTATGTATCATGTATTGTATTTGAATTATTTGTAGATCTATACCTTCTCCTCTCTTTCATTCTTTTCTTCCTCTATTCTTTTTGCCTAGGGATGTCAGTCTGAATATCATGACGTGAACATGGAAAGGAAAATTTACTCTATCGTACGATCCGTAATTATCAAGGCACGGGCATGGAAATGTGGACTCCACCTCCGAGTCTTCCATAAATTGGGTTGGGGCAAGATCACGGTCAACCCCTAAACCCAAAGCAGCAAGAAATGGGATCGGGGGGTGGGCGGTGGCGGCCTGGATGCTCAGGCGACGAATCCACTCGACATGACAACTGACCAAACAACTTGGAAGAAGAGGGAAAGGTCCCCCCATCCGGCTCTCTCCTCCTGACCTCCAGCCACTCTACGCTTCCCAACCCCAACCAACTTAACACATGAAACCAAACTCCCTCCCTCTTTGATCAGCGGGGCGTTCTCTCTTTTCTCTTGCCTTGTGATTGTGCTCCCCGTTTCCCATGGTGATCGACTTCTGACCTCATTTTACTGTCGGTTCCCTCCTTGCATCCTGCCCTCAATCCGTTTCGTCTCATCTTGTACCACTACTTCCTCCTCTCGCCACGGTCTCCGCATCTGACGTTCCCTATCCATTTGCGCTTCCGATAGTCGTACTTCACTGCGACTCGCCATACTATCACCCCAAATCCCCCAAACCAAACAATCATACATCAAACTAGAGCACGCTTCATTTTTGTCGTCTGGCGCGCCGCACAAACGCTAGTCATTCCGTCATGGCGACCAACGGTCATTTTGCCTCGCTTGGCAACGGCAGCAGCGACAAGACTGCATACGAGCATGGCGTGCAAGTGATTGACGGCGATAAAGAATTCAAGTATGCTATGATTTTCCCCCTGTTTTTTCCCCAGTCGCAATCTGCGGATCAATCTCACGTACATCTGGGCGGGCATTTTCCAAGTTGTTCTCGTCAGGGGACGATGCCACCTGGCGTGCACCCGGCGCATTAGGCTAACACTGGTATCATCGCAGTCCGAATCTATCAAAATACCTAAGTCTGGAAGATGTCACCCATGCGGGTTTCAACTATCACCTCATATCTGTGTTCGGATCCCAGTCGACGGGCAAGTCCACGCTCCTGAACCACCTCTTCGGTACGCATTTCTCAGTCATGTCCGAGCTGGAGCGTCGCCAGACGACCAAGGGTATCTGGCTGTCGAAGAACAAGAACGGCGGGGACAAGTCGATGGCGGATAACATCCTGGTGATGGACGTCGAGGGTACAGATGGTCGCGAGAGAGGCGAAGACCAGGATTTTGAGCGCAAGAGCGCCCTTTTTGCGCTTGCGACCAGTGAAGTCTTGATTGTCAATATCTGGGAGCATCAGGTCGGTCTGTACCAGGGCGCAAACATGGGACTGCTGAAGACGGTTTTCGAGGTCAATTTGCAGCTGTTCTTGAAGGATCGCAAGTAGGTTTCCTTCGTTGGACACGGTTTAAAGTTACACGCGCTAATCGCTCTTCGTCTTATATAGCACCACCCATCGATCTCTCTTGTTCTTTGTGATCCGTGATTTCGTTGGCAATACGCCCCTGAAGAATCTACAGAACACCCTGATGGAAGACATGTCTCGACTGTGGGACTCGATCTCGAAGCCCGCCGGCCTGGAGCAGTCGTCCGTTCACGATTACTTCGACTTCCAGTTTTACGGCCTCCCCCACAAGAGTTACCAGCCTGAGCAGTTTGTTGCCGAAACCAAGAAGCTCAGCTTGCGTTTCCGTGAGGACCACAAGGATCCTAGTCTCGATCCCCGCAAAGGCGAGTTCTCTGATGGTGGTGTCTTCCTACCCGAGTACCACCGCAGAATCCCCGCCGATGGTTTCTCTAAGTATGCGGAGGGCATTTGGGACCAGATCGTCAACAATAAGGACTTGGACCTTCCAACCCAGCAGGAATTGTTAGCGCAATTCCGCTGCGATGAGATCCTTCGGGAGGTCATGCTCGCCTTCGACGAGGCCATTATTCCCTTTGAGGATAAGCAGTCGCAGGCCGCTCGCCTCGGTGAGCCGGAGATCCTCGGTGGTTTGGGAGCCGCCATGCGCACCTCTCGCAGTAAAGCGTTTAGCAGTTTCGAGACCGAGGCCAGTCGCTACCACAAAGGTGTTTACCTGCGCAAACAAGCAGAGTTGGAGGACAAGATTGATACTCGCCTCAAGGCGCTCTTCCAGGGTCAACTCGATGCCATGCACAAGACTGGTATCAATGAGTTCACTGAGGCTGTCTCCGGCACTGTCAAGGCTGGCCAGAAGAAGGGTACTGGTTACGACTTCGCGGAGATTGTCAATGACGAGGTGTCTAAGGCAGTTCAGAAGTTTGAGGAGGTTGCGCGCGCCACTGTTGTTGAGGGGACTGCCTGGAGCGATTACCAGCAGCAGCTGTCGTTGTATGAGAAAGAGCTGGCCGACGTCAGCGCACGGTTGCGACGGGAGGAGATGCGGCGGCTGGCCAGTCGGGTTGAGCGGTGGGTCCAGTCTCGCCTGGGAGAGTCGGTCGGCTTGGAATTCAATGCGCTTGGTTCTGGACGCGCCGGGGGCGGTGCACCTGAAGAAGGGGACAAGCCTGTTGAGAAGAAGTTCTGGGACCGTGTCTGGAATGTCTTTGTTGAAACGGTCCTTGATGCCGAGCGCAGATTTACCGACCGTGCTAGTAGCTTTGATGCTAGCTTGGAGGAGGTTGACGTTGGTCTCTGGCGGTTGCGCCGGAAGTCCTGGGGCGTGCTACGGGCCAAGATCGAAGAAGAAATGTTGGAGGGCAACTTGCTGCTGAAGCTGCGCGAGAACTTCGAGGACAAATTTCGATATGACGAAGCTGGTGTCCCCCGGATCTGGCGCCCTACCGACGACATTGAGGGTATCTATACGCGCGCTCGCGAGTCGACTCTCACGCTTATCCCACTACTGTCCCGGTTCCGTCTTGAAGAGACTTCTGCTCCGCCTCCGCTGGATCGCTGGATCGGCCACACTCCCAGCTCTTCAACCCCGGCGGACGAGGAGGATTTGCCGCCGATCGGAGGAGTGGACGAGGAGGAAGGCAAGAGCCTAGAGGAGGAAATGACAATGCTTAGCGAGGCCAAGCGCCAAGAACTGACGGTGCGGTTCAAAAAGGCGGCGGATGGCGTCTATGTCGAAGCCAAGCGGAGTGCCATCGGGGGCATGACGCAGGTTCCGCTGTATTTCTACGGTATCCTCCTTGCGCTCGGCTGGAACGAGATCATTGCTGGTAAGTGGAACTTTTGTGTTGCGTACGAAAGATCATCACTAATTAGCCACAGTGCTTCGCAACCCCGCCTACTTCTTCTTGCTGTTTGTTTGCGCGGTGGGCGCGTATGTGACCTATCAGCTTAATCTGTGGGGCCCCATCATGAAGATGACGGAGGCGGCCTCGAACCAAGCCATGGTGGAGGGCAAGAGACGACTGCGCGAGTTCCTTGAGTCGTCGGACACAGGCCGTCAGGCAATTGCTATGTCGACGCAGGGCGGTGCTGGGCGAGGTGAGCAGCACGAGATGTCCCGACTCAACAAGCAAGGACAGAGTGTGAAAGAGGATGAAGATGATTTGTGAAGGGGGAGGAGGAGGTGTATTTTCACTTGCATTCTTGTATTCCACTATTGTGTATTGTCATTGTCTGAATAGATATTATATCACAGCCTTGAAGAGCTGTTTATGTACACAGCACAGTCCACGTTAAGAACTTGAGTCTCGCCCGGACTTACTCCGATTCCCCGCCTTTCTCAGCGGCGCCCCTCGTCTGTCACTTACGCCTCCCCTCTTGTGTTTCCTCCATTTCATCTCTTCATTACGAAACTATTTGCCGTTTCAGTCCTTGGATACCCTTCTATGATGTCGGAATTCAACATCCCAGAGAAATACGATGACCTGCCAGACAAGCGACGATACTGGCCGGCGGCGCCAGGGTCGCGCGAAGAGGGACTGGGCATGCTACGACTATTGACTCCAGAGGTCGTCGCCAGCGCAGCCCAGACGCAAATCCGGACCGGCGAACGCGTGTGTTTGAACTGGGATCTCGAGAAGCTGAACCCTCCGGGTTAGTGTCCGGCTCGCGGGGTTGAGACCCAGCATTGACTACTATTTGTTTACGCCGCATGCTAACTACGTCATCGCATGGCCCAGGCTTCAAGCGCAAGCCCTTCGAACACAAAGTGAAGTGGGTGGCAGAGGGCGTTGCCTTTGACGACGAATATCACTTCAACCCACAGCAATCCTCACAATGGGACGGACTGCGTCACCACAGCGCGCCGCCGCCGCCTGCCGCAGAGGAGGACAGCAGTAGTCGCACAACATCAACCACCACCACCACGACCGGCAGCGCGAACGAACAGGTGTTCTACGGCGGCACGACGGCGGCCGAGATCCTGGACCCCCAGTCGGCGCGCATCGGCATCGGCCACTGGGCGAAGCAGGGGATCGCGGGCCGCGGGGTGCTGATCGACTACTGCAGCTGGGCGCGGGAGAAGCGCGGGGTGACGGTGGACGCGCTCAGCCGGTACGAGATCTCGCTGGACGAGGTGCAGGCGATCGCGCAGGAATGCGGCATCGAGTTCCAGCGCGGCGACATCTTCTTCTTGCGCGTGGGCCTGCCGGCCACGTGGGACGCGATGACCGACGAGCAGAAGGCGGCGTACAGCCGGCAGCCGACGCCGCAGCATGCGGGGCTGGAGCAGAGCGAGCGCGTGCTGCGCTTCCTCTGGGACCACCACTTCGCCGCCGTGGCCTCGGACGCCGTCAGCTTCGAGGTCTACCCGCCCCTCCGACCGGAGTGGGACCTCCATCACTACCTGCTGGCCGGGTGGGGGTTGCCCATCGGCGAGATGTTTGATCTCGATGGGCTCGCCGAGATGTGTCGGCGGCTCGGGCGGTGGACGTTCTTCGTGTCGAGTAGTCCCTTGAATTGTGCGCAGGGCGTGTCGAGTCCGCCGAATTGTATGGCTATTTTCTGAATGGGGAGGTGGGAATTTACGTTGAAGTTAAAGCTGAAGCTGTTTTACGGTTTATGGTTATGGTTATAATGGATTGATGGTGTGTGGATGGATGGCCGGATGAGATAAGCAATCAAGCCTCCACGTGCCTCGGCTCAACACGTTATCTCCATCGCGTCTCATTTTTGGGAACTGCATCTCTCAGGGGACGAGCACCTGTTTATCCCGGCGACAGGGTTTCGACTGTCATTATTTTCTTCAGACAGGCGGCGTTGTCGTTAGTTACGTCTGTCTCACTGAGACGCCTTGACGCTAGCTTGTTTTCTCTTTCTCATCGATGGTAACTGGGATCTATAGCATAGCTAGCTAGCTAGCGATAATCGACCACTGTCAACATGGCTTCCCTGTCCACTCTGTCCCACTTCCTGCAGGAATGCATCTCATCTCTTCTCACCTGGAAAGCACTAGCACTGTTCCTCGCACTGATCAACCTGAAGAACCTGCCTCTGGTCTGGCATGTAAGTACATGCATTCTTCCCCTCAATGTCGCAGCGCAGCCTACAACCACATCGCCTTCACCACCACCACCACAACAACACCTCTCTATCACCCTCATCCTCAACCTTTCAAACAGAGAACCAACATACTAACCCCAACCCTTATAACACAGGCCCGCCTCGCCCACCACCTCTACCGGAACATCCGGCGCACCCCGCAAGACCCGCACCATCCAGCATCCACCCACCCGCCGCCGCACGCGACGCACCCGATCTTCCTCCCGCTGACCATCAGCTCGCGCACCCCGATCCTGGAAACCGACTACAACTTCCACAAGTCCAACAGCACCTACTTCTCCGACCTGGACATCGCCCGCACCGCCCTGGCCACCCGCATCTTCACCCCGGGGTCCCGCCTCGTGAACCGCGATCTCGACGCCGAGCTCGCTTCTGCATCAGCATCATCCGGAAAGGCGGAGAAGCAACAGCCCAAGGGCGGAAGCAAACTCGGACTGTACATCGCCCTGGGCAGCGTGTTCTGCAGCTTTAAGCGCGAGATCAAGCCCTTCGAGCGGTACGAGATCACCTCGAGGGTGATCAGTTGGGATGAGAAGTGGGTGTATATGATTAGTTACTTTGTACGGCCGCAGGCTGGGGGTAAGGGGACGGGGAAGGGGAGGTTGTTGGCTACCGCGCTGAGTAAGTATGTGGTTAAGAAGGGGCGGGTGACCGTGCCCCCTGAGAGGGTGCTCAGGGCCAGTGGGTTCTTGCCGGAGAGGCCGGCGGGGTCGGTTGCTTCTTCGGCGGGTGGGGGTGGGAGCTTGACGCCGGGGGACAGTGGGAGTGAGGAGGGGCAGCTGCTGGATGAGGGGATTACGGCCACGGGGACGGCCACGGGAACGGCCACGGGGGTGGATGCGGCGGTTGTGAGGGAGGTGTTGTTGGATGCCGGGGGTGGTGATGATGCGGTGAAGGAGGAGCAGAGGGAGAGGAATGTTCATTCGTGGAATGAGGAGGATTGGCCGTGGGAGAGGATCGAGGAGGAGAGGCTGCGTGGGTTGAGGGTTGTGGAGGGCTATGCTGGGTTGGATGCGAAGCTGTTTGAGGAGTGGGGTGGGGAGTGAGGGGATGTTTGCATATAGATAGACTTAGATTTCGGGTTTTCCTTTTTGGGAGTCGATGTAGAATGTATAATTTGAACTTCACTAGGGGTAATGGATTGCCTTTGATTATGCAGTTCACTGCATTGATTGTTGTAAAGAAGAGATGATACTGCTATCATACTAGGTAGGCCAGGACTTTCAATCGAATAAAGGCCAGTCTTGACTCTTACTCTACTTAGATACAGTTTCTCATCCAGCCATCGCTACGAAAGTTTAAGATATCCGGTGTTTCTTGTTCCTGCTGAGGAAAAGTATGTTATGAATCAGTGTACTTTTTTGTGAGGATTGTGAGGCCCATAGAACTTCAATTCAAGCAAGCAATAGCTAAAATGATTCACCTCCAGCAAATCCGTCTGTTAGCAAGTTCGATGCAAGCCTCTTCCAGAGCAAAACTACTCGTTACTGTTCCAAGAAGTCCCCCCTCCTCCACCAGTCGGAGTGAAATTGCTCATCATGACTCCATTGTCCAGACTAATTCTGGCTCCAAAACACAACCGCGCTGGTCAACTGTCTTCACGATTGCCGGCCACAGAGACCATCGAACTATAGAGGCTGGTTTCCCGTCCCCTCCACCAAGAATCATTGACTGAGGGTCAAACATCACTCCGAGTGGACTGCAGCAGAAGAAGAACCGTTGTTTCTGCCGGCTCAAGGCAAGCTTGAGGGGGTCGCACATTTCCACAGCAGTCCTCGAAGCTGGCCCTGTCTTGATACTTCCTGAGTGGAAGAAAAGTCCCGGAGTATTGTTTCAGCACCGTAGACGATGCTGCGAGTCACAAGGTCGGTCTGGCGATTTGAGCTCGCCTGGATTGCGACGCTTGTAGCCACCCTCCAGACATCGAGCTCGTTCTCTGAACCTGGCAAGATTTAGTACGGACTCATATATGTCAAGACTTCCACCCGCAAGATACGTACAGTTGCCTCGGACGTTGCGTTCTATCTTAGACAGAAAATCACCAAGAGGGTCGTCTGGCAACCCGTGCTATCCACCTGGCCTGGTGGAGGTAACAGTATGTCAGATTCCGCAGCTGTTTCAACCGAAAGGCTATTCTAACCCCTCATTAAAAAGGAACCTCAATGAAAGTCCCCTCCACTACATCCTATGAAGCTCGAACCGCCAGCTGGGGCTATCGAGTTGGCCCATTTACGGAAGCCTTCAGAGGCCTCAAGCTCCTTCTCGACGAGGAACAGGAGACAATGTACCCGCCGTCCCTCTGCTCGAAGAAGTTGCTCGCCATTCTTGACAAGGATGCCGTCCAGGTGACAGCGGACTACTTGAGACACCTTATCAAATACGCTCAGGGCGTCCTGGAGCGGCGTCTGGGGATAGCTGCGAGTGCTATGAATCTTCAGTTCATTCTCACTGTGCCAGCTGTTTGGTCGGACAAGGCTAAAGATTGCACCTTACGAGCCGCCCTGAAGGCAGGAATCGCCCCTCAAGACATCTCTCTCGTGTCCGAACCTGAGGCTGCTGCCCTTTACTCCCTTCGCGCCATCCAATCTAATTCGATTGCTGTATGCTACATTACAAGCGAGTGTGATTGTAACGCGATGACTGACGGTCTACAGAAAAACGATGTGTTCGTTGTTTGCGATGCTGGCGGTGGCACAGTGGTAAGACTAATTGAAGTATTAACTTCGCCACAGCCATGGCTAATTATCTACTAGGATCTTATTTCATACCAGATTCAAGGTTTGGAGCCACTTGTCATGAGGGAGGTTGTGAAGGGAGCAGGTAAGCTGAGTCTTCACGAAGTGACGTTGCAGTGGCATCTGATGCTTTCAAGGTCGTATCTGCGGGTCGATGTTATTGGATGAAAGCTTCCAGAAGATGCTTGAGGAAAGAATGGGGCCTAAAGGCTACGCTGCACTATCCGATAAAGCAAAAGAAGCTGCATTACACTATTGCCAAGATCGAGTCAAGCCTAACTTCGCAGGGCAATACGACGAGGACTTCGCAGATGTTGACTATTTTATTCCAGTTCCAGGATCGCTTGACGATCACCTAGCATCAATCGAAGATGGGTTTCTTTATCTCACCAGGTCAGTGGATGCACCATAACATTTGCTCGGATTACTGGCAGTGAAGCATGTTCTGACCGGTCTTAGTGAGGACGTAACAAGCATTTTTGACCCCATCGTTAAAGAGGTGGAATCCCTCGTTGCAGAGCAAATAGAGGGCATTAAAGAGAAGAAACTCCACCCAAAGGTCATCGAGATCTCGGCAACAAAATGACTTAACGAATTGCTGACAATTTCAGCATTAGGCAATTATCCTTGTCGGGGGTTTTGGTGCCTCTATGTTCCTTTTCCACCGCTTGCAGGAAGCAAGCCCTAGTGTGCTTGTAATGCAGCCACCTGACGCGTAAGTCTATCCATACTTTCGGGAGAACATTGGCTAATTCGGTGACACAGATGGTCAGCAGTAGTATGGTTCGTTCTCTCTTCCCTATATTCAGCCAGAGTCGCGAGCTGATGACCATATAGCGGTGCTGTACATCGAGGATTCGACGGCAATCAGGTAGAAAACCGCATTGCCTGCCGCCACTACGGCATCGAGATTAGTATTCCTTATGTCGAGGGCCAAGACAATCCTGACCGCAAAGTGTGGTGCCCTTTGGAAGAGCAATATAACATCCATGATAGTATGCGATGGTATATTAAGAAGGTACTTGTCAAAGATGTTTACTTCACATTCTCAAGCACAGGATCAATTAGACTAATTGGCCTAGTTCTCGGTTATCTCGGAAAATTCACCGATCAGAATGCCATTCTACAATTCAAGGAATATAGGGGATGGGCTGTGTTTTGAGGTGAAGCTATTGTTCTGTAATGATGACACTGCACCGGACTTCAAGAACAATCGTGAGTGTCTTGACTGTTAACCTCAACCTTATTGTTTATTTACCAGACACAGACACGATGCGGCTATGCACCCTAAAAGCAGACCTCAGCACAATTCCTCGAGAGCTCTTTACTCAGAAGTGCAATTCCAAGGGCGTCAAGTACTACCACATTGATTACAAATTAGTCATGATTCCTACCTCCGCTTCCCTGCTGTTCGAGCTGGAATTCAACGGAGTGCGCTACGGCAGTGTTCGCTCAAAATACTGAAGACCAATGGGCCGCCGGGGCTCGGTGCCACTTGCTGGATTTGAATCGGTTGCTTGGTAGACTTGTAGCTTTACATTTGCTTGGCGGGGTAGATTCGCTGGACAGAATAGATTCTGGATAAAAGGAATTTGCTGATAGCCCTCCTTGTGATAATCCTCATGTGTAATGATCCATAATGAGACTGCTCCGCGGGATACAGTCTGTTTGATAGGGGGTTTTCGGGTCAGACCTCGATATTTAAAGAGTATACTCTAATTTCGTGGAGAATATTAATTGTCTAGGAGATTCAGCTTGTCATTGACAGTAACTCTTTTTCCTCAACCTGACTTTTCTAGACGATACATACTGTAGTAGCAACTAGTACATGATCTTGTAACTTTCAACCTAATTACTCTCGCTGAGCATCTTAGCTGACGAACTCAACAGAGAGACCCTAGAGAGCGTTGATAAGAAGCTCAATAAGGAGGCAAAATGAACCCCTAATAGCTATACCTTCAGCTCCATAATAACCGATAAGCCTAAGAACCCTCCTCTAATATTGTTTCGAGGTAGCACCCCCGCCATAATGTGTTGCTCAGTCTTCAGCTAGTTATGCAAGTACCTTTGATTACGCTTGCTGTTAATCTATCTGTCATCCGGTGTGGTTTTCGGGTAACGGAACAAAGGTTAGCCTGCACCGTTCATAGCGGATTCTGCTTGAGATACGGCATATCTCATCTCGACCCCCTGGTCTCCCTCCCCCTTTACCTAGACGGCAAAACCGATACCACAATGGCACCCGTCTGCGCTTGTCGCTAGCCATCCTCCCCTCATGCACCCAGCACATACCCCTCCGTCCCCTCGTCCGACCTCTCCACGTGAATCTCTTCCCACTCCACCCCATCCAGCACCTGTACTCGAACGGGCACGATCTCCAAATTCCGTCGCACCAGTTCCTGCTTCTCTGGCGACAGCCTTGCCACCACCGCCGCCGGGGGTCCATACAGGTGCATGTAGAGCTGCACCCCGCAGACCCCGCAGAAGCGATGGCCCGTGAACTTTCGGCCAAAGCGATACTCGCGGAGCTGGCTGCTGGGGTCCTGAGTCGCGACTGCGCATTTCGTCGGGTAGATGCATGTGTTCGCATTCTTGTATCTTTGCTTTCAGCGGGATAGTCATAGAGGGTTTTGGGGGGGGGGGGCGCCTTCGTGGTGGGAGAGGACGGACTGACCCGTTGGCAAATGCTGCAGTTATCTTCCTTAACTTGGACATCGCGGAGCGGCGCGCTCGTCACGGTGATGTGGATTGCTCCGCAGTGACAGCCTCCCGTGTATGTCTTTGGGCTTTGTTGGGTCGGTTGGACTTCGGGAGCGGACGATGCTGGTTCATCTTCGCGAGGGGGGGTTAATCTGCGGTTGAGCCCAGGGAGTTCGATCATCAGTTGAACACTCCGATGAGAGAAGTAGGTTAGTGCGTACTTGGTCACGGATAGATGGAACGGGTTCACGTCCCGCAACGCTCTTGCCTACCAGCGATCCGTCTCAGCAACAACCACACTGTCAGTTTTGGCCGGGGGGAGGGGTGAAGGGTCAGAAGCCTCACGCTGACACCTATACCGGGCTGGCCCGCGACGGTGAGGTGGTTTCGGACTGTGATCGGGGTACCACAGGTAGCGCAGAACTAGAACCGTGAGTGTATCGAGGAGGAGTCAAGTCAGCGGGTTTCAAATCTGTATATGCCCGAAGGTGATTCGGCGCACCTCGTACTCCCCCATCTGGGTCTTGTAGCTGGCTAGAGTGTCGCGCCCCTTGGTGAACTTCAGTTCGTCATCTTGCGTGAAGATCCATGGACAGCCTGCTTTCGCACAGATGCTACATGGGCATGCGAAGGTCGTTTGGAATGGACTAGCGAGATGGATCTCGAATCGCACGCTCCCGCAATGGCAGTTGCCTGGGTATTTGTGTATGGTCGGTTCACCCTGGATCATCGCTTCTGCGGGTCGAGGAGATGAGGAGATGAGTATACGGGAAATGGAAAATCAAGGCGGGGGCGGGGGAGATCACGGAAGACGCAAACACTTGTAAGTTCAATAGAAACGCTTCAATGCCTTATCAGTTTATCGTCGAGATGGGCACCATTTATAGATTCGGCCTTAAGAGGCGAAAATGACAGGGTATGAGTGGTCAGACGGAGAGGGAGGATTCAAGCCCTGCAGAAATTCCTATCGACTCGGGATATGTCTGGAATATACGGAGGAGATGTGGGTAACGAGCAGAGATATGTATGAACCACCTCTCGACGATCGATATTTAAATATAGTCATTGGGATGTATAGCTGAGAATTTGGGCGTGTGTTCGTCGGAAAAGACGCCAAATTGAATAGCGTGGCTGTTGATCGAGCGAGAGACAGAGAGCACAGTGGCTCACATTCAGAACAACCAATTGTGCCTATTAGTAACTGCTACTGATACAGACTCCCTATGAGAAGTTGGAGCAATTATGTCGTTGAACATGTTATTCATATACGCCTGAAACTGTATGTCAACACTCCGATCCCGCCAGGTCTAAAATCATCAAACAGGTCCCCTCGCGGGGCACATACGCCCCAAACGTCTCCCGACACTCGAACCCCTGCCCGGCGTAAAACTCCCGCGCCGCCGCGTACGACCCGTCGGTCCCCGTCTCCAGACTCAACCACGCATACCCCCTCCTCTGGGCCTCGTTGATGATATGTCGCACGATGGCGCGCCCCACACCCTTGCGGAGGTGGGTCGCCACCGTCCGCATGGACTTGATCTCGCCCGCCGTCGGCGAGAACTCCTTGAGCGCCCCGCATCCGAGGAGCTCCGGGCCGACCCAGGCCGAATACACGGAGACTGAGGACTGTTGGAGTGCGGTGAGGCCGAGGAAATGGCCGGCTTCGGAGGGTGATTTGCTTTGCAGGTCGGCCAGGTGGAGGGCCAGGAGCGCGCGGGTCTCGGGGCTGGAGAGGTCGTCGTGTTTGATGAGCATGATGGCGTGGAGAAATGCAGAACTTTGAAGGTGGATGTGCCGGTTTGGGGCGCCGCGGATAAAATGATTGATAGCGAGCTGGTGGAGGCGGATGAGTCATACCCCGTTTGGCTTTAGTAGAAGCTTTAGTATAAGCTTTTATAATATCATGGTAAGCGAGGGTGTTCCTTGGGACCGATGATGCATCGCTTTACTCCTTTCTGACGACACTCGATCTAAATGTGCTCGTGCCCGGATCATTGATGCTGCGCTTATACGAGCCGAGCTGCTGCCAGGTACTAATCCATGGTCGTGTTTTTCGGGAACGATGTATGTTCTGATCCCGCCTGGAAACCCAGGGATCGGCTGTCCGAGGATATGCTGAATGAGGAGCCATGGATCAAGTACCATCTTAAGTAACGCTCTTATTGGAGTATCATTGGTTTGCAAAGGCTGTTCAGATAGCAGTGCGGGGATTTACCAAGAGAGTGGCTGAGAAGCAGATGAAGTTTTGGCCCGTCTGGCTGATTTTGGGCGCCTCGCGATGCTAGCACTTGGTTTGTTGTATTATTGACTTTTCCTCTTGGGTAAGAGAAGAAAACGCCCTCCATCTCACGGTGGAAGGTACGGTAGGGCATTGTCCCGAGTGACTGAATGTCCTCGTACCCGGGTCTCTTCTTATCATGGACATAAGCAATATCGACCATATTTTATGGTCTAAAACCGCTCTACCAATTTGCTCATTATGTGCACGCTGTCATCCTTGCAACTCATGTATATGCGCAGGCTCCTTGGGCGAGGTATTGTCCCGATACATGTCATGGTGGCCGTCTTCCTCCGATAGCTCATGCGGCGCTTGACGATACGGCTCTTGCGTCTGTTGTACAGGGCTGCAATCTTCCGTCGTGGTGTTTTCATCGTGTCCAACCGGCTGTGTGTTCTGTCAACGCCGTCGAATGAACAAGTACGCCACTCCTCCCCGCACCGCGAGACCCACGACGGCACTGACAACGGGCCCGACGATCCATTTCTTGCTCGATATAGCTGTTGGTGGAGGAGTTGTGGATGCCGACGTTGCCGTGGGAGTCGGGTTGTGGCCGTGGCGACGGGATTGGCCGTAGTGGTAGCAAGTGTCGCTCTTGTAGTCGTATTTGCCTGTGCTATGGGCTCATTAGTCATGTGTCGTCGGACCCGTACTCAGTAAGAGCCAGAAGAAGACCAGATAGCGCTATCAGATACGTCCACGGAAGAACTCAATCATCACTTTTCGCTTGCTGGGCCTCGAAGACGAGGATAGCAGGCTTATTTTCTCCGCCGTCTCGCGGTCTTTGCATGATCGAGACCCAAGCTCCTCTCGTAGCCTGCATGTGCTGGTACATCGCCATCGCTTTCTGTCCCTTCTGCTGATTCCGATAGAGGTCGCTAAGATCACTTGGATATCTGCCAGAAAACAATGAAATCGTCGTCTCTTTGTCAATTGAAATGATTCGCGTCTAGCTTCGAAAGTGCCTGCAGCAGGAATTGAGCCGGATTGTCGGGCATGCCTATGCGCTGAAAGCCATGGTTTGTTGCTTTGCCGCAGTCATACTGAACTCTCCGCCTTCTCTGTTGGTAGGTCTGGCCACGACAACATTACTAGGCGAATATCTGCATTGATGTTGGGTATCCCTACCTCAATGCTGACCATCCATGCGAATTGAACAGAGTGGAAGCTAGACAGCAACCGAGTTGCAGTGAAGGCTGCGGAGGTTATACTATACATGCTACTTGGCAAGCAAACGAGGACAAGATCATGGTTGCTGATCAATCAAGCGTATAGAGATTGGTGTCACCCAGCCACACTGATAGCCCCTCTTGTACTTCATCCAAAAGAGACTAGGTAGTATATGCACGAGGGAGGGAGACTAGGACGTTCGTGCGAGGCGTGTACTTAAGCGGGCCATTCCCCCGCATTGCCGCCAACATAAAAGACTCAACTTGCCACCTCTTCTAAGCCTTCTCTCAAACTTGGAACTATTGGCGAGACCACCGATTGCTATGTCTGAAGACTCTCGGATTTTGATGGCTGCTAGCCTTGCACCACTTCAGTGACAGGAGAACCCAAGTTCCCCAACCATCGTTGGACGACTAGTGTCAACCGATCAGGTGGGTCAGGAGCTTATCGCTTGTGGTGGCAACGTACTATCAGTCTTCAATCGCCTCTACTTGTATTTCTGCGTATGCTCTGGAGATGAGTCCCATGCACATCAACTTATCATTCGAAAAGAACTAATCTCTGATGTAGTGCCAATGCGATGATGGCCCGAAGCATGAGACCCAGCCGCGATGTGCGGTGTGTGCTCATGTTATATGTTCAGATTGCCCGGCGGTCAAATAGTGCAAGCAGGCAGGCCATCAAGCCGTCAAATACTCATGGTTTCGTTTGTGTCAGCTTCCTTGAGCGCGTTGGGTTTCAGGGCACGCTGCTGAAGGGGCGATTCGTCTGTATGGTAGTGAGCACAAACTCGCCAGGTTCTTGGACGAGCACAACTTGGATATATACAACGCTTGGTGCATGTGTATCATAGGCTCTGGTGTTACTCCGCAATGACTCAGGATATCCAGAGATGCGCGGTACAGATGATAAATTCTTCAATTGATGTCGCAACGTTGTTTGTCAGAAGAACTGAAAGTAGATAGAGGCACAACCGGGGAGGCTTCACACAAAAGGTATCCTGATCTTGGTGATGTGAAGTGGAAGAAAAAAGGATGGATGAATCCAATGGTCCCTGGATAGATCTGATCCATCACCTCTGTTTGTGCTGTTTGTTCGCAGTAGGAAGGCTGCGGAGCCAACCTTAAGAAGTTCACGCGCACTTGCTCCACGACTTTTACAACTCCTTAGCATCAATCTCAGATGGGGCCCGACGTCTGAAAATGACCTTCATCTCTTCCTGAGGCTTCCATCAATACAATAGGTCTCTATTATACCAACAAAGGATCCTTGTTCGAGTGACCTGTTCTGCGAGCCATATCCTCAACTCTACGCTCCAGCCATTGTTCCATCTAGTCGTTGGTTAGTGGGTGTCGGCGAGAACCTGCAGGTTGAGACTCACATTGATGAACTTGAAAAACACCCAGCTGGCGACAGATAGAAGCAGTAGCACGCCCCCAATGAGAGGGTACCAACGCCAGGATGGGTTATCTGCCAGGATATCCACATTCATACCAAATAAACTCTACACAAGGTGAGCAACCTGTTCTTCACTGCCACAGATGGAATACTCACAGAGGCGAAAGTCAAAGGAAGAAAGATAAACTGCGAGGGCGCAGCTCGTCAGTGCTATGTTGATACTCTTCGGATGGCATCTTACCGTGATCCAACTAAGTCGTTTCATACTGGTTGCCAAACTAGTCGATCGATGCGCTTCGTTGATCGACACCCAGGCAAATTCCTGTACATATCAGTGGGAAACACCGCGATGATGAGGCTGGAGTGTCTTACAATCTGGAGCAGGTCGCGGACCGTCTGCTCCAGCTTGTCAATCTGTCCTGAGATATCCCGTTCAAGCTCAGAGATCATATCCTGCATCTGCTCGGTGAATCTACGCGTCTCGCTAAACCGCTGATACTGGGCGACAAAATCTCGGACTTGACTTAGCTGCTCCGCCAGTAATCCCTGAACGTGAGTCCATCGCTGCATGTGCTTCGCTATGGAATCGATGAGTCGATCATCTTTCCCCCGAGCAGTCAACTGGTGCGTGCGCTGCGCTTGTTAGCACTAGCCGCTACTGAGCATAATGCCAACGCTTACCAGGCGCCCGAGATACCTCCTGGCCTCTCGGCAGATCATTAACCAGTCCTCTCGCCAGGTCTGCATAAACAGTTGCACTAGTTCAAGATCATTCTGTGGGATCCATCCATAAGGTAGATTACTGTAGTAGTGAATTGCTTTCGGTGGTGCCTCCAGCATTGCCCATTCGATAATTCGGACCGTGCCCTTCTCGTCGTCGTCATCCGTCAGCAAGTCTCCGATTTTGATGTCCAGTCGAATGAACAAAGTGAATGTCCTACAAGGACTTTTGTGTCCCAAAGAAAAGTTCATCTCGTTGGGCGTCTCCGTCAAAGGGCAATACGTTTCCCAGACATAGTTCTCTCGGAAGAGCCTGGGCTAATGTTTAACAACGAAGGCACATAACAGTGAGGTGATAGATGACCTACATCAGGTGGGTTTCGTCGACTGTCTTGGGTAGCGCTTTGATCTCTCTTTGTAAAATGTCGGCTGTTATCCACCGCGCCTTTCTGCGTCCGTCCCGCAGAGCCACCAGATCAACAACTACACTGGGCTTGATTCCACGGCTATAAGCCCCGAAGTTCAACCCCTCGTCAAGGTCCAGCATGTTCAGCCGATGATTCATCAAGGCGATGAGGCCTGCCCGATCACGTTCTGGAATAGTCATATCCATCACTGGGATTGATTGTTGGCCTTGGGTGGGAAAATTGCGTGACGGCATCAGGTTCACAGTAGGTTTCCCTTCACTACAAGGGCCGAACCAGTCTCCGTTCTCCAACTCGTCAATGCGAGCTTTGTGCTCCAAGAGAGCAGCCACGGTGGGTCTATCGGCCTGCTGGAGTGCCATCCTCATTAAGGGAATCGAGCTGTACTCATCCTCTCCTTCTAGACTGGGCTTGTACCGTTCGAGGAAAGGTTTCAGTAGTCGCGCACGACCTTCCTGAATCATCACAGGCAGAGACACAACGTCCTTCTTTCGTTCTACATCATCTCCAACGCCCAGCATAAGCGTATCGGCCACTTCATAGTGGCTCCATTCCAATGCATAAATAAGGGGCGTTTTGCGATAACGATCGATTGAATTAGGGTCTGCCCATGTGGTTCTCAAAAGATGCTGGACCAACTCTTGATCACCACGCTCGCTTGCCCATGCCAGGAACGTGCGTCGAGCTTTTGTCATAGGCTCAATTCCAGGGCCAGGCCCAAGCACCGTCAGCCATTTCTGGAAATCAACGTCGGGCGATGTGGCCCCATGCGCCAGCATACTTCTTCTGGTCGTGTTGCTGACCAACCACCACAGAGGGATTTGTCCCTCGTGGTCTTGAATGTCTCCGCTGGCTCCATAATCTACCAACAGGCTCGCAGTTTTGAGATGCCAATGTTCGGCTGCCCAGGAGAGCGGGGTCCGCCCTCGCCCGTCTTTGCTATCTGGGTCTGCTCTACCCTTGTCGAGGAGGAGCACGACGATCTTGTCATAGCCCCGTTCAGCGGCCCGCGACAAGGGTGTGCGGCCCCGCAGGTCGGCCACCTCTGATAGCACGCCCTTTTGCAGAAGAAGCTCCACCATCTGCTCGTCACCGGTCTTCACGGCCCAATGCAAAGCGGTCTCGCCGTGCAGGTCCACAAGGTTGGGATCGGCTCCACGGTCGAGAAGCAATTGCATCAATTGACCCGGACGATCGCGATCAGTGGCCGTTTTCGCCTGCGCTAGGTCAAATGATGCCGCCCAGGAGAAGGCAGTGCGGCCAGATTGATCGCGCAAATCCGGAGAGACTCCATAGAGCAGGTACCGTACCTCGCTGAGCAAGCCGCGTTGGGCGGCTTGCATCAGTTGGGCCGTTCGGTCTTCATCAAGTTGGAGAAACGCAGTGATCGGAGGCACGGTCATTCTTCGTTGGTCAGGTAACCATGTTATTGACGTGCCTTGTGAATTGTCGAAGTCGCGAAGTCATCTAATGTTAGTGTCAGCCCGTCAGCCGGAGCTGCATATTGATCCAGCCGCTTATTGGCGGGAATATGGTGGAGGAAAGCAAGCCGCCGAAGAGGCCAATCCGAAGCCTGCACTATCCCATCTTAGCAGACGATTGAGTTGAGCGGCACGTTCTCTGTTCTGAGGAGTTCGTGGCGATTCACCGGTGTACGTTGATACCGACATTCTCCCTGTCTATTCCAATCATATCTCCATCGCACGTATTTCGACCAAGCCGACGATCTAAACAGCAACAGGAAAGGTCACGCCCTACGACTCAACCGGGCCAACCGGTGCCTGATTCTGACGAATAATAGCGAGTACCGGGTACCATGGCGCACCCCTAGCTTATTTATATCCGACATCGGCGCGAATTGTGGTGATAACGATTGATTTACACCAGAGTCGAATATCCAATTGTGAAGCCGTTGAATGACGAGCTGGTCATCCCCGCAATCCTGCAGAAGTAAAAAGGTTTGGCCGCGGATGCAGCTTCTGGAAATTGTTAAAATAGAGCTTGTTCCCTTGGAGAATATGTTCAAGACGTGATTCTGTCGAGCCCTGGCAGAGCCTCGATGCTGGCCCACGATATCACCCCGCACGTGATTTACTTATGTACGCGTCTGCAGGAATGACTAGCGGATGGTACCTGATGGTGAATGTTCGCAGTACGTAAGAGCCTCGGAACTTTCCGTGGTGGCAGACGTTCACCTGACTCTGGACGCGCAGTACAAATGTTTGCTGCCTGGAACAATGTGACGGCACCATATTCCTTCGGTTGCCATTGAGGCGACTCTGCCGAAACCTGCTATCCCAGCTTTTTCGCCATGAGTGAGATCAGGCGTGCCTCATCCTGATTTTCAAGGATGCTTATCATTTTCAGCAGCATAAGCCTGGTTGGTGACCAATTGATACGGAAAGATTTATCTCTAATCTTCTGGGCCAACCGCTCCAAATTGGCTTCAGAGCAAGCTCCACTGCCAAGACCGGACTCGACAGCCATGGATGCGATTTGGCTCCACTCTCCGCTGTCAAGTCGACGTTGGTTGGTCTATCGGATATAGCATTATCAGTGGTCGCAATGGTGTCATTCTCTCCTCTCTATCCAAGCCGGCTACTCATCTGGAGAATAACGCCATCCGCTGGTCGAGGTTGCATCGACAAGGGGGCTATGTCCGATTGGCCATCCTGCACGCACTTCTCGCTTATGGTTCAGGAGAGGAATCCTCGCTTCGTTCCGCCTAGTGGATACTCGTCCGCTGTTCCATTACACCGTCGCATGTACTAGTCCACCGGTATACTCTGGTCGACTTCGCACACAATGCATGCGTTGATCTGAGATGAGGGATAGTCCCGCTGCCGCTTGAATCGACCATAGGCTTCGAAGTAAGCCGACGAAAGGCTAGGCAAGAAAGTCGGGGACGAAACTGCGAATGCGGGAATTCTGGCACCATCGCTTCTAATGGCCCTGGTTGCGTACTCTAGGCTTCTGATCGCACATTTCAGAGGCTCGTGCCAAGACTATCCCATGGATGTTCCATCGGGGCTCCGGCGTGCTTAAGATTTAACCCGCCTATGAAGCTCTCCCGCTGTCTGACTAGCCGGTGTACCCAATTCGCTGTCTGGCGCGATCAGTGGGACAATTATGCCGCTCCAGAGGGCTCACACAAAGGACATCGGTGGTGCCCACGATCAGTTGGCGAGAGCCATAAACGTCAAACGCACTCGCATACCATGCAACCCAACAGGGAGCGGATCAGCGAGAAATAGCTTCAAGAAAGACGCTACATATGAGGTCGTTTGTCTATTGGAGGTCACTTTCCCCGACAGGAAGTTCTGTGCTTAGTCTGATTGCTGCATATGGCATGCTCTGTGTTCCACCTTTTTCTTTGCCACAGGCCATCGGTTTCTCGAAAGACGCTACAGCCGCTAGGGAAAGGTATGGGATACCTTCCCTGTCCAGCAGACATTCCCATGCTACTAGTAGCAAGCAGGGGTAAGACGGTACCCACCAGAGGCTGACACTAATTGTTGGCTATCTCTATTCTCCCCATGTCTTTCTGGATGGATAGCTGATAGCCGACTCCACGCGAGCGAACCCAATGCTAGCCCCGCTAGACGGGGGGCGACTCTTATCTGAATGGGGCGAGGTGCCTTGTCTTCCTTATTTATTGCCTTTTCCTATATAATCCCACTCCGGGCTTTCTCTTGTTCTCGATCCGCGGGAAATTCTTCTTTCTACACTTGTGCTGTCGTTGTAAGGTGTACTTCTCTGCACCATCTGACACCATGAGCGACCCTGTCGGTCCCGACGACCTCGTCTACGTCGCCCAAGCGCACGTGCCTCAAAAAGAACTTCAGACACCAGAGAAGGAGGACGCTGTCATCACTGCAACCAGGTACGATGATGATGGCCGCGAGATACCAACGGCGGAGGAGGAGCAAAGCCTGCGCCGTGTGGCGGGCAAAGTGAAGTGGACTGCCTACACCATTGCATTCGTCGAGCTGTGCGAGCGGTTCTCCTACTACGGAACAACTGCCGTCTGTACGTGTATCTGGCCGTCTCTATGAGCGCTGCTAATATTCATCAGATACCAACTTTATTCAGCAGCCTCTGCCTGCAGGCTCTGACACTGGTGCCGGAGGTAGTGGGCAGTCCGGAGCCCTCGGTCAGGGTCAACGAACATCCACCGCGCTAACCACCTGTAAGTTGCGTAGACGGCAATTCTCCTAAACACGACTAACAGTAGTGTACAGTCAACACCTTCTGGTGCTACGTTATGCCCATTCTGGGTGCTTGGATCGCCGATGAATACTGGGGCCGGATGAAGACGATTCAGGTCGCCATCGCCTTCGCAATGCTAGGACATATCATCATCATCATCTCCTCCATACCCCAAGTCATCACCAATACCAACGGCGCCCTTGCCTGTTTCTGTGTCGGCCTGGTCTGCTTCGGAATCGGCGTGGGTGGGTTCAAGTCGAACATCTCGCCGCTGATTGCCGAACAGCACCGCGAGACCAAGCTCTGGGTCAAGACCGTCCCCAAGACAGGGGAGCGAGTCATTGTCGATCCAGCGCAGACAATCACCCGCATTTTCTTGTACTTCTACTTCATGATCAACGTCGGTTCGCTGATTGGATCGGTGGCCATGGTGTACGCTGAGAAGTACGTTGGCTACTGGCTGGCCTACCTGCTACCGACCATCATGTTCGGATTCTGTCCTCTGGTATTGTTCGCGTGCCGTAACAAGTACCATGTGACACCTCCGACTGGGTCCGTCGCAGCGAAGGCATTCAAGCTGTGGGGACTTGCCCTGAAGGGGCAGTGGTCCTGGAACCCTGTTGTATTGTGAGTACCCTGTGTCTGTGCATTAGGGGAGTCGTGACTGACAGAGCACAGCTTCAAGCGATGCCAGTCCACCGAGTTCTGGGATAGCGTCAAGCCCAGCCAGGTGGAGAACAAGCCTCACTGGATGACCTTTGACGATCAGTGGGTGGACGAAGTGCGCCGTGCCGTCAAGGCCTGCGCGGTCTTTGCATGGTACCCTCTTTACTGTGAGTTCTCTCTTTCTATATTATCCCATAAGTCGACGCCGCTAACGAGTCGAACAGGGCTGGCATACGGCCAGATGACCAACAACTTGACTTCGCAGGCGGCCACGATGCAGCTTCACGGGGTGCCCAACGACATCATCAACAACCTGGACCCGCTGGCCCTGATCATCTTCATCCCGATCATGGACCAGTTCGTGTACCCGGGTCTGCGCAAGATGGGCATCAACTTCACGCCAATCAAGCGCATCTACGTGGGGTACCTGCTGGCGGCGGCCTCGATGATCGCGGCAGCCGTGACGCAGTACTACATCTACAAGCTGAGCCCCTGCGGCGACCATCCGAGCACCTGCGACGAGGCGGCGCCAATCAACGTGTGGGTGCAGACGGTGCCGTACGTGCTGATCGCGTTCTCGGAGATCTTCACCTCGATCACGGGGTACGAGTATGCCTACACCAAGGCGCCGAAGAACATGAAGTCATTAGGTAAGCTGCTATGCCACGCCCTTTTAGGGGTAGTCATGCTAATCTGATGGACAGTCTCGTCGTTGTACCTGTTCATGAATGCCATTTCCTCGGCTATCCAGCAGGGCTTGACGGCGCTGTCGACGGACCCGTTGTTAATCTGGAACTATGGGTTCGTGGCGGTGCTGGCGTTTATCGGAGGCAACCTGTTCTACCTCACCAATTTGAAGCTGGACAAGGAGGAGGATGAGCTGAATAATCTGGAGGAGTCGCAGTGGGTGGGGCAGAATTCCGGGGAATCCGAGAAGACTGTTGCTTAATTGTTTAAATTGCTTAATTGCTTGATGGTGCTTGACGTGATATGTGTATGCTTATGATGTCATGTGGGGCATTGCCTGCAGTATGGGATGCATGAGTCTCTGAGTCTGGACTGAGTGTACTTTTAATTAATGTGATTGAGATTGAGTTGACCTGGGCTTTTGTATTGTGCATAATGATTTCCTGAGTACATCATTTGCATGTCTGTGAAATCTATCGTGGGAGTTTAGGTATAGAGTCATCCTCAAGATCCGTTTGGTAGCTCCTCAATTATACTTAGACGTAAAGAAGTCCTCAACCCTCAACAAAAACCCTCAATCCCATCCAGCTTAGATTGGCATACAACGGCCTACATCCACAAGTCCAGAAAGATGTTATACATTGATGAAGATATAAACACTCATGAGCATGCATTAAGAAAGCGTGAAACCCGGCACCCAAATCTTTTGGACAAAGAAAGCAAGAAAAAAAAGAGGAAAGTGGTCCAAACCCGCAGACCACTCCAAGTAAGTCTATCAAGCATCAACACCACCATAAAAAAACATCTACTCCTTCTTCTCACCCTTCTCCTCTCCCTCCTCCTTCTGTTCAGATTGCCCCTTCTTCTTCTTCTTCTTCTCCTCCGCCTTCGCATGCCCTTCCAAATAATCATGCTCATGGAGACTCTGCTTCTTGCGCTTCAAGCGCTCCTCCTCCGCAGCGACCATATCCTTCCACAGATCGCCCGTCTCCTCGCGAGCACCCGCCGCCGGGGCCTCACTCTTCTCCTGCCTGGCGGCCTCCTTCTCCGCCTTGGCCTTATCCAGCAACCCCTTGCCCTTCCTCTGATCCTGAATCTCAAACGCGGCACTGGCCACCAGCACCGCGAGCGTCAGGCCCTGGGCGTACACACGCGCCTGCACGATCTTCTGGCTGGCCGACAGGAACTTGTTGCGGTTGACCATGGCGAAGCTGCCGACCATGGAGGCGACCCAGGTGGCGCCGACGATCTTGTACTTCTCGCGCTTGGCCCAGGCCGTGATGCGATCCACGGTGGACAGCGAGGCCAGCTCCTCCTGGCGCAGCCGCTCGTTGCGGTCCTTGTACCACACCTGGCTCGCGTTCCGGGAGGCCTCGAAGTCGCGCGACGCGTGGTCCGCCGCGATGATGCCCACGAACGTGCCCGACGACGTCACCAGGAACGATTTCATCGGCAGCGTCAGGTTCCGGATCGTCGCGCTGCGCTTGCTGAAGGCCAGCACGCCGGCCACGCCGCCGATGAGGCCGAGCACGCCGCCGATGGTGCCGCCTTTCAGGACGGTGCTGTTTTTTTCACCGGGGTGTTAGTGGGGTGGTTTGCTGGCGATTTGCGGGGGTGTGTGGGAGGATTTAAGGGTTTTGGGGGGGGGGAAGATCGAGAATTGAAGGGAGATGGGGAGGAGGGGAGGGAGGAGGGGCCAGCTTACCGGTAGTGGGCATCTTCTTCTTCCTTGGTGAGGATCTTCATGGTGCAATTGTGTTGGTTGAGGTGGTAGTAATGTAAATGGGGGG